CTGTGTATACAATATTTATCAAGAATTAGATTTCTTTGTCATTGCAATATAATTTTGCACATAATTTTACATATAAAATCTTTATTTATATAGAAATACATTTTTAATTATAATCTCGATTAACGTTTCTGTTTTTTGTTTTACCTAGTGATTTTAAACAGTCCACAGATATGTATCAGATATGCAATAAGCATCGTTCCAATTGCTACTATTACAGCTATTCCTGTACAAAATGCAGCATTTAAGTGTAGCAGAATTAAAAAGAAATATTTTCTTGATCGACGAAATATTCAGTCATAATTGCAAATGATGTGATCGAAGATGTTTTCGATAAAATAATATTAATTATATTCGACCAAAATGTACAACAATAAAGCAGATATATACAAATAGAAAGTTAAAAGTTAAGAAATATTTAAAATACAATATGTATCAGATGCAATTATCTATCAATGAGTTAAGGTCGATAATATTAATATTCAAAAAAAAAATAAAAAAATAAATAAATTAAAGTTATTTTTTTTTTTTTTTTTTTTTTAATATAACGATATTTCTGTTTATACTTGTAAGCATAAGCGTAACACATTTCGCATTATAGCCATATTTTTCAACGATAGCGTTTTCATATTCATCTTTTAGTTGATCGTACACATGTTGAAGTTGTGTCAGTAAATCTTTTACCTGTTAGTCCAACAATTTGTTATACCGTCTTTGAATGTCAGAAAGATTTGCTAGTTATAAAAATTTAATTGTCAGAAATGTTTCTTAAAATAAATTTTATAAACTTATAGTTAACTTACAGTTTCGGTATTAATAGCGAAAAATATATATTTTATAACAAAGGTAGTGAAAAAGAGAGCACTAGATAAAATCTTGACGACAAAATCAGCAGTGTACTTTGAATTCAAAAATGTAGTAAACTGCAAATAATAATTTTGTAAAAACGTTTTAAATTAGAGAATCTTTCTTATTTCTATCATTAATAACTGTTAAGTCTTGCACAGTGAATTGTCAATAGTACTACGGACATTATGAAATTATAGTATTCCGTTAGAGATTATAGTAAAATTTCGCTTTGTATGATTTCGGATAAAAATATATTTAATTTTTATTTTATAATTTCATTCTAGTATTGATTTTCATATATGTTGTAATCAAAGAAGTGAGAAAGTGTATAAACGATATAAAAATAAATGATATATTATTTTCAGATAAGGTATACTGATTATTTTTTTATTTCATATGGAAACAAATATATTTTACGCATATATCATAAACTTGTCTACATTTATTGACATTAGAGATTCTGTTGAAATATCATAATGAATCAAATATTCTAAATTCTAATAATTGCTTTTTTATGCATAACAAAAATATAATTTTATATTATATGAAAATATTTCGTAATTACAATTATGTACAGGGAATGTTTCAAAATGATTGTGCTATATTAGAGAATAACAAAATAAAGACTGATTGAAACCGAAAGTTTTATTATAGAAAAATATCGTGACCTAATTTCCAGACAAATGGAGACAAACTAATACAATAATATCACATACAGTTTATGCAATCAAATAATGTTAACTGAACATAATATACTTCCTAATCTGTTAATTATTTTCTTTAGTAAATTGATTTCATGTTTTCGTTCAGCTTCTTTTTCGATGTCCTGTATAAATACACTTTCCAATATAAATTATAAATGCAATTTAGAAAATTATAAATGAGAGATTGAAGTACACAGTAAATAATAAAAAATTATAAATCACTGCATATTATAGCTTATAACTCATAATAATATCGAGATATTGTCTTACTTGAAATAAAACAGCAGAGATCAAAATACTAAGGAAGAAAATAAATCGAAGTCGATCAAATTTTGACTGTTGATAGGGCCACAAGCCCATAACTAGCAGAAGCATTCTGTTACGACTAAAATATTGTGTTGTTACACATATCATCTCTCTGCGAACTCTAGAACACATATGACTGTGAAAAAATCGACGACGTGCGCTCCTCCTCCCCTTTTTTGCACTTATCGATTAAATATTATCGTCCACAAATTTTCTCTTTTAGTGGAAATTTTAACGCAAATTTAATATAATATCAGGTATTAAGTAAAATATCATCGTGTAATCGAAACAGATGTAATCAAAAAATTTCTCTGTGAATTATATGTATATACATATAATTACATAATCGATGCGACGCTGAGTAAAGTATCTCAACATATCCTTTTAATATAAATAAAACCTTTTCATAATATAACCCTGCGCAGGCGCTGTACTCTCTTGTTAATGTCCACACTTCAGTCTAATGTTGGCGCTTATAGAATACATTTGTCCTTCAAGAGGGTTTCTCCTATATCTTCCTCTACAACTTTAAACATTTGATGTCGGATCTATCACGTGTTCATGTAACAGAATACATTAAATAATTACACGACACTTTATAAATATTTTAAATTGACGATTGGCACAATTAAGATTACAGTTGTTAATACCTCCATTAAACATATTTTTATACATATAAATGATACATACACATTATCTTAAAAAATAAATTCATTGTTTTATATTAGCGCCCATATAATCACTTATGTAATAAAGAATAATTATATATATGTATATATATATATATATATATATATATATATATATGATATATAGGATAGAGATTTAGTCTGACCAAATCTAAAAGTAATTACAAAATATAGGTACATACATAAAGCAACAATAATGATTCGTGATGTCTCTTTACAAATATCTTATCTTTTTCGCTCTTTGAGATGTCTCGTTTGGTGTCCTTCGTTATTTCTTTCATCTGTTCCGGATCCTCGAATTCTTTCTGTTTTATGAAGCAGATGATACGAATGATGAAGGGGTTGGTCAGAACTCACTTTCCGAATATTTGAATCTCTCCTAGGTACTTCTTCTTTCCAGATCGGCAGATCAATAGGATCGTCAATTTCACTGCTTACTGTGAGAATGCCCCAGAACGAAAGAGGACGAGCAGAGAGGAGGCTCTCACACCTCGATCATTATAGATCGATAGGCATGCACGTTATATCGAAATATTCACGTCAAATTGGGGGAAACCTTGCTTTCAAAGGCGGCAGTTCAAATTTGAGAGTCACTTGTTAAAAATGTTAAGCATTCATTTAAAAGTAATGTAACAATGCATACATTGCAAGTAGCGAAAATAAAACTTGAGTAAAATTAAATGAATTTGTATTAATGTTTTATATTTAAAATAAAAAGATACTCAGTTTTTTATGCATTGATAATTTATGTAATCTATGTAATCTATGTAAAATCCTATATAATCTATGCAATTTGTATAATTCATTAGATAATTTATATAATCCGTGTAATGTATGTAACTTATGTAATCTACGTAATCTATATAATCTATGGAAACTACGTGTCTCCTTTTTTTTTTTTTTTTAAATTAAATATATTTATATCTTTAGAGATCTCTTTGAGTACAGATTATGGGATTAAATATTAACTATTTTGAACGTAATATAAAAAATTGTAATTGAGATTTGATTAATTAAATATTAGCCAGATTGCAATTTATTCGTTGTTATTTTTCTTCTTATCTTATTATTGCGTTGAATATATGACAGTAAAATATGAGACCGAAGTTTTCACCAACTGTAATATTTACTTGTAATATTTAAATGCATTCTAAGATATATTGCTTTCCTTACCGTGGTAAAACACTCTAACGATGCGACAAATAATCCACCGACATCTAAAGTGAAATCTTTAGCATTTTTTAACAACAAAAACAGTATCAGTTTCTGTACATATAACGGAGCTATGTACCACTGAACGTTATATCTACAAAATTAATATGAATATAATATTTATAATTTTATATCAATAGCTTTATGACACGCCTGCGCGCGCGCCATAACAAGTATACATATACATATACACATACATACAGCGTATAACTAAAAAAGCGCCCACGGAGGAAATAACATTATTACTGATTAAAAATCGAGTCAAAAAGTCCTGAATCATTTTTTAATATAATGCTTAATAAAGTGGTAATTATTGAGTAAAGTTGCATCAATGTTCACATTTTTAGCCGGGCTCACGTCAGCGGGTCGCACGCCTGGTAGTGCGCATGAGCGCTCCGCCGCTATGGCGCTGTCATGGCGCTATCGTGCAATATTCTTATGAATAATAATGCGAAAAAATTTATTTTGCATTAAAAATTAAATTTCTTCCATCAAAAACGGTTCTTTACAGAAAATTTCGACAAGAAGGTTAAAAGTCGGTGCATCGCCCAACTTTACTCCATAATTACAACTTTATTAAGTATTATAGAAAAAAATGATTTAAGACTTTTCGACCTGATTTTTAATTAGGAATAGCGCTACTTGCTCTGTGGATGCTGTTCTATTTACACCCTGTATATATATATATATATATATATATATATATTTATATATATTTATAAAACTGATTTTATATAAATGAATTTTATAAGAGTACATCTTACGCAGTAACAGCTACAAGATTATTATGATCCGTTAGATGTTGTCCGAGATAGTTAGCGCAGAACATGTATGAAGTACAGGCAAATGCAAATAAGGAAGGGAAAAGAATCTCATCGACATTATCTGCGATCGAGAAAACTCGAAATATCTGAAAAATACAAGTTTAGTATTTACAGTCTTTAACAACTGTTTTAGTAGCAGTTATAGCTAACCTGTTTTCTAGATATAGTTATCGAAATCATTCTACGAAACACATATATTAATTTTCTAAATAAATTTATGAAAATGTTATATAGTAAAATAAATATAATAAAGTATATTTATAAAAAATCATGCCCAGAAAATTTACATAGAAATTATCAGTTTAAAGTAATTTGTATCGCATTAATTTATTTTGTTTACAAAAATATAAGGAGCAATATTAGTGAATTAAAAATAATAATGTAAAAAGGAAAAAAAAAGAAATAGAATGTACATATCTCTCCTCCAATAAACAATACATATCGTATATTCTGTTATATTATAAAATATAAAGAATTCATTTTTACAGATTTAAAAAGCTTGAAATTAGAAATATACCTGAAAGAGATTAAGGCTCAATGATATTACTCCTACTGCTATTAAACAGAACAACATTTTTTCAAATTTGGACACCAAAACTTTGGATAATCTTAAGACAAAGAAATGTTATTAGACTATTATGTATATACATACTATAGAATGGATACTAACTTCATAGCTTGCCGATGTAAATGTACCGCATATCTTATTTCTTCTAATATCAATATATCATTCTTCGGACTATAATTTTGTAACATACTTTCTCTCATTGCGTGTTTGATGCGATAACTGTGAATGCAATATTTATTAAGAATCAATTTATTTATCATTACAATATAATTTTGTAGATATAAAATCTACTATTAAATTTATATTTAAAATTACAGTTTCATTTACAATCTCGATTAACTCGTTTTTGTTTTTTGTTTTACCTAGAGATTTTAAACAGTCCACAGATATGTACAAGGTATGCAATAAGCATCGTTCCAGTTGCTATTAATACAGTTATTCCTGTACATAATGCTACATTTAAGTGTAGCAGAATAAAAAAAAAATATTTTTCTTGATCGACGAAATATTCAGTCATAATCGGCAAACGATGTGGTCGAGAAACGTTTAGCGGTAAAATAATATCAATTATATTCGACCAAAATTGTACAATAATAAGAGCAGATATACTACAAATGGAAAGTGCTAAAATTGTTAAAAAATAATTATCATTTAATTTTCTGTTGCATAATGTTTGAAAATTTTACATTTTACGATATTTTGTTTTACTTGTAAGCGCAAGCGTGCAACATTTCGCATTATAGCTGTATTTCTCAACGATAGCGTTTTCATATTCATCTCTTAATTGCTCGTACACATGTTGAAGTTGTGTCAGTAAATATTTTACCTGTTAGCCCAACAATTTGTTATACCTTCTTTGAATGTCAGAAAGAATTGTTAGTTATAAAAAATTTAATTGTCAGAAATATTTTTTAAAATAGATATTATGAACTTATATAGTTAACTTACAGTTTTGATATTAATAGCGAAAAATATATATTTTATCACCAAGAAAGTAAAAAAAGGGCACTAGACAGAATCTTGACGATAAAATCAGCTGTACATTTTGAATTCAAAAATATAGTAAACTGCAAATAATTTTTTAAAAATGTTTTATATTAAAAATCTGTTCTTATTTCTACTGTTAATAACTTATATGTCTTGCGCAGTGAACTGTCAATTGTATAACGGATATTGCGTTAGAGATTATATTATTCCGTTATTGATTATAGTAAAATTTTGTTTCGTATGTTTTCGGATAAAAATATATTTAATTTTTATTTTATAATTTTATTTTAGTATTGAGCTTGATATACGTTGTAATTAAAGAAATAAGAAAGAATAACGAAATAAAAGTAAATAATATATTATTTTAGAATAAGGCACACAGATTATTTTATTATTTTTTTATATCATATGGACAGTATAAATATATTTTAGACATATATCATAAGTTTGTCTACACTTATTGGTGATAGAGATTTTGCAGAAATATCATAATTAATCCAGTATGCTAAATTATAATAAATGCTTTTTTATGCATAACAACGATATAATTTTATATTATATGATAATATATTTCCTAATTACAATTATATACTGGGAATGTTTCAAAATTATTGTGCTATATTAAAATAACAAAATATAAAGGCTGGTTGAAATCGAAAGTTTTATTATAGAAAAATATCGTGGCTCAATTTCCAGATAACAAATGGAGACAAACTGAGACAATAATATCATATACAGTTTATCAAATAATATAACATAATATGCAAATATATATCGATCTTTTAATTATTTCCATTATTAAATTTATTTCATTTTTTATTTCAGCTTCTTTTTCGATGTTCTGTATAAATACACTTTTAATATATATTCTAAATGCAATTTAGAAAATTATAAATAAGAAATTGAAATAAGGAATGATAAAAAATTATAAATTTCTGTATATAATTTATAATAATAGAGAGATATCAAGATATTTTCTTACTTGAAATAAAACAGCAGAGATCAAAATACTAAGGAAGAAAATAAATCGAAGTCGATCGAGTTTTGACTGTTGATAGGGCCACAAGCCTATAACTAGCAAAAGCATTCTGCTTATCTTAAGACTAAAATATTGTGTCGTTACACAGATCATCTCTCTACAAACTCTAGAACACGTATGACTGTCAAAAAATCGACGACGTGCGTTCCTCCCCCTTTTTCACTTATCGATTAAATATTATTCACAAGTTTTCTCTTTTATTGTAAAATTTAACGCAAATTTAATGTAATAGAGATATTAAGCAGATATTAAGCAAAATATTTTGTAATCGAAACAGATGTAATCAAACAATTTCTCTGTGAATTATATGTATATACATATAATTACATAATCGATACCACGCTGAGTAAAGTATTTCAACATATCTTTTTAATATAAACAAAACCTTTTTCATAAAATAACCCTGCGCAGGCGCTGTACTCTTTTTTCAATGTCGATACTTCAGTCTAATGCTGGCGCTCATAGAATATATTTGATCTTCAAGAGAGTTTCTTCTATATTTTCCTCTACAACTTTAAACATTTTGATGCCGGATCTATCCAGAGCTCATGTAACAGAATGCATTAGATAATTACACGACAGTTTATAAATATTTTAAATTTACGATTGACACAATTAAGATCACAGTTGATAGTATCTCCATTAAACATATTTTTATACATATGAATGATACATACACATTATCTTAAAAAATAAATTTATTATTTTATATTACTTAAGTGATAATAAAAATTATAAAAATTCTAATGTAAAATAACAAATTATAATTGTTTCTTTTTTTTTAGTTAAATGATTATGAAGATGCTAATGAAAACACTATGAATTTACTTTTAATAATAATGTGTATTAATATAAATATTATGCATTCACAGCATTAAAATTGAAAGTAAAGTAACTACATAAAAATATGTGTATTACAGTTTTTATTTGAAATATATTAAGTGCAAGATTTATTTATTCAAATATAATATCTGAATAATATCTGAATAAATTAATGTTGCGTCTACATTTTTTTTAAACTCTAGTGAAATCTTTATTTGCTGCAAAATTGTATATCGTATCTTACTTAGAAACGAAAAGAAGATGTTGTTCTTTTGTTAATTCAATTATACTATTATTGGATTTAAACTCATCATTGTGTAGAATACATAAACGTAAAATAAGATACCGAGACCTTGATTAACTACAATGAAAGATCCCCTATATCATTGTGCTATTCACACATAATATATTGTATATATATATATATATATATATATATATATATATATATTGTATAGAATCTTACCGTGGCGAAGCATTCTATAGATGAAACAAATATTCGAACTGTCAAAATAAAATCTTTGGAAATCTTCTTTGTAAACAATAACATTCTTTATATATGTAAGGGAGCTATACCTATACCGTCAAACGTTATATCTACAAAAGTTAGTTAATTGTAAGCGAAGAATCAATAATTTAAGATAAATTATAACAATTCTTTTTAAATTTTCATTTGTTGTGCAAAAACATTAACTATTCTTTCTTCTCTCTCTCTCTCCTCTCTTTCGCTCTTTACTATTTTAATGTAATAGCCTCTCTAAAGTGCAAACAAATTTCTTATACTTTATTTTACTATAATGTTTCGTACACTGTAACAAATACATTATGATTATGATCTGTTACATGTTGACCAATATAATAGGATATAAGCATATATAAAATAGTGGCTAATGCATCCAGAACAAGTACTATTAAATCCTTGATCCCTATCTAATAATTTATCATCTGCAGATATAATCTGAAAGATCGTTTAAGACATTTCTATATTGATAATTAGATTCCCGCACATACAACCGCCATAATGATTTTACTAATAATAACAAGCATTTTGTTTTGTTATGATTTCTACTAATTATTATAAAGACAGAAAATTATTTCGTAATAAAATATAATCCATTATTAATTATTAGGTTGGAGAGAAAGTAACCTGGATTTTTTTCGAGAAAAATCTGTATTAAAAAAATAATTACATTTTTTTGCAACTAAAATAATTGCCGTTTAACTCTACTATCTTCTGCCATCTTTCAAGCGAAAGTTAAATTCCGTAATAAAAGCTGGCTCTTCGATATAAGAAAAAAAAAATTCTTCGATCTATTTCTTGATTTCATTCACGTTTTAAAAGCGTTGTCCTTTTAATTCGTCCTACATTGTAGGTCCCACAAAATAGATAATAATCCTTCAGATTAAAAAAAGTGTGACAATATACACTTACAAGGTATTTATTTAAAAGTAATATAGCAATGCATACATTGCAAGCAGTAAAAATAAAACTTGAATAAAATGAAGTGAATTTGTATCAATGTTTTATATTTTTCAAATAAAAAGATGCTCAGTTTTTTATGCAATGAAAATTTATGTAACTAGACAACGTAAAGCGCGCGCTTCGTGCGCGCCATTTATTTCCTTTCATTATACATTTCTCACTGTCACACAAGCTGTCAAAATTTGTAATAATCGCAAATGACAGCTGCTCACAACATGAATTGAGCGCAATAAAAGAACCAATCAGCATCGCGGAAAAGAGGCAACAATACTTCGAGACTTTCGAAAATCGACTTAACATGCCTTTTTTAGAAATGGAATCTATGTAATCTATGTAAAATCCTATATAATCTATGTAATTTCGGTAGTTCATGTAATTTAATCCTATATAATCTATGTAATGCATGTAATATATGTAATCTATGTAACCTCTATACTATAATCTGTGGAAACTACGTATTTCTTTTTATATTTTTTTAATTGAATATATCTATATCTTTGGAAATCTCTTTTTTACAAATTATTGGGATTATATATTAACTATTTTAAATGTAATATAAAAAAATTGTAATTGAAATTTGATTAATTAAATTTTAGCCTGATTGCAATTTATTCGTTATTATTTTTCTTCTTACCTTATTATTGCGTTGAATATATGACGGTAAAATAAGAGACCGAAGCTTTCACTAACTGTAATGTTTACTTGCAATATAAAATGTTTACTTATAATATTTAAATGCATTATGAGATATATTGATTTCCTTACCGTAGCAAAACACTCTAACGATGCGACAAATATTCCACCGATGTTTAAAGTGAAATCTTTAGCATTTCTTAACAACAAAAACAGCATCAGTTTCTGTACATATAAAGGAGCTATGTACCACTGAACGTTATATCTACAAAATTAATATGAATATAATATTTATAATTTTATATGAGTTGCTATATGGTAGATGCGTGCGTGCGCGCGCGCCATGACAAGTATATATATATATATATATATATATATATATATATATACATATTAAAGGCACAGGTTGTAGTAGTTCGTAAAGAGTGAGCTGCACGCGGATAAATATGCATATACGTATATACCGGGTGTTTCAGACCACCCGTACACCCCATTTTAAAGCAAAGGAAGTGGTTATTTTGAAAAATGTTTCAGACAAAAGTTGTTGAAGATAAAGTAATGCATTACATGGGTAAATTTGATTGACCTTGGGTGGCGTCGTGAAGGTCATGTCAAGGTCGACTTGAATTTTTTAAATGGGAACCCCTATTTTTCATTGCATATTCTTGTAGCTTATCTCGAGAGCTTTCCAAAACACTATAATTAAGTACCTTTTTATTAAGTACTTTTTGAGTTATAAGGCTTGAAATAATTTCTTAATTTTACATAAACCATAAAATATCTAGTAAACCATTCATTTTTCGATTATCTTACCTTCATACTTTTATGTACAAAATAATGAGAGGAATCAATTGGTGTAAAGAAAACACATAGTTGTTTCTAAGAAAAAATATGTAATTTGCAATTAACAATTCCATATTTTTTCTTAGAAACAACTATGTGTTTTCTTTACACCAATTGATTCCTCTCATTATTTTGTACATAAAAGTATGAAGGTAAGATAATCGAAAAATGAATGGTTTACTAGATATTTTATGGTTTATATAAAATTAAGAAATTATTTCAAGCCTTATAACTCAAAAAGTACTTAATAAAAAGGTACTTAATTATAGTGTTTTGGAAAGCTCTCGAGATAAGCTACAAGAATATGCAATGAAAAATAGGGGTTCCCATTTAAAAAATTCAAGTCGACCTTGACATGACCTTCACGACGCCACCCAAGGTCAATCAAATTTACCCATGTAATGCATTACTTTATCTTCAACAACTTTTGTCTGAAACATTTTTCAAAATAACCACTTCCTTTGCTTTAAAATGGGGTGTACGGGTGGTCTGAAACACCCGGTATATGTATATATACACATTTATGCGAGTGCAGCTCACGCTCTACAAACTATATAACCTGTGCCTTTGATATAATAGTTTATAAAACTGATTCTATATAATTGAATTTTATAAGAGTACATCTTACACGGTGACAGCTACAAGATTATTATGATCCGTTAAATTTTGTGGAATATAATTGGCGCAGAACATGTATAAAATACAGGCAAATGCAAATAAGGAAGGGACAAGAATTTCATCGACATTACCTGCGATCGAGAAAACTCGAAATATCTAAAAAATACAAGTTTAGTATTTACAGTCATTTTAGCAGCTGTTTTAGTAGTTGTTACAGCTAATCTGTTTTCTGGATATAGTTTTCTACGATATCATTCTACGATACACATATATTAATTTTCTAAATAAATTAATGACAATGTTATATAGTAAAATAAATATAATATAATAAATTTATATAAAAAATCATGCCTAGAAAATTTACATAGAAATTGTTAGTTTCGAATAATTTTTGTCGCATTAATTTATTTTGTTTACAAAAATATAAAAAGCAGTATGTGATTTTAGTAAATTAAAAATAATAGTGTAAAAAAGAATAAGAGAAAGAGACGGTATATACACATCTCTCCCCCAATAAACAATACATATCATATATTCTGTTACATTATAAAATATAAAGCATTTATTTTGACAGATTTAAAAAACTTGAAATTCAAAATATACCTGAAAGAGATTAAGGCTCAGTGATGTTACTCCTACTGCTATTAAACAGGATAACATTTTTTCAAATCTGGACACCAAAGTTTTGGATAATCTTAAGCAAAGAAATATTATTAGACTATTATATACATACTTAAGAATGGACTACTACTAACTTCATAGCTTGCCGATGTAAATCTACGGCATATCTTATTTCTTCTAATATCAATATATCGCTCTTCGGACTATAATTTCGTAACATACTCTCTCTCATTGCGTGTTTGATGTGATAACTGCGAATACAATATTTATCAGGAAACATATTTATTTGTCATTGCAATATAATTTTGCAAATATAAAATCTACATTTATATTTAAAATTACTATATTTAAAATTATATTTAAAATTAATTAGTTTGATTTATAATCTCGATGAATTTGTTTTTGTTTTTTGTTTTACCTAGAGATTTTAAACAGTCCACAGATATGTACAAGGTATGCAATAAGCATCGACCCAGTTGCTACAGCTACAGCTAATCCTGTACATAATGCTACATTTAAGTGTAGCAGAATAAAAAAGAAATATTTTTCTTGATCGACGAAATATTCAGTCATAATCGGCAAACGATGTGATTGAGAGACGTTTCTCGATAAAATAATATTAATTATATTCGACCAAAATTGTACAACAATAAGAGCAGATATACTACAAATAGAAAGTGCTAAAACCGTTAAGAAATAATTATCATTTAAACATCTATTGCATAATGTTTGAAAATTTTACATATGATACGATGTTTTGCTTTACTTGTAAGCGCAAGCGTATAACGTTTCGCATTATAGCCATATTTTTCAACGATAGCGCTTTCATTTTCATCTTTTAGTTGGTCGTACACATATTGAAGTTGAATCAATAAATCTTTTACCTGTCAATCCAACAATTTGTTATACCATCATAAATGTCAGAAAGAATTGCTAGTTATAAAAATTTAATTGTCAAAAATGTTTCTTAAAATAGGTATTATAAACTTCTAGTTAACTTACAGTTTCGGTATTAATAGCGAAAAATATATATTTTATCACAAACAAAGTGAAAAAGAGCGCGCTAGATAGTGTCTTGATGACAAAATCAGCAGTGTATTTTGAATTTAAAAATGTAGTAAACTGCAATTAATAATTTTACAATCATTTTTATATAATGTTTTGTATTAAAGAATCTGTTCTTATTTCTACCATTGATAACTTGTAAATTTTGCACAGAATTATCAGTTGTATAATATAATGAATATGTTAGAGATTATATTATTCCGTTAGAGATTATAGTAAAATTTTGCTTTGTATGTTTTCGAATAAAAATATATGTAATTTTTATTTTATAATTTCATTCTAATATTGATTTTGATATATGTTGTAATCAAAAAAGTAAGAAAGTCTATAATCAATATAAAAATATATAATATACTATTCTGGAATAAGGCTTATAGATTATTTTTTTATACATATGGAAACATAAACATATTTTAGGCATATATCATAAGCTTGTCGACATTTATTGATATTAGAAATTCTGCAGAAATATCACAATGAATTCAGTATCTTCATATATAATAATTGCTTTTTTATGCATAATAATAATTTAATTTTATATTATATGAAAATATTTTGTAATTACAATTATATACAGGGAATGTCTCAAAATTGTTATACTATATTAGAGTAACATAATATAAATATTGATTGAAACCAAAAGTTTTATTATAGAAAAATATCGTGGCCTAATTTCTAGATAACAAATGGAGACAAACTAAGATAATGATATCACATACAGTTTATGTAATCCAATAATATTGTATAAACATAATATGCACGCATACTTGTCAATCTGTTAATTATTTTCATTACTAAATTGATATCATGTTTTCGTTTAGCTTATTTTTCGACGTTTTGTATAAATACACTTTCCAATATAAATTATAAATGCAATTTAGAAAATTATAAATGTGAGATTGAAATACACAATGAATAAAAAAAATTATAAATCACTGCATATTATAGCTTATAACTTATAATGATAAATCGTGATATTGTCTTACTTGAAATAAAATAGCAGAGATCAAAATACTAAGGAAGAAAATAAATCGAAGTCGATCGAATTTTGACTGTTGATAGGGCCACAAGCCCATAACTAGCAGAAGCATTCTGTTAAGACTAAAATATTGTGTCGTTACACAGATCATCTCTCTACGAATTCTAGAACATGTATGACTGTGAAAAAAATTGACAATGTGCGTTCCCCCCCCTTTTGCCGTAATTGATTAAATATTATCCACAATTTTTTTCTTTTAATGTAAAATTTAACGGGAATTTAATATAATACCAGATATTATGCAAAATATCGTTTAATCGAAACACATGTAATCAAAAAATTTTTCTGTGAATTATATGTATATACATATAATTACATAATGGATGCGACGCTTAGTATAGTCTTCAACATATCCTTTTAATAAATAAAACGTTTTTCATAAAATAATTCTGCGCAGGCGTTATACTCTCTTTTCAATGTCGATACTTCAGTCTAATGCTGGCTCTCATAGAATACATATGACCTACAAGAGTGTTTTTCTTATATCTTCCTCTACAACTTAAACATTTCGATATCGGATCTATCTCGATCTCATGTAACAGAAGTAATACATTAGATAATTACACGGCACTTTTTAAATATTTTAAATTGACGATTGACACAATTAAAATCACAGTTGTTAGTATTTCCATTAAACATATTTTTATACATATAATTGATACATACACATTATCTTACAAAATAATTTCATTGTTTTATATTAGCGTACATATAATCACTTATGTAAAAAAGAATAATTATATATATATAATCAATTTTCTTTACTGTAGTGATTATAAAAATGCTAATGCAAAATAACGAATTATAATTGTTTCTTTTTTTTAGTATGATTATGAAGATGCTAATGAAAAACTCATGAATTTATTTTTAATAATAATGTACGTGTATCATTATGAGTATTATGCATTCAAAGCATCAAAATTGAAAGTAAAATAACTACATAAAAATATGTGCATCATAGTTTTTATTTGAAATATATTAAGTGCAAGATTCATTTTTGCAAATATAATATCTAAATAATATCTAAATAAATTAATGTTACGTCTCCATATTTTTTTAACTCTAGCGAAATATCTACTTGCTGCAAAATTGAATATCGTATCTTATTTGAAAACGGAAAGATATATGTTATCCTTTTGTTAATTCAATTATATTATTATTGGATTTAAACTCATCATTCTGTAGAATATATAAACGTAAAATAAGATACTGAGGCCTTGATTAACTACAATGAAAGATCCCCTATATCATTGCGCTATCCACACATAATATATGCTATTGTGTACACACACACACACACACACACACACACACACACACACACACACACACACACACACACACACACACACACACACACACACACACACACACACACACACACACATATATATATATATATATATTTTATATATAATCCTACCGTGGCGAAGCATTCTATAGATGAAACAAATATTCCAACTGTCAAAATAAAATCTCTGGATCTTCTTTGTAACAGAAACAATATCATTCTTTGTATATGTAAGGGAGCTATGTACCATCGAACATTATATCTACAAAAGTTAGTTAATCATAAACGACGAATCGGTAATTTACGATAAATTATAACAAGTAATTTACGATAAATTATAACAAGTTTTTTAAATTTTCATTTGTGCAAAAACAGTGATTATTCTCTCCTCTCTCTCTCTCTCTCTCTCTCTCTCTCTCTCTCTCTCTCTCTCTCTCTCTCTCTCTCTCTCCCTCTCTCCCTCCCTCTCTCTCTCTCTCTCTCTCTCTCTCTTTTCTTTCTCTCCGCTCTCTACTATTTTAATATAATAGTCTCTCTAAAGTGCAAATAAATTTCTTACGTTTTATTTTACAAGAATATTTCTTACACCGTAACAAATACATTGTGATTATGATCTGTTATATCTTGACCAATATAGTTGGATATGAACATATATAAAATAGTGACTAATGCACATATAACAGGTACTATTAAATCCTTGATATTATCTAGTAATTTATCATCTGCAGATGTAATCTGAAAAATCTAAAGCAGTTCTACGTAGATAATTAAATTCCCGCACATACAACGTAATAATGATTTTGTTAATAATAGCAAGCATTATATGCTTTGTTATGGTTTCTATTAATTTTTATAAAGAAAATTATTTTTTAATAAAATATAATTATTAATTATTAAGTTGGAGAGAAGGTAATCTGGATTTTTTCGAGAAAAATGTATTAAAAAATGATTACAACATTTCTTTGCAATTAAAATAATTGCTGTTTGACTCCATTATCTTCTGCCATCTTTCAAGCAGAAATTGGATTCCGTATTAAAGGGTCTTTGATTTAAAGAATTCTTTGATCTATTTCTCGATTTCTTTTACATTTTAAAAGCATTATCCCTTTAAACTATGCTGCATCGATTGAAATAGATAATAATCTGAAGGTGCACCAATTAATGAATGGCAGAATGCAGAACTTCCTGCTCCAAGTCGATTAAGGTGTTCATGATTGCAGCGATATGCATTGTTTTTACAAAAAGATGATCTTAATTTGATTTGAGGCATATAACAATTGTTTATCGAGCAATATTGCGTCTAACTTAGTTGTAGATCTCAGCAGTGACTGTTTGTTGTTGATTGGATAAACATCTATTAGGGGATCCAGTCCCAATGATCTTAATTTTGACATATCTTGTCAAAGTCACTACCTTATGTAATCTTTAAAAAATTTTAGTCACCTCTCGTTGTTTATTACAAATTATAAACAAAAAAAAGGTTTCATTCATTATATGTAATTTTACTGATTACAGGGGTAATATAGAATAGACGTTTGCCAGGAAAGTTGCCTCCCTTTGCCAGGAAAGTTGCAAACCCACGTGGAATCGTGTAATAATAGACTTCGTACTGACTTTCGCACTGACAATACTGTAGATATTGCTTCACATGTACGATTTCACATGGGTTTGCAAATTTTCGGATACCATAAAATATAATAATATACCTCCTATCGTATTGAAAGCATAGGGCAGTATGAGTTGAACCTCGCTTCGAATGGAAAGTCGCAATCCATATAATAATAGACCTCGCTTCGCACTGACTAGGGGTGATGTAGAACAGACCTCGCTTTACCAGGAAAGTGACAAACCCATGTGGAATTGTGTAATAATAGACTTCGTTTCGTACTGACAATAGGGGTGGTGTAGATCTTGCTTCGCATGTGTGGTTTCACATGGATTTGCAAATTTCTATCGGAAGCGAGGTTCAACCGACACTGCCTTGTGCTTTCAGTGCGATACGAAATCTATTATTATACATGATGTCCGAAAATTACATATAATTTGTGAAATATTTTTTCGTTTACAACTTTTTAATAAACAATGAGCGACGGTTAAAACCCTTTGGAGGTTATTCAGGGCAGTTGACAACATATGTTAAGATCAAGCATTGGGGTTGGATCGATATATTTACTATTGATTGTATCGAATCTGCTTTTTCAACAATATCTCTAAATCTTTTGTTTTCATTGGTTATCCATGACGCGGTTGTCTTCGAGATCAAAATTTTCACTTTTGAAGCATCTAAACTATCTTTCATATATATTAGCTGAAACAGTATTCTCTGCATATGTCTCACAAATTAATCGTTTGATTTTGGCAGCGTTTTTTTTCAAATTGAAAAATATAAACAATGACAAATATGCATTTTAGCATCTTGTTAAATCAAAATAAATATATATATATATATATATATATATATATATATATATATATATGACAGACAAAAAGCTTATCTTGCAGTAATTTTAATGTAGGATAGACAAAACAAACAAAAGTTATTTACAAAAATTATTACAGTACACTGTAATTTTTGCCATCTATCTGTGGGATCCGGATTACTTTCTCCCCAACCTAATATAATTATTAACTTAAAGTATCAATATTATACACACACACACTCAGGCACACACTCTCTCTCTCTCTCTCTCTCTCTCTCTCTCTCTCCCCCCTCTCTCTTTCGTTCTCTTAGCATAGAAATATAAGAACTGGAAATTGTGTTATCAACTGGATTATCGCTATACTTACAACACAATTCTTGCTTTTGTATGTGAAATATGGAACGTTTGCTTAAAAATTAAGGCCGAAGAACAAAATAGAAAACTTACTCGATACAAATTGAAACTCATCGAGATTACTCCACATATTATTAAACAAAATAGCATCGGTTTAATGCTCGATTGCAAATGTTGAGACAAACTTTAAAGAAAAATATGTCATACATTACGAATAATAATAAACCTAACACATTATCAAATATATACTTCATGGCTTGTCGATGAATGTCCATAGCCCAAATTAAACCCTCGAATATTGAAAGTTTGTTTTTGGGATTAATATCTCGTAACTTGTTGTTGCTCATTGCGTGTTCGATACGGTAGCTAATAAATAAATTAATATTGTACATTGCAATTATGCTTATCAAATAACATTTTTTGGCTTTAAAACGTTTCTTTTGAAAGTGACAAGATTATATTTATAACTTGTATTCTTACAGTTATATCTTTACGTCTCTTAGTTCTCTTCATGTTCATACCTGGCAATCTTAAACATTCCACAAATGTATTGAAAATACGCAATAAGCATTGTTCCTATTCCTACCATTGCAGTTGCTCCGACGCAGAATGCTACATTAATATGTAGCAAAATCCAGAAGAAATATTTTTCTTGATCGACGAAGTATTCCACTATAAATGGTGTGCTTTGTGATATAGATATATTTATTGGTAATATAATATTGAGAATATTCGACCAAAATTGACCGACTATAATAGCACATATACCACCAATACTGCATACTAAAAGCATTAGAAAAGAATTGTTATTCAAATTTTTATCAAATGATTTTTTAAAGTTGATTTATATCTCAAGCTCATTCATGCATTATAAATTTTATTATCTTTTTATTATCTTATCTTATTATATAAATGATAGGAAGACTATTAGGATTAACAAATATAACAAATAGAGCACAAATGATAAGGGTGTAATTTTCTATAAAAAATATAAAATATTACAAATGTTTCGATTCAATTCAGGATTTCTTCGATGTAGCCAGATATAAACTAAATAGGTATTTAAATTAAAATAAATAACATAATGATTATTGCGTTTGTACTTTACGTTGACATCTCAATTACGATAATTGTGATATTTGCGGTTAATTGCCTTTAAAATTCATCCTTGTCTCTGACCAAATGTATTTATATTTTATATTTTTATTTTTCCGACGTACATACAGCTAACGATTTTTATTTATTTTTTTCTTTTCTTATTGTATATAATTTTTCGTTATAGTGTGTTATTTATATTATACCGAAACGTTTGTAATATTTTATATCTTTTTATCGAAAGTTACATTCTTATCATTTGCGTTCCATTTACAGCATTTTCTGATTCTCATAGTCTTCCTCTCATTTATATGATTTTATCTTGTGTGTGTGGATTTATATGATGATTTAGACATACTAAATTATTTATATTTTCACTTTTTATTCACCCAAACATGATAAATTTTTATTATGTAATTTATAGCACACTTATACTTTTTCTAATATTTTATATCATTTAAATATATTCATTTTTAGTTAGTAATCATTGCATAAATGCATGTGATAAATTATATAATTTGACATACTTAATATTATATATATTTCTATATATGATATATAAAAAATATTGTATATTTTGTCTAAATCATTTTTCTGCTGAAATCTTGAAATGTTTGCACTGAAAATGAAGTGTAATCAAATTAAAAAATTTACAAACATCTTACTCATAAGTGCAGTAGTATAACGATAAGCATTGTATCCATACTCGTTAATGATAGCAAATTCGTTTTCGTCTTTTAACTCATTACATGCAAGTTGCAGGTGCTCCAGTAAATCTTTTACCTGTTATTTTATTAATTATAATAATGTAATTTTATATTACTAATTTAATTTTATATTTTATACATTTATATATACATAACAGAGAGATGTAAAAATTATTCATGTAAGATTTCATTTAATATTAATATATTTCTATTTAATGTATATGTGTAGAAAAAGAGAGAGAAAGAGAGAGAGAGAGAGAGAGAAAGAAAAGAGAGAAAAGAGAGAATAAATTATTAACTCATAAGTTATTTTGCAAACTTTTAACTTGTAAACTAACTTACAGCTTTGATATTAATACAAAACATGTTATATTTTATCACAAAAACGGCAAAGATGGATGCGGAAGATAAAATTTTAACGACAAAATCCGGAGTACATTTTTGTGAAATAAAGGGTGTACACTGTAATAAATGTATGTGTAAATAATAATTTTACTTACGAATTTGTATTAAAAAATTATTTTTAGAAAGTTAGAAGCGCGCATACAAATGCACAAGTTTTTTATTTTATGTTATTAAACTTACTTTATTAAAATAATTTTTATAATATAATGTTCGGTAAAAAATTATATTTATAAAGTGAATTAAATGTGTGTTAATGAATGATGAAAATGTCATATAAATAAAAGTTTGCTTTTTCAGTAATAACAATAATTATGTGTGTGTAATTATATAAGTGCAAAGAAAGTGAATACAATTATTTATAGCTAATATAATTTTATTTCAATCTAAATTATAAGATATATTTAAGATATGTATATATTCATTATTTATAATAATTCATTATTTATATTAATATTATTATATTAAAAAGCTTTATCATCATCATCATCATTGGTGAAACAACCCTTTGTGAGCCAGTACCTGCTCCAGTTTATGCCTCCAAGTTTTCCTGTTCAAATTAAAAAGCTTACCTGAAATATAAAACTCGACGTCAAAATAGCTGACAGAAAAACGAATTGAAGTCGAGTGAGGTTCGATTGTTTGTAAGGCCATAGACCAATAGCAAGTAAAAGAGTCCTATTCAATTTAAGATACTGAATCTCGAAACGGATCATCTTTTTCCGAAGTCTGAGGTGAATATGACAGTAAAATAATCGACGAAAGTACACACATCCCCTCCAATTTCCATTGTTCGTTCAGATATTTTATTATTCACCTCTTCTGATATAAATTTCAACACAAATTGCGTATAATTTCATATAATGCAAACCGACACAATATAATACGACGCGATAAAAGTAAAATGTCCATAGTTTAATGTTTTTCGCAATAAACTCCTTAATTCTTTACGATCGATTTGATAACAGATAATTTCAGCAAGCGTTTACCATAAAAAAATAAAAGAAAATATTTATCGAACGAATTACTAAAGCGCGAAAGTCGCACATGCGTATTTCTTACTTTTCTTTTTCACCGCAAATTTACACGTTTCATTCTGTCGTCTGCTCTCGTGGCGTACATTTGATCTTCCACACGACTGTCATTCATTTTTGAGAGCATCGAACCTTTCTGATAAAGCTGATACTATTTAAGAGAATCGATCATACTTATGCATTATATAAGTTAAATTAATTAGCAATCGGCGCGATGAAATTTCCCATTTTTAAATTTAAATACCGACACGTTATTAATTATCGTTATATATATATATATATATATATATATATATATATATATATATGTTACAATTTTTACTTCCTATCCACATTACTACTTACTACACTTTAATCAACAAAATGTTTGTTTCTCCATATTTTATCTTACATAAAAAGCTTTGTACATGCTATAAAATAGAAACTTTCACCTTTTTTAATACATAAAATATTATTTCTTTGTTAAAAGTATTTTAACCATGTTGTCATATATGATTCAAACTCATCATTGTACAGAATATATAACTGTAAAGTAAGACACTGAGACCTTGACTAGCTAGAATAAAAAATATTTTATATTTGATTACGTTAATCATTAGTAATATACGCTCTAAGTATATTTTACATATTATCTTACCGTGGCAAAAAATTCTAGAGATATGACAAATAATCCGGCATAATTCAACACAAAATCTCTGGACTTTCTTTGTAACAGGAATAATATTATTTTCTGTATATATAAGGGAGCTATATACCACTGAACGTTATATCTACAATAATAAATAATTATAAGTGACAAATCGATAATTTAAGACAAACTACGAAAACTTTTTAAGTTTGCATTCCTTGTGTAAAAATACGTCCTATAATTTAACATAATAGTCTCTAAATTGAAAATAGATTTCTTAAATTTTATTTCCCAGAAATATTACTTACACCGTAACAAATATGTCGCGATTGTGATCCGTTATATATTGACCAATACAATTAGATAACAACATATATAAGAAAATAATTATTGCATATAATAAGGGTATTATTAATTCCTTGACATTATATAAAGATATATCATCTGCAGATATAATCTGAAAAATCTGAGGCACGAGATCTACATTGATAATTAGTCTCTCGCACGTACAATGTATGACTTTACTATAAATAACAATATGCTTTTATGTTTTGTTTTGGTTTCTATATTAATTTTAATAAAGTCAAAAAATCTGATATTAATTAGCTTGAATTATCAATGTTATTATATTTTCTTTTTTCTCTCTTTCGTAATATAACAATACATAATTATTTGATAACTTTGATGTTATCTGAATGAAAGATTATTATGTTTTATTAATTATTACAACAGTCCACAACAGGAAAAAAGATTCTATTCTTTTGTATGTCGCTGTTTTTTACTTAAAATATGCTTATCTAGAAGTAAAGATTAAAGAAGAAAGATAGGGACGTATGTGGGAGGAGGTCGGACGTGTCTTTATGTCCATTTGGTCAACGAACGACAGAATCCATCCGTGATAACGATATCGACGCATATCCTGTGAAGAGAGGATATCCTATTCACTCATTTTTCAGCTTAATGAATAATTGCTAGAAAACAATATTCGCAGACTAGAAAAATATGTGAGGCGCAAGTGGCTGGATCGGGAAATCGAACCCGAGTCTTTCGCTTTCCGGGCAACTGCTCTAGACCATTGAGCTATCCAGACCTCCTAATGCTGCTTTTTAACAGATATGCGACTTTAGAGCGATGTTGGCATCTCACTCAATGGATGCAATGCCGATTGCCACGGAGGATCCCTGAAAGGTCGCTCGCTGACCAAATAAGTGCTGGTGGAGGTATTCGCGTACAAGGTGTTTCATCAACATACAGCTCAATACGACGAATTGCCTGCTCATAAAAGCGCAAGACAAGTAATGCAGGAATAGGTAATACTCTAGATCACTCGCGTACATTTTTGACGAAGTATACTAGCTGTCACGCTATCAACGCGTAATAAGTTAAAAGAAAAAATTAAATTGCACAGAATAGTGAACTTGTGACATGAATATTTGAAAGTATATATCTAAAACAATGTTATAATATTATAATATTATTATTATTATATAACTTTTAACATTATATATCAATAATCCTCATCTACATATGATTGCAATAATATTATAATATTATTATTGTAATATTATAATATTATTGCAATCATATATATATGAGGATTATTGATATAATGTTAAGAGTTATATTAAGTTTAAGTTTCTTTTTATTATTTTTCTTGCGCTCTCATGAGCAGGCCGTCGTATTGAGCTGTATGTTGATGAAACACCCTGTACATGCTGGCTTCCGACTGGTCTTCCGACTGTGAGAACAGAAAACTTACTTGATACATATTGAGACTCATCGAGGCTACTCCAAATATTATTAAACAGCATACCATCGGTTCAATATTTAATTGTATATTAGTGGACAGACTTTAAACAAGAAAAAAATGTTATATTACAAATAATAATAAATCAAACACATTATTGAATACATGCATACTTCATAGCTTGTCGATGAATGTCTACAGCCCAAATTAAACCTTCCAATATCGAAAATTTGTTTTTGACATTACTATTTTGTAACATGTTGTTACTCATTGCGAGCTCGATACGATAGCTAATAATTAAATTAATATAACGTATATTGTAATTATGCTCATCAAATAACATATTTTTTATTTTATTAATGTTTCTTATAAAAATGACAAGATTATATTTATAACTCTCATTCTTATGGCTATTCACGTTCCTACCTGGCTATCTTAAACATTCCACAAGTGTATTGAAGATACGCAATAATCGTTGTTCCTATTCCTACCATTGCAATTATTCCGACGAGAAACGCTACACTAATATGTAACAGAATCCAGGAGGAATATTTTTCTTGATCAATGAAGTATTCCACTTGAAGTGGTATGTAATATGGTCGAGATGCGTTTATTGGTAATATAATATCGAGTATATTCGACCAAAATTGAGTGACAGCAAGAATAAATATGCCGGAAATAGAACATACTAAGAGAGTTAAAAAAACAATTATTATTAAAGTCTTGATCGTATAATTTTTCTAAGTTGGTTTGTATTATCTCAAACTCTTTCAGGCATTCACTATTTTATTATCTACCCTTCTTTACCATTCTCTATTATTTAATTTAATTTAAGTGTAATTGTTAGTAATTATTATAATGTATGTGACAAATACTTTGTTAGACATAATTAACGTATTTATGATACATATGAAAAGATTGTTGCATACGCTGAATTGAATTTTTGCTGAAACTTTGATACCTCTAGTCGAAAAAGAAGTGTGATTGTTTTTGAAAAAAATCTAAAATCTAAAAATATCTTACTCGTAAGTGCAGCGGTTAAACGTGTGGCACTGCATTCATATTCGTTTATGATATCAAATTCGTTTTCATCTTTTAACTCATTACATATGAGTTGTAGTTGTTCCAGTAAATCTTTCATCTATTTTTATGGACAATTTTACATGTCATCATATTATTTTACATCACTTTTTTATATATAACATTTGAAATAAAATGGCACATAGAATAAATTGTGTGTTTAAAAATTCATTTAAGAACAACAATTATTATGTTTAATGTATTAAGTTACTATTAACTAAATGTGTTAAGTTATTATACCATTGATTAAAAAAATATCCCAAATGTAGGTTTCCAACTTTATAAGATAAGCTTATCTACTTACATTTTCCATATTAACAGAGAATAGGATATATTTTATCACGAAGAGGGAAAAAAAAGTTGCGGAAGATAAAATTTTGGCGAAATCCGGAGTACATCTTTGTGAAATCAGTGGTGTATACTGTAATAAATAGAAATTTTACGTATGAATTTGCATTAAAAAATTATTTTTTATAATCATAAGCACACACATACGTACATGAATTTTTTTTATATCATTAACAAATTAACGCCGTGTCAGTCACCGATGACCAACGATAAACTTTCCGTTTAGGCTGCATCAATCACCGGTGACCGACAATTAATATAAAATTTAATAAATAATGTTCTAATTCTATTAAAAATTAAAAAGTTTTAAGATTATGAAAAGGAAAAATGTAGCTAAAAAGTGTTAACGAAGGCATAATTTTTGTTTGATTTCTTTTCGGAATGCAAGAAAGGTTTTTAACGATTCAAAAATTAAGATACTTTTTTCATAAAAGTGAATATTATCTTTAGACAGACTACTCGAAATGATTTCCAATGATTCTTGATGTTAAATTTAATTTCTAAAGATATATGTTGTCAAGGTTATAACTCTGAATGATCTTCAAAAGGTTTTAACCGTCATTTTTGTATGATTTTATATTTTGGTTCCGTATGAGTTTACAATTTTCCACGCGAAATAGCTCATCCCGCACTATCCATACAATCAGTACAAAACGAGGTTTATTTTTCATGAATTTACAATTTTCTTCACGAAGCGAGATTCATTCCACATCATCAATGCGAAACAAGGTCTATTATTGTAGTGTCACATGAGTTTACAACTTTCCACGCGAAGCGAGGTTCGTCCTAGACCACTCTTGAGTCAGTGCAAAATGAGATCTATTATTATATAAATCCACATAAGTTTACATGTTATTTAAAAATTAGATATAATTCGTAAAAGTTTTATTTATATTTTTAATAAATAATGTGATCTTGACAACATATGTCCTTAGAAAGTTAAATTTAACATCAAGATCAACTGAAAGTCCTTTTGAACAGACTATGTAATATGTAATATAATATTCGCTTTTACGAAAAATGTTTAAAAAGTGTCTTAATTTTTGAATCGCCAAAAATCCTTTTATATACTTTTTCTGAAAGGAATCTATTTATAAAATTTAACTGAAATCAGAGCATGATAATTTTCGGAAGTTTCGCCGATATTATAAATGCAAATACTATACATATTTATAATTTATTGTTGATACAACTTTATTCCAACATAAATTTGTGAGATACTTAAGTTATATGTGGTATATAAGAAATTGCTCTTTTCCAGTAATTTCTTATTAATAATAATATTTTATTAAAGTTTACCTGAAATAGAAGACTCGTCAACAAAATAATAGAAAAGAGAAAAAATTGAATTCGCGAAAATGTCGTTTGTTGATTTGGCCACAGGCCAATAGCCAGCAGAAGAATTCTATTTAGTTTAAAAAAACGAGACTCTCTTTCAAGATGGATCATCTTTTTGCGAAGTCTTTGCTGGGACGCATATGACAATGAAGTAATCGATCAGAATATATACACCCCCTTTTTATTCAAACGGATATTTTATTACTTTTCTTTTCCGGTATAAATTTTAGCATAAATTGTATAAAATTTAATTTAATGCAAGACGATATAAATATACGGTTTGATAAAAGCGCAATATTTATATTTTAATAATATTTCTTTCAATAAAGTCCTCAATTATGCGATCGATTTAATAGAGGAAAAATTTGAACGATTATTTACCATAAGAAAATAAAAGGAAACATTTATCGGACAAATTATACTAATGCGAAAGTCACGCATGCGTATTCTCCACTTCTCTTGTACCGCAAATTTACACGTTTCATTTCTATTGTCCGCAGTCATGACGTACGCTTGGTCTTCGAGAGATGAATGTCATTCACTACTGAGAGCATCGGTTCTTTCAGGTAAATCTCATAATATTTTAAACAGTCGATTAGATCTATGAATGATAAATTTTATATATATGTTAAATTTGTAATTAATAATTGACGTGAAATAAAATTTAACATTTTTAAAATTAATACCGCTTTGTTCACATAAATCATTACTACTTATATCACTTTGATTAACAAAATGCTTAAACTTAAATAACTATAATAATTACTTCTTTATGCATTATTAGGTTATATGAAAAAATATTTTGCAATTACATACAAAGTATATAATCAAATAATAAAGATAAAAATTATTTATTTATTATATAAATTTATTTCCGTACTAACATCTACGATTAGTTTTTAGCCTTTTCTCTATTATTTGATTTTGTCATCATCAAAACTTTTAATTTTTATTACTGCAAAATATATTTTAAAATCATCGTACTATGTTTTAAAAATCAATTTCAAATAAATAACAAATGATCAAAATAAGACAATGATATTGCGTACAATGCATTTAAATAATTATATAAATATGATATGTACACACACATACACACACACATGTATCGATCTTAATTATTTTCATTATTAAATTAATTTTACCTTTACATTTCTTTATTTTTGTTTTCGATGCTTTGTATAACTATTGTTTACTTTAATACAAATTATAAATAAAATTCAGCAAATTTTAAATTATTGAAACATGTAATAAATAATAAAGAACTGCTATAAATCATTGTATATTATAGCTTAGCTCGTTATAATATATAATATTGAGAAATGTTTTCTTACTGGAATAAAAAATAGCAGTGCTCAAAATACTAAGAAAAAAGATAAACCGAAGTTGATCGAGTTATAAATGTTGGTATGACTACAAGCTTATAATCAGCAGAAACATTCTGTTAAGATTAAAATATTGTGCTGTCATACAGATCATCTCTTTACGAACTCTAGACTATTTTCTAGTATGATTGTAAAAAAGTCGATATGCGCTCATCCCTCTCTTTTGCATTGATCGATTAAATATCATCTACAAGTATTCTTTTTTAATATTTCAATAGAAATTTAATATAACATCAGGCAATACACAAAACATCACTCTATAGTTGGAACATGCATTTCAAAAATTGTGCCAGTGAGGTGTATACGTATAATCACAAACGCTCAAAATATTTTAATGCGTGTCCTTTTCCCACAAATAAAACCTTTCAATGTCGACACTTCAATACTGACGCTTATATGATACATTTAATCTTTGAGAAAAATATCTTTCGCTATAATTTTAAGCATTTCAATATCGGATCTGTCTAGTAAACTTATATTATCTTAAACCAAGTGGATTAGATAAATGCATAACACTTTCAAATTTTAAATCGATGATCAATTAAAATTTTGTCATGATTGTTATATCATTCTATATTATAAATAAACATTTATCTAAAAATAAACTATTTCTTCTTTATTTAAAATTAATGCTAATATAGATGCTCTAATGCCAAATATATTGTTTAAAAGTAACTGTGTCATTATAAATATTATTTATTAAAAATATTCAAAATAAAAAATAAATGCATCTTTATTATTGTTTTTATTTAAAATATATTATGTGCAACATTTACTTTTAATACAAATGGAACATAACAATATCTAATTATTTAATTAATCTTATTTGTCTAAATTAATTAATCTCATTTCTCTAAGTAGAATTTTTTATCTTGTTTAATAATTGAAATGTTATTTCTTTCTTAATTATATCTCGTCCTCGCTGTTACTTGATTTAATTCTCGTCATTGTGTGGAATATATAACTGTAAAGTAAGACACTGAAGTCTTGACTAGCTACAATAAAAAATATTCTATTCATATATTGCGCTATCTATTCCTATAAGTATATTTTATATGTCATCCTACCGTGGCGAAAAATTCTATAGATACAACAAATAATCCGACGTTTAATATAAACTCTTTGGATTTTCTTTGTAGCAGGAACAATACCATTCTTTGTATATGTAAAGGAGCTACATACCATCGAATGTTATATCTACAATAATAAATAATTGTAAGCGACAAATCGATCATTTAAAATAAATTACAAAAGCGTTTTAAAGCGTTTGCGCTTGTTGTTCAAAAATCCTATATATAAATAGGTCTCCTATATATAAATTTAACATACCAGTCTCTAAAGTGAAAATAGATTTCTCCAATTTTATTTCGCAGAAATGTTATTAAATTTAACTTACACCGTAACAAATATGTCGTGATTGTGATCCGTTACATGTTGACCAATATAGTTAGATAAGAACATGTATAAGATAGTGATTCCTGCACATAGAGAGGGCATTATTAATTCCTTGACATTTAAAGATGTATCATCTAAAGATGTAATCTGAAAAATCTAAAACAATGTGTTTCACATTGACAATTATTCTCTCACACATTATAAGTACGACTTTACGAATAATAGAAAGCATTCATATTTTAATTTAGTTTCTATTAATTATTATAAAAATACAAAATTATTATCCGTTGATAATTAGTTTAAAATTTCAATGATATTGCTCTCTCTCTCTCTCTTTCTTTCTCTTTTGTTCTTTTCCTCAGCATATAAATATAAGAATTATTTGAAAATTATGTTATTGATTGAATAATGATTATTGTCATACTTTATAAATAGTTACAATATTCCACATAAATTTAGAACGTTTTGTATTTTATACTTTTATAGTTTTGTATATGTGTGCAAACGCGTGCTCAAAGCTTAAGATTGACGAACAAAACAAAAAACTTACGCGATATAGATTAAGACTCACTGATGCTACTCCAAATATTATTAAACAGAACATCATCGGCTCGATGCTTGATAGTAAATGTTTGGACAATCTTTAAAGAAGCAAAATACGTTATATTATGAATAAAATAATAAAAATTTAACACATTATCAAATATATACGAACTTCATAGCATGTCGATGCATGTCTACTGCGAAAATTAAACCCTCGAAAATCAAAAATTTGTTCTTCAGATTATTATTTCGTAGCATGTTGTTATTCATTGCATGTTCGATACGGTAGCTAAATAAATAAATTAATATAATGCATGTGTTATAATTATGCTAGCAAATAACTTTATATTTTTCTTTAAAATATTTCTTTTAAAAATGGTAAAATTCCATTTACAACCTGCATTCTTATGATTGTTCTCTTATTTATGTTTATACCTGGCTATCTTAAACATTCCACAAGTGTACTGAAGATACGCAATAAGCGTTGTTCCTATTCCTACCATTGCAGTTGCTCCGACGCAGAATGCTACATTAATATGTAGCAAAATCCAATAGGAATATTTTTCTTGATCGACGAAATATTCCACTGTAATTGGTATGCGATGTATTTGAGATACATTTATCGGTAATATAAAATCGAAAATTTTCGACGAAAATTGAGCGGCAATAATAGCAAATACGCTGCAAATACCACATACTAAAAGCATTAAAAAACAATTATTATTACTCAAATTTTATCATATAATTTTTGTAAGTTGTATACTAATTTAATCTCATTTATGCATTATAAATTTCAGTGTTTTTTTATTAACCCGATTGTAATCGATTTTTATTATGTAATTCATTGCACAAATTTTGTCTTCTTTCTAGTATTGTATATAATTTACACCTATTTGTTAGTAATCAATATAAATGCTGTGATAAATATTTGACATAATTGATGTATCATGTAAAAAATAGGCCCCAATAAAGTAATATAGCTTAATGTCATTGAAACGGATGGATTTTATTGTATATTCCTAGACTCGATTTTCTAATTTCGATGTATTCTTTCATGCGGACTTATTTTCCGAAACCTCGTGGGGTGAGGAGTACTAAGCTTCGTTTTTTAAAATGTACCTTGTCAAAAAATTAATATGAATATAGTCAATTCTACTTTGAAAAGGAAGTCATTTTTATTCAAAAAATTTTTTTCTACAATCATTAATTTTTAAGCTACAATCATTCAAAATTGTTCGGAGCACCGAACGTTCATATCTAACGGATATTCATCGAACTGCGAGCGCATTAATTTTAATAAATGTTAAAAAGCATACCAAATATTTTCAAACATTTAGTTAAAGTAGTCTTTTGGCAATATTTTTAAAAAGAAAAGAAAAATAAATCCATTGGCAATATTTTTAAAAAGAAAAGAAAAATTTCTCCATGTGAAAAGACACATGGAGAAAATCTAATCCAAGGACATTAAAATCACACAAGTCATTTCAAAGATATTAAGTTAATATCTTTCATCAACACTTTATTTAGCCCAACCTGTATATGTAATATAAAGAGATTGTTGCATACTCAATCAATAAATCGAATTTTCGCTGAAACTTTAACAGCTTGTGCGCTTTAAAAAGGAAGTGTAATTTGAAAATTTTTTTTTTAAATATCTTACTCGTAAGCGCAGCAGTTACACGTTTGGCACTGCATCCATATTCGTTTATGATAGCAAATTCGTTATTATCTTTCAACTCATTACATATAAGCTGTAATTGTTCCAATAAATCTTTCACCTGTTTTTTTGAACAATTCTTTATATCATTTGCATACATAAAAGTGACATATAGAAAAAATTGTAGAATAATTTCTTTGACAACAATATTTATCCTGTTTAATATATATATTGAGAAGTTATTAACAAATAAATTATCCTGTAAGTTTTTTAACTTTGTAAATTACTTACAGCTTCCATATTAATACAGAACATATTATATTTTACCACAAACAGAGCAAAGAAGGATGCGGAAGATAAAACTTTGGCTACGAAATCCGGAGTACATTTTTGTGAAATAAGGGGTGTACACTGTAAATAGTAATTTTACTTACTTAGAGTTTGTATTAAAAGATTTCTCTAAAATCATAAACACTCATAAGCATACATATACATACATATGCATACATATGCATATATATACTTATTTCTTTTAATGTGTGTTTAAATCTATTTTAAATAATTTTTATTCAATATAATATTCGGCGGCAAATATATATGTATCATATATAATATACATATTATATATATATATATATATATATATATATATATATGTGTGTGTTTATATATATATGAATTTAAACTAAATTCAAAAAAAATTTATCCACGTATAATTTAATATAATCTTATTCTAATCTTTATTTCAATCTTATGATTTATTTAAATTATATATGATGTAAGATTACTCTAATGTTTTATTTATTAATAATATTATATTATATTAGAGCTTACCTGAAATATAAAACTCGACGTTAAAATAGTAGACAAAAAAATGAATTGAAGTCGAGTGAAGTTTGATTGTTGATAAGGCCACAGGCCAATAGCAAGAAGAAGTATCCTATTCAGACTAAAATATTGATCATGAGTCTTAAGATAGATCATCCTCTTGCAAAGTCTGATACGCATTTGATAGGGAAATAATAGACGAGAATACATCGCCTCCTTTTTTCATCAATCGACCGAATATTTTATTATTTTCCTCTTCTGGTGTAAATTCTCTTAATTTTATCTTCTGGTGTAAATTTTATCAAAATTGCATATAATTTGTATAAAGCAAACAGTCAACTATATACATACATGATGCGGTAAAAATATAATATTCATAATTTAATAATATTTTTCGCAATAAAGTCTCTATTTATGCGATCGATTTGGTAGAGGAGCAATTTCTCCATTTACTATAAGAAAATAAGAAAAAATATTTATGTAAGGAATTACTTGCGTAAAAGTCACGCATGCGTATTCGAAATTTTCTTCGTACAGCAAATTTAGATGTCTCATTCTGTTATCCACACTCGTGATGTATACTTAGTCTTCCAGAATGTTATTCACTATTCGAAACATGAGCTTTTCGGTAAGAAGCTTATATCATTAAAAAAAGCTTATATCATTTAAAAAAGTTAATATATTAATACTATATATACAAAACTTCTAATTACTTAATACAATGACATACCATTATTATATGAAAGCTAAATATCGATATTTATTTAACAACTATCGTGTATGATTACATAAGTTTTTATTATTTACGTTACTTTGATCAGCAAACTGTTTAGATGTAAAAATTTAAAAACGTTAATATTAAGAATAAAGTAGACATTTAAAATTAATATTTGATATATCTCATACAAATTGTGTGAACGAAAAATTAAACTATTTAGAGACAAAATATAATGTTAAAATATCTGTAATTTTATTTTTATATAAAACATATACAAAATAGATAATTTTATGTATTATTTTTAAATATATCTCTTGTAGTGTTGCATAAGACATCTAAATTATTAATTTATATATATATATATATATTTATAAAACTCTTATAAAAGATAGCTTTTTTTGAAATATTGATATTTTTTTTATACATAGACTATTTATTATAAGAGAAATTAAGTTAGAAAAAAGATTTGTGATAATGCTAACATTGAAATGTATAAATTATTGAATATAATTATTTAAAAGTAACGTGACTGTAGGGTGTTTCTGCAACATACACATCATTAAGTCGAATTGCCTATCTGCCCACCGTCAGGGATATGCTTTATTAGGCTTGCAGAATAAGATCAAAATGAAAATAAGGAAAAGAAAATCAGTTTTTATCACTCTATTATAGTGAACAATTGTGAAATTTAATAATATAAGTAAAATATTTATTTAATAATTTAGATAAAATAACATAAAATTTAATAAACAAATTTGAACAAATATAATGAAAAATACTTATAATGAAAAATATTTCATTTTTCATTATAAATAATATAATAAATTATAGAAATTCGATGTAATCATTATTTTTCTCTAAACATAGAGTAATCCTGTGCATGAAAATGTTTTTCACTTATTTTATCAGTGAGAAGAGTGATCTCATGCCTATGGACTTTTTCATGTGGAGCTTATTAAAAAATAAAGTATATCAAAAAATGCCGGAAAATGCAGAAATTCTCAAAAATAGAATTTATATTGCCTGTGCAAAGATTATTCCTCTTATAAAATGAGTAAAAGAAAATTGTATGCGCAAAATTGCTTTATGTTTAGAAAAAATGGTGATTACATTGAACATTTATTATAATTTATTACATTTAAAAATCTCAAAAATATATTTGTCATTCTAAGTATTTTTTATTATATTTGTTTAAATCTGTTTATTAAATTTACGTTATTAATATATGTTAATATATGTTATTAAATATTATAATTAAATGTTATAATATGTTATTATTAAACGAAATTGTCAATTTGTTAGAATTGAATATTTATGTATATGTATATTATATATATATATATGTAAATTATTTATATCTATATATGTATATTATTTATATCTATATATGTATATTATTTATATCTATTATTTAAATGTATTGTATCTATATTATTTAATTAAAAATAAAATATTATTAGATTATATATAAGATTATATATAAGATTATATATAAGATTATATATTAGATTATATATCTATATTATTTAATTAAAAATAAAATATTATTAGATTATATATAAATATATAACATACACTCTTGAATATATATATTATCTATATTATTAAATTTTACAATTGTTTACTATAACAAAATGATAAGATTTTCCTTTTCTTACTCCCCACTGAACTCGTATCCCAATTTTATTCAGCAAGCCCAATAAAGTATGCCCCTGACGTTAGGCATCCCAACTTAATGATTTGTATGTTGCGGAAACATCCTATATAAATCGCAAATAATGTAAATAAAATGTAATAAAATTTGATATTTTTGTCAGTAACATAAAATTAAATGAATTTGTGTCAGTGTTTTAAATTGAAAAACGATAAATTTCTTGATGTATAGAAAGTCTATCCATTATATTATATTTTAAATATATTTAAATATATTAAATATATATATATTTAAATATATTTAAATATATTTAAATATATTTAAATATATTTAAATATATTTAAATATTTTTAAATATATCTCTTTTTAGAAATCTCTCTTACGTGCCAATTTAAGTACAAAAATTATGGGATTAATAATAAATTTTTAAAATATGTTTTATTTTTAAATGTATATAATTATAATATTGAAGTTTAATTAATTAAATTTCTGCAACATTTCAATTTCGTTATTATTTTTATTCTTATCTTATTATTGCGTTGAATATATGACAGTAAAATAAGAGACTGAGGCTTTCACCAGCTGTAATATTTATTTGTACTATATTGTCTAAAATATGAATATTTTGGTATACTTGAATATATTTATTATTTTTACCGTGGCGAAACATTCCAACGATCCAACAAATAGTCCACCGACGCTTAAAGTAAAATCTTTGGCGCCTCTTTGCAGCAGAAATAGTATCAATTTCTGTATATGTAACGGAGCTGCATGCCACTTTACATCATACCTATGTAACCATGTATAGAAAGTATATGCATATATTTATATGCGACAATATTGACTTTTTAACAATATAATTTTTGAGCTGCAATACTTCAAATAATCTGTCTAAAATGTTTCTTACACAGTAGCAAAGATGTCATTATTGTGATCCATTATAACCTGTGCCACATAATTAGCTAAAAACATGTATAGGACACTGACAGTCACAAATAAAATTGGAAATATAAACTCCTTGACATCATTTCCGGATGAGGCAATCTGAAAAATCTAAATCACAAGCAGTTCTCCGTTAGTTTTAGACTAATCAATATTGGAAATGATAGGATCAAAAATGACCGTCATATACGGAGTAGAGATTAAGGAAAGATATATTCCTGTTCTTTTTTCTTTATTTTCTCTTTCTTTCCTTGCTGACGTTTGATTTTAGAAAATAAAAGATTTTTATATATTTATATAAACCAATCTCGTAATCATTCGCCAAATAATAAGAATAACATTTTTTTACGAATAATGTTCAGAGAATGTAAGAAATGTAAATGTAACTTCGTTACAATTGCGATCCACGATAACATTTGATAGATGCTTTGTGTAATAAAATACATAATGCAAATGGAAACAATCAACTAGCATTTCAGAAAAGTAATAATACTTGCGAAGATCGGTAACATGCCTTTTTAATGAGCGGATTTAAGTCATTTTGCTTCATGTACTTGCAATAAAAATATTAAAGCAAATTATTTTGAAAATTTATTATAAATTTATTATTTATCTTTTATTTAGAGAGTTCAATGGAAACATATAAACATTTTCAGTTTCTTTTAAATATTTCTATTTTTTGAAAAACGTGTTGGACAAAAATAATCGCCCTGCATATTTTGAAGATGTCCCGTACTAACAATATGATATAAAGATTAATATAAAATACAATATAAAAGTATATATATGTATATTAAATATTTCTTGAAAATAATGGGTATATAAAAACATAATAAACTTACTTGAAAAAGATTAAGACTCAAAGAGATCACTCCGATTATTATTAAACAGAACAACATTGTCTGAATTTTTGATACCAAAAGTCCGGTTAATCTTTCAGGATCACAGTATTATTATTATAGACATATTATATACGTGTGTCATGGAATAAAAATACTAACCTCATTGCTTGACGATGAATATTTACAGCACTAATTATTCCTTTCAATATTAAATTCTCCTTTAATTTAATATTTTCTAACGTATTTACATAAACTGCGCGTCTAATACGATAACTGTAATTAACACATTTAGGGAATTATACTTTTTTATGCCTTCTAAATAAATATTAGCTTTTTTCAAAACACAACAATGGAGTTTTAATAATTCGAAACGTCGCAATTATTATCACGTGTGTCTCTTACCTGGAAATTCTAAACATACCACAGGTATGTTGAGCATACGCAATAAACGTTGTTCCTATTCCTACCATTGCAGTTATCCCGATGCACAATGCTACATTAATATGTAGCAAAATCCAATAGTAATATTTTTCTTGATCGATAAAATATTCGAATCTAACCGGCAACCGACGTGATAAAGATACGTTCGGTAAAATAATATAAAGAATTCTCGACCAAAATAGAGCGATGATAGCAGCAAATATAGTGCAAACGCCTAGTACTAAAAAAATTTAAATATAAAATTGTCATTATTAATTTGTCTCCTAGAAATTTTTGAAATTAATTTAATTATATTACATACATATAACACTTATAATTAAATTTAATGTATAAATTTTTGAAGCAATTATTATTTATTTCAATCATATACATATGTAATAACTGTTGAAAGTTCTTTCTTCTATTTGATTTCCCTTTACACATATTTATCTTTATATTTTTATGTTTGAATATGCGCCAAACATTTTAATAAGTTCGTATGATGCATTACATAGATACACAATATACACAAATATATAGAAATTATTTGAATAAATATAACAAAAATAATTTTTTCCAATTTGCAATTTCTATAACTCATATTAAATAGATGTAGATATAGATAAAAATTTAAAAATATTGCCTTACCTATGAGTGCCATCGTATAACGTCTTGCATTGCAACTATATTCTTGCATAATAGCAATTTCGTTCTTATCTTTTAATCCGTCAAATATATGCTGAAGATCCATTAATAATTCCTTCATCTGTTATTTGTCAGCAACTTTGTGAATATTGTTTTGTTACATAATAATAAAAACTATTTTAAATTTTACGACAAGAATATTTTTTTTATCTGTTATCAATTTATGAACGATATCGCTTCTTAAAAATTACCAATTGTAAGCTATCAACTTACAACTTCCATGTTGAAATAAAATAAAGTATATTTAATCACAAAGGTACTGGAGAAACATGTAGATGATAAAACTTTAGTAATGTGGTCTGGAGTACATCTTAATGTAACAAATGTCATAAGCTATAAGAAATAATCTAATTAAAGGCATGCAGACATTACTCTTTTTGCATTAAAACATTATTCCTTTAAAAACGAACAAATTATAAATTATATATCTCTAGATATTTCTTTATACATTTGTGTATAACATGATTGAAATAATATATGATATGTAATATATTATAAACTTTTATGATAATAGCTTATGCAATAATTTCATTATGGTTTGAATGAAGCTTTTAAGCGTGTACACAATATAAAATCTTATTGCGTGACAGTTACATTAAAACATATTACATTAAAACATATTGCATTTACATTAAAATATATCGAAAAAATAAAATACAAACATAAGAAGTATTGATATACCTGAAATATAATACTCGTTATCAGAATACTAGAACAGAAAATAAACTGAAATCGAGTTAGATTCGATTGTTGCAAAGGCCATGTACCAATAATAAGTAATAATAATCTATTGATTTTAAAGTGTTGAGTTTCAAGGGAGATCATCTCTTTACAAAATCCAGAGCACAAGTGACTGCGAAAAAATCGAGAAAGGTATACACTTATCCCCACCTTTTTTATTGATCGGTTATGTATATTTTCTTATAGCGCAAATTTTTGCTCTATTATTCCATTATTCCAATTTAGTGTAATGTAAGGCGACATTAGATATTATTATGAGATCAGAAACATTACATTTTCGTAGCATTTGTAGAAATGAATGTCTGTTAATAATTGATCGATTGCATATCAAGAAAAATTGAATCGTCTATTTTTTATGTAAATAAGAAAAAATTACTTATGAGAGAGAACTACTGTCGACTGGAGCCGCGCAGGTGTATTTCTTTATTGTTAGCATCGCTACTTTATTCTATCGTATGCCTTTGCAACATATTTTTCGTCTATGAAAGAAATATCATTCAGCTCTTTAGATATTATAATGAATAGATTAAATCTGTTTATCTCTTCGCAAAACGTGTCTGTGAACATGTTACATTAAATATTTATTTTTATATTCTAACATACTATTCACTCGTGATATATTCTAACGACAAATGAGAATGCAACGGACAGTTCATTAACATTAAAATTCTGTTTATAACAAAAATATTATAAGATTTTATACATGTATGAGAAATAGCACTAAGCATTGTATTTACAAAATTTTATATAAATATTTAATTGGTAATTTTAGAAAAATAGAACAAGGTCTGTTATCAATAATAGCATGAGTTTTTTGGTAAGAAGGTTATATCATTTAAAAAAGACAAACTATGCATGCTATATATTAAGCTTCTAATTAATAATTTCCTATAACGTGACTATACATATTGCAAAGAATGCAAATAAAATTTGATATTTTCTAATAATATAAAATTAAATGAATTTGTAGTGTTTTAAATTAAAAAACTAAAATGTTGATGGATAGATAATATATGCATTACATTGAATTTTAATATACTTGTATCTCTTTTCGGAGGTCTCTCTTGTATGCCAATTTAAGTACAAAAACGATGGGATTAATAATAAATTTTTAAAATACGTTTTACTTTTAAATGTATATAATTATAATATTGAAGTTTAATTAATTAAATTTTTGCAACATTTCAATTTCATTATTATTTTTATTCTTATCTTATTATTGCGTTGAATATATAACAGTAAAATAAGAGACTGAGGCTTTCACCAGCTGTAATATTTATTTGTATTATATTGTCTAAAATGTGTATATTTTGGTATATGAATATATTTATTATTTTTACCGTGGCGAAACATTCCAACGATCCAACAAATAGTCCACCGACGCTTAAAGTAAAATCTTTGGCGCCTCTTTGCAGCAGAAATAGTAGCAATTTCTGTATATGTAACGGAGCAGCATGCCACTTTACATCATACCTATGTAACCATGTATAGATAGCATATACATATATTTATATGCGACAGTATTGACGCTTTAATAAAATAATTTTTGAGCTGCAATACTTAACATGATCTGCCTAAAATCTTTCTTACACAGTAGCAAAGATGTCATTATTATGGTCCATTATAACCTGTGCCACATAATTAGCTAAAAACATGTATAGGACACTGATAGTCACAAATAGAACGGGAAATATAAACTCCTTGACATCATTTCCGGATGAGGCAATCTGAAAAATCTAAATTACAAGATTGCAATTGTAACGAAGTTACATTTACATTTCTTATATTCTCTGAACATTAGTCATAATAAAAAAAGTTATTCTTATTAATTAGCAAATAGTTGATTTTTATAGAGATTGATTTATATAGAGATAATTATTTTTTTAGAGTTACCTCTGATGACCTTAACCTCGACATATATTATAGAGGTCTTCCTTCTGAATAACCTTCAGAAGAACCTTTAACCGTCACTCGTTGTTTATTAAAAAAATTTTAATAAAAAAATGTTCACAAATTATATGCAATTTCTCGATACTACGTTGTATAAAATGAATCTCTGCCGAATTTATTACGTGTGGTGACACGTGGACGAAGAAGAAGCTTTGTTCTTTACCTTGCCTTAGATTATATAACATAAGCCAAACAAATAGTAGTTTTAAATCAGAAATAGATTTTAGTTAGGTTATATCTTTCGAAAGTGAACTTCCCCGCAGGGGGGGCGGAACCCATTGTATCCACGCATGTACTTTACAAGGTGAAGCAAAATTCACTCTCTGCGAGAATCAAAGTAAAATGTATACGCGTGGATACAGTAGGTTCCGCCTCCCTGCGGGGGGCTCCATTTCCAGAAAATATAACCTATTTGTGATTTAAAACAAATTTTAGTTTTAAATAAAATAACTTCCTTTTGAACTAAATATATCAATTCAGAATAATCATACGTCAAATGTAGAAATTCGTGATATAAGATGATGAAGAATAAGTAATAGAAATTGTTCACAATGATGTCTAAGGGACAACTAAACACTTGTATATAAATAAAAATCGAGAATATTACAATTCATGTTTATATAAGTTGTATATACTATAATTTTATCTACACGATGTCAATAAAATTTACGTTCCATTTATAACTTCTTACGTTGATAACTTTCCAATTAATTACGAGCGACGGCTAAATCTTTCTGAAAGTTACTCAGAAGGGTGACCTCTGTAACATATGTCAAAGTCAAGGTCATCAGAGATTACTCCCCTAAATAAGTAACCTCGACTTAATATGCCTTTTTTAAGAGTGGACCAGACAACACAAAGCGATTTGCGCGCACCATTTATTCCCTTTCATTATACATTTCTCACTGTCACACAAGCTGTCAAAATTTGTAATAATCGTAAATGACAGCTGCTCACAACATGAATTGAGCGCAATAAAAGAACCAATCGGCATCGCGGAGAAGAGGTAACAATACTTCGAGATTTTCGAAAATCGATTTATCATGCACTTTTTAGAAAGGGATTTGAGCTATTTTGCGGTAAAACTGCTGTTTAGGTGACGCAGCCCCAATGCCTTTTGACCTTGACCTTGACATATGTTGTCAAAGTCACTGTGTAACGTCCTGAGTAACGTGCAGAAGATTTTAGCCGTCGCTCGTTGTTTTTTAAAAAGTTATTAATAAAAGAACTTTTATAAATGGAACTTAATTTTCGAACACCATCTATGGTGCTTCTTGAGTGGAAATCAACACACGGTAGGGGACGCATTGCGAAAAGTTCAATTACAATGGATATATGCTGTAAGTTGTAAAGCGAGGTCCACCTTGCCTGCGGAGTGGTTGCGGGAGGGGGGCGGAAGACCCCCCCTTGCACCCCCCGCATGTGTGTGTGTGTGTGTGTGTGTGTGTGTGTGTGTGTGTGTGTGTGTGTGTGTGTGTGTGTGTGTGTGTGTGTGTGTGTGTGTGTGTGTGTGTGTGTGTGTGTGTACACATACATTTGTGATATTTTTTAATTGTATTAAATTGCATTAAAAATGTGTTTTACTAATACGAATTCTGATACACCCTGTATATATGTATATATTTTGAAATTATACATCGTTACATATATATGTGATGTAAATATTTAAGATAGGCAAGCCAAAATTTCTCGTTATGGAAGCCGTGATTACCATTTCACATTACATCGCAGAATTCTTATTTAAAAGAACATACAATTTCGATGAACGGATTAATACTTTTTTCGATATTATGAATTTGATGTATCCATTAGATGATTTGAATATTCAATAAATTTCTAATTTCTAATTTATATAGAATTTAATACAATTTAATACAATTAAAACATATCACAAATGTATGTGTACATATATATACACACACACACACACACACACACACACACACACACACACACACACACACACATACACACGCGAGTGGTGCAAGGGAGGTTTTCGGCCCCCTTCCCGCAACCATTCCGCCGGTAGGCAAGATGGACCTCGCTTTACAACTTACAGCATTATCCATTGTGATTAAATTCTTCGCAAAGTGTTCCCTATCGGCGGGAAAGGAGCCGAAGGCCCCTCTTGCACCTCCCGCGTGTGTGTGTGTGTGTGTTTATTTCCTCAAGAAGTACAGATTTAACATAGACGATGTTCGAAAATTAAGTTCCATTTATAAAAGTTCGTTTGCTAATAACTTTTTAATAAACAACGAGCGACGGCTAAAACCTTCTGCACGTTTCTCAGGACAGTGACTTTGATAACTTATGTCAAGATCAAGGTCATTGGGGTTGGGTCCTCGAAACAGCAGTTTTACCATAAAAACATATATATATATATATATATATATATATATATATATATATGTATATTAAGTATTTTTTGAAAATAATAGATAATATATAAAAGCATAATAAACTTACTTGAAAAAGATTAAGACTCAAACAGACCACTCCGATTATTATTAAACAGAACAACATTGTCTGAATTTTTGATACCAAAAGTCCGGATAATCTTTCAGAATCAAAGTATTATTATTATAGACATATTATATATGTATGTCGTGGAATAAAGATACTAACCTCATTGCTTGACGATGAATATTTACAGCACTAATTATTCCATTCAATATTAAATTCTTCTTTAATTTAATATTTTTTAACATATTTACATGAACTGCGCGTTTAATACGATAACTGTAATTAATATATTTATGGAATTATATTTTTTTCTGCCTCCAAAATAAATATTAGGTTTAGGTGTTTTTTCAAAACACAATAATGGAATTTTAATAATTCGAAACTTCGCAATTATTATTATGTGTAAAAAAGACAAATTATTATGTGTGTCTCTTACCTGGAAATTTTAAACATTCCACAAGTGTATTGAAGATACGCAATAAGCGTTGTTCCTATTCCTACCATTGCAGTTGCCCCGACGCAGAATGCTACATTAATATGTAACAAAATCCAGTAGGAATATTTTTCTTGATCGACGAAATATTCCACTGTAATTGGTATGCGATGTATTTGAGATACATTTATCGGTAATATAAAATCGAAAATTTTCGACGAAAATTGAGCGGCGGTAATAACAAATACGCTACAAATACCACATACTAAAAGCATTAAAAAAACAATTATTATTACTCAAATTTTATCATATAATTTTTCTAAGTTGTATACTAATTTAATCTCATTTATGCATTATAAATTTCAGTATTTTTTTATTAACCCGATTGTAATCGATATTTATTATGTAATTCATTGCACAAATTTTGTCTTCTTTCTAGTATTGTATATAATTTACACATATTTGTTAGTAATCAATATAAATGCTGTGATAAATTTGACATAATTGATATATCATGTATAGAATAAGCCAAATAAAGTGTTACAGTTTAATGTTTTTGAAACAGATGGATTTTATTGCATATTCTTAGATTCGATTTTCTTGTATTCTTCGATGTGTTCTTTTATGTAGATTTATTTTTATTTTCCATAATCTCATGGGGTGGGAAGTATCAGACTCCATTTTCTTAAATGGCACCTAAAAAATTAATGGATTTCATGTTAAAAAGGAAGTCACTTTTATTCGAAAAATTTTTTTCTATAATCATTAATTTTTGAGCTACAATCATTCAAAATTGTTCGGAGCGCCGAACGTTCATATCTAACAGATATTCACCGAACTGCGAGCGCATTAATTTTAATAAATGTTAAAAAAGCATACCAAATATTTTCAAACACATAAGTAGTCTTTTGGCAATATTTTTGAAAATAAAGAAAAATAAATCCACGTGAAAAGACACATGGAGAAAATCTAATCCAAGGACATTAAAATCCAAGTCGTTTCAAAAATATTAAGTTGCAACACTTTATTTAGTCCACCCTGTGTATATAAAGAGATTGTTGCATACTCAATCAATAAATCGAATTTTCGCTGAAACTTTCACAGCTTGTGCGCTTTAAAGGAAGTGTAATTTGAAAATTTTTAAAATTATCTTACTCATAAGCACAGCAGTTACACGTTTGGCACTACATCCATATTCGTTTATGATAGCAAATTCGTTATTATCTTTCAACTCATTACATATAAGCTGTAGTTGCTTCAATAAATCTTTCACCTGTTTTTTTGAACAATTCTATATATCATACATCTATATTTGCATACATAAGAGTGACATATAGAAAAAATTGTAGAATAATTTCTTTGACAACAATATTTATCCTATTTAATATATATATATATATATATATATATATATATATATATATAATATATATTGAAAAGTCATGCGCAAATAAATTATCCTGTAAGCTTTTAACTTTGTAAATTACTTACAGCTTGCATATTAATACAGAACATGTTATATTTTACTATAAACAGAGCAAAGAAGGATGCGGAAGATAAAACTTTGGCTATGAAATTCAGAGTACATTTTTGTGATATAATGGGTGTACACTGTAAATAGACACTGTAAATACACTGTAATTTTGCTTACAAGTTTATATTAACCTTTTCGTACCTCCGGCTTTCTCAAAAAAGATATATTTCATATAAAGACAGTTTTATAGATTAGGCAGTTTTATAGGTTTTTGGTGGTCCTGATTCCAAATTTATCATTAAAATTTAATTTCAAAATGGCAGATTCAAGATGACTATGAAAAGCTTAAATATCAATATATTTTAAATATAAGCTTAAATTTTATTTTTTTAAATATATATTATGTTTTTTCTTAAATATACACACATATGTTCAACTGGTGTGTAGCGTTGCACTTTTTTTTGCAAGCCGCGCATCTACTGCGAGACTTGGATGCCGTCGTCTTACTTTGATTACACATATAAAATATTATAATATTTATCATAATGAAGTAATCACGTTTAAATAAAACTTTAAGTTTATAATTAGCGCATAAATTCTGTGATTTTTCGATTAATATATGGTTAATCTTTATTCTCTAAAAGTTTGAATTTTTGTAAAGTGTAGATAATTATATTTTGTTGTAAATATTACATTTTAAAGTGCGCGATTTTTTACATATAGCTTGAACCTTTTTCTTTAAGACAAGTTAAGGTAAAACTCGATAGAATTATTTGTTTAAAAGTTATGATTTTTTGCGTAGATGGGACATATATATCCCGGAGGTACGAAAAGGTTAAAAAATGATTTTTCTAAAATCATAAACACTCACGCGCATACATGTACATACATATGCATACATTCACAAATTTTTGATTTCATATTAATGTGTGTTTGAACTTATTTTAAATAACTTTTATTCAATATAATATTCGGTAGCAAATATATATATATATATATATATATATATATATATATATATATGTGATATATAATATATGTGATATGTAATATATAATATACATATAATATAATATAATATGCACATATATATATATATATATATATATAAATGTACATATATTATAATTTATAATATATGCATTATATATACATACCTACGTGCGTATGAGTATATATATATATATATGAATTTAAATTATAAAGGCAAAAAATTTACGATTATATTCAAGTGTAATATAGTTAATATAATTTTATTCTAAATTTTAATTCAATCTTATGAGTATTTAAATTACATGTGATATAAGATTACTCTAATAATTTTTTTATTTATTAATAATATTATTATATTAGAGCTTACCTGAAATATAAAATTCGACGTTAAAATAGTAGACAGAAAAATGAATTGAAGTCGAGTGAAGTTTGATTGTTGATAGGGCCACAGGCCAATAGCAAGAAGAAGTATTTTATTCAGACTAAAATATTGATCATGAGTCTTAAGATAGATCATCCTCTTGCAAAGTCTGATACGCATTTGATAGGGAAATAATAGACGAGAATACATCGCCTCCTTTTTTCACCAATCGACCAAATATTTTATTATTTTCCTCTTATGGTGTAAATTCTCTTAATTTTATCTTCTGGTGTAAATTTTAGCAAAATTGCATATAATTTGTATAAAACAAACAGTCAACTATATACATACATGATGCGGTAAAAGTATAATATTCATAATTTAATAATATTTTTCGCAATAAAGTCTCTAATTATGCGATCGATTTGGTAGAGGAGCAATTTCTCCAAACATTTACTATAAGAAAATAAGAGAAAATATTTATGTAAGGAATTACTTGCGTAAAAGTCACGCATGCGTATTCGAAATTTCCTTCGTACAGCAAATTTACATGTCTCATTCTGTTATCCACACTCGTGATGTATACTTAGTCTTCCAGAATGTTATTCACTATTCAAAGCATGAGCTTTTCGGTAAGAAGCTTATATCATTTTAAAAAAATCAATATACTAATGCTATATATACAAAACTTCTAATTACTTGATACGATGACAGTTACCATATGAAAGCTAAATATCGATATTTATTTAACAATTATCGTGTATGATTACATAAGTTTTTATTATTTACGTTACTTTGATCAGCAAACTGTTTAGATGTAAAAATTTAAAAACGTTAATATTAAGAATAAAGTAGTACATTTAAAATTAATATTTGATATATCTCATACAAATTGTGTGAACGAAAAATTGAACTACTTAAAGACAAAATATAATGTTAAAATATCTGTAATTTTATTTTTATATAAAACATATACAAAATAGATAATTATATGTATTATTTTTAAATATATCTCTTGTAGTGTTGCATAAGACATTTAAATTATTAATTTATATATATATATATTTATAAAACTCTTATAAAAGATAGCTTTTTTTGAAATCTTGATATTTTTTTTATACATAGACTATTTATTAAAAGAGAAATTAAGTTAGAAAAAAGATTTGTGATAATGCTAACATTGAAATGTATAAATTATTGAATATAATTATTTAAAAATAACGTGACTGTAGGGTGTTTCTACAACATACACATCATTAAGTCGAATTGCCTATCTGCTCACCGTCAGGGGTATGCTTTACTAGGCTGCAGAATGAGATCAAAATGAAAATAAGGAAAAGAAAATCAGTTTTTATCACTTTATTATAGAACAATTGTGAAATTTAATAATATAAGTAAAATATTTATTTAATAATTTAGATAAAATAACATAAAATTTAATAAACAAATTTGAACAAATATAATGAAAAATACTTATAATGAAAAATATGTTTCATTTTTTATTATAAGTAATATAATAAATTATAGAAAGTCAATGTAATAATTATTTTTCTCTAAACATAGAGTAATCCTGTGCATAAAAATGTTTTTCACTTATTTTATCAGTGAGAAGAGTGATCTCATGCCTATGGACTTATTCATGTGGAGCTTATTAAAAAATAAAGTATATCAAAAAATATCGGAAAATGCAGAAATTCTCAAAAATAGAATTTATAACGCCTGTGCAAAGATTATTCCTCTCATAAGATGAGTAAAAGAAAATTGTATGCGCAAAATTGCTTTATGTTTAGAAAAAATGGTGATTACATTGAACATTTATTATAATTTATTACATTTAAAAATCTCAAAAATATATTTGTCATTCTAAGTATTTTTTATTATATTTGTTTAAATCTGTTTATTAAATTTACGTTATTAATATACGTTAATATATATTATTAAATATTATAATTCAATGTTATAATATGTTATTAAACGAATTTGTCAATTTGTTAGAATTGAATATTTCCTATATATATATATATATATATATATATATATATATATATATATAATTTATATCTATTATTTAAATATATTGTATCTATATTATTTAATTATATTATTAGATTATATATAACTATATAACATACATTCTTGAATATATATATATTATCTATATTATTAAATTTCACAATTGTTTACTATAATAAAATGATAAGATTTTCCTTTTCTTACTCTCCACTGAACTCGTATTCCAATTTGATTCAGCGAGCCCAATAAAGTATGCCCCTGACGCTAGACATCCCAACTTAATGATGTGTATGTTGCGGAAACACCCTATATAAATCGCAAAAAATGTGTAAATAAAATTTAATATTTTTGACAGTAACATAAAATTAAATGAATTTGTATCAGTGTTTTAAATTGAAAAACGATAAGTTTCTTGATGTATAGAAAGTCTATCCATTATATTATATTTTAAATATATTTTTAAATATATCTCTTTTTAGAAATCTCTCTTACGTGCCAATTTAAGTACAAAAATTATGGGATTAATAATAAATTTTCAAAATATGTTTCATTTTTAAATATATATAATTATAATATTTAAATTTAATTAATTAAATTTCTGCAACATTTCAATTTCGTTATTATTTCTCTTCTTATCTTATTATTGCGTTGAACATATTACAGTAAAATAAGAGACTGAGGCTTTCCCCAGCTGTAATATTTATTTGTACTATATTGTCTAAAATGTGTATATTTTGATATATTTGAATATATTTATTATTTTTACCGTGGCGAAACATTCCAACGATCCAACAAATAGTCCACCGACGCTTAAAGTAAAATCTTTGGCGCCTCTTTGCAGCAGAAATAGTAGTAATTTCTGTATATGTAACGGAGCTGCATGCCACTTTACATCATACCTATGTAATCATGTATAGGTAGCATACGTATACATATATTTATATGCGACAATATTGATTCTTTAATAAAATAATGTTTGAGTTGCAATACTTAACATAATCTGCCTAAAATGTTTCTTACACAGTAGCAAATATATCATTATTATGATCCATTATAACCTGTGCCACATAATTAGCTAAAAACATGTATAGGACACTGACAGTCACAAATAAAATTGGAAATATAAACTCCTTGACATCATTTCCGGATGAGGCAATCTGAAAAATCTAAATCACAAGCAGTTCTCTTAGTTTTAGACTAATCAATATTGGAAATGAGGCCTCAAGGATGAGGCCATGAGGATTCAAAAATGACCGTCATATACGGAGTAAGGATTAAGGAAAGATATATTCCTGTTCTTTTTTCTTTATTTTCTCGTACTAACAATATGATATAAAGATTAATATAAAATATAATATAAAAGTATATATATGTATATTAAATATTTTTTGAAAATAACGGATATATAAAAACATAATAAACTTACTTGAAAAAGATTAAGACTCAAAGAGACCACTCCGATTATTATTAAACAGAACAACATTGTCTGAATTTTTGATACCAAAAGTCCGGATAATCTTTCAGGATCAAAATGTTATTATTATAGACATATTACATACGTGTGTCGTGGAATAAAGATACTAACTTCATTGCTTGACGATGAATGTTTACAGCACTAATTATTCCTTTCAATATTAAATTCTCCTTTAATTTAGTATTTTCTAACGTATTTACATGAACTGCGCGTCTAATACGATAACTGTAATTAATATATTTTTGGAATTACATTTTTTTACGCCTTCAAAATAAATATTAGGCTTTTCAAAACACAACAATGGAGTTTTAATAATTCGAAACTCCGCAATTATTATCATGTGTGTCTCTTACCTGGAAATTCTAAACATACCACATGTATGTTGAGCATACGCAATAAGTGTTGTTCCTATTCCTACCATTGCAATTGCCCCGATGCACAATGCTACATTAATATGTAGCAAAATCCAATAGTAATATTTCTCTTGATCGATAAAATATTCGAATTTAACCGGCAACCGACGTGATAAAGATACGTTCGGTAAAATAATATAAAGAATTCTCGACCAAAATAGAGCGATGATAGCAGCAAATATAGTGCAAACGCCTAGGACTAAAAGAATTTAAATATAAAATTCTCATTATTAATTTGTCTCCTAGAAATTTTTGAAATTAATTTAATTATATTACATACATATAACACTTATAATTAAATTTAATGTATAAATTTTTGAAGCAATTATTATTTATTTCAATCATATACATATGTAATAACTGTTGAAAGTTCTTTCTTCTATTTGATTTCCCTTTACACATATTTATCTTTATATTTTTATGTTTGAATATGCGCCAAACATTTTAATAAGTTCGTATGATGCATTACATAGATACACAATATACACAAATATATAGAAATTTGAATAAATATAACAAAAATAATTTTTTCCAATTTGCAATTTCTATAACTCATATTAAATAAATGTTGATATAGATAAAAATTTAAAAATATTGCCTTACCTGTGAGTACCATTGTATAACGTCTTGCATTGCAATTATATTCTTGCATAATAGCAACTTCGTTCTTATCTTTTAATCCGTCAAATATATACTGAAGTTCCATTAATAATTCCTTCATCTGTTATTTGTCAGCAACTTTGTGAATATTGTGAATATTGTTTCGTGTATTACATAATAATAAAAACTATTTTAAATTTTACGACAAGAATATTTTTTTTATCTGTTATCAATTTATGAACGATATCGCTTCTTAAAAATTACCAATTGTAAGCTATCAACTTACAACTTCCATGTTGAAATAAAATAAAGTATATTTAATCACAAACATACTGGAGAAACATGTAGAAGATAAAACTTTAGTAATATGGTCCGCAGTACATCTTAATGTAACAAATGTCATAAGCTATAAGAAATAATCTTATTAAAAGCATGAAATTACTCTTTTGCATTAAGACATTATTCTTTTAAAAACGAACAAATTATAAATTCTATATCTCTAGATATTTCTTTATGCATTTGTGTATAACATGATTGAAATAATATACATATGATATCTAATATATTATAAACTTTTATGATAATAGCTTATGCAATAATTTCATTATAGTTTGAATGAAGCTTTTAAGCATGTACACAATATAAAATCTTATTGCGTGACAGTTACATTAAAACATATTACATTAAAACATATTGCATTTACAATAACATAAAATTTTAATAAACAAATTTGAAACAAATTAATGAAAAAATACTTATAATGAAAAATATGTTTCATTTTTATTATAAGTAATATAATAAATTATAGAAGTCAATGTAATAATTATTTTTCTCTAAACATAGGAGTAATCCTGTGGATAAAAATGTTTTTCACTTATTTATCAGTGAGAAGAGTGATCTCATGCCCTATGGACTTATTCATGTGGAGCTTATTAAAAAATAAATATATCAAAAAAAATATCGAAAATGCCGAAATTCCTCAAAAATAGAGTTTATAACGCCTGTGCAAAGATTATTCCTCTCATAAGATGAGTAAAAGAAAATTGTATGCGCAAAATTGCTTTATGTTTAGAAAAAAATGGTGATTACATTGAACATTTTATTAATTTATTACATTTAAAAATCTCAAAAATATATTTGTCATTCTAAGTATTTTTTATTATATTATTAAATTTAGTGTAATTCACATTAATATTATATAGATAAAAATTACTTTTAGAATTGTAAATAATTCTGTTATAATGATGATTATTAAAAACGAATGTCATTTTTAGAAATGAAAATTACTTATAGAGAGAATATGTTGACTAGGCAGCATTTCTTCGCTTTTAGCATCGCTACTTTATTCTATCGCATGCCTTTGCAACATATTTTTGTCTATGAAAGAAATATCATTCAGCTCTTTAGATTGAAGTTTTTATACATGCATGAGAGGTATGTAGCACTGTATGCATGTGAGCATTGTATTTACAAATTTATATAAATATTAAATTGGTAATTTTAGAAAAATAGAACAAGGTCTATTATCAATAATAGCATGAGTTTTTCGGTAAGAAGCTTACATCATTTAAAAAAGACAATCTATGCATGCTATATATTAAACTTCTAATTAATAATTTCTATAACGTGATTATACATATTGCAAAGAATGCAAATAAAATTTGATATTTTTGACAATAACATAAAATTAAATGAATTTGTATCAATGTTTTAAATTAAAAAACGAAAAAGTTTATTGATGTATAGATAATATATGCATGTATAGATAATATATGCATTACATTGAATTTTAATATACTTGTATCTCTTTTCAGTGGTCTCTCTTGAGTGCCAATTTAAGTAAAAACGATGGGATTAATAATAATTTTTTTAAATACGTTTTACTTCTAAAGGTATATAAGGTATATATAATTATAATATTGAAGTTTAATTAATTAAATTTTTGTAACATTTTGTTATTTCTTTTTTCATCTTATTATTGCGTTGAATATATGACAGTAAAATAAGAGACTGAGGCTTTCCCCAGCTGTAATATTTATTTGTACTATATTGTCTAAAATGTGTATATTTTGATATATTTGAATATATTTATTATTTTTACCGTGGCGAAACATTCCAACGATCCAACAAATAGTCCACCGACGCTTAAAGTAAAATCTTTGGCGCCTCTTTGCAGCAGAAATAGTAGTAATTTCTGTATATGTAACGGAGCTGCATGCCACTTTACATCATACCTATGTAATCATGTATAGGTAGCATACGTATACATATATTTATATGCGACAATATTGATTCTTTAATAAAATAATGTTTGAGTTGCAATACTTAACATAATCTGCCTAAAATGTTTCTTACACAGTAGCAAATATATCATTATTATGATCCATTATAACCTGTGCCACATAATTAGCTAAAAACATGTATAGGACACTGACAGTCACAAATAAAATTGGAAATATAAACTCCTTGACATCATTTCCGGATGAGGCAATCTGAAAAATCTAAATCACAAGCAGTTCTCTTAGTTTTAGACTAATCAATATTGGAAATGAGGCCTCAAGGATGAGGCCATGAGGATTCAAAAATGACCGTCATATACGGAGTAAGGATTAAGGAAAGATATATTCCTGTTCTTTTTTCTTTATTTTCTCGTACTAACAATATGATATAAAGATTAATATAAAATATAATATAAAAGTATATATATGTATATTAAATATTTTTTGAAAATAACGGATATATAAAAACATAATAAACTTACTTGAAAAAGATTAAGACTCAAAGAGACCACTCCGATTATTATTAAACAGAACAACATTGTCTGAATTTTTGATACCAAAAGTCCGGATAATCTTTCAGGATCAAAATGTTATTATTATAGACATATTACATACGTGTGTCGTGGAATAAAGATACTAACTTCATTGCTTGACGATGAATGTTTACAGCACTAATTATTCCTTTCAATATTAAATTCTCCTTTAATTTAGTATTTTCTAACGTATTTACATGAACTGCGCGTCTAATACGATAACTGTAATTAATATATTTTTGGAATTACATTTTTTTACGCCTTCAAAATAAATATTAGGCTTTTCAAAACACAACAATGGAGTTTTAATAATTCGAAACTCCGCAATTATTATCATGTGTGTCTCTTACCTGGAAATTCTAAACATACCACATGTATGTTGAGCATACGCAATAAGTGTTGTTCCTATTCCTACCATTGCAATTGCCCCGATGCACAATGCTACATTAATATGTAGCAAAATCCAATAGTAATATTTCTCTTGATCGATAAAATATTCGAATTTAACCGGCAACCGACGTGATAAAGATACGTTCGGTAAAATAATATAAAGAATTCTCGACCAAAATAGAGCGATGATAGCAGCAAATATAGTGCAAACGCCTAGGACTAAAAGAATTTAAATATAAAATTCTCATTATTAATTTGTCTCCTAGAAATTTTTGAAATTAATTTAATTATATTACATACATATAACACTTATAATTAAATTTAATGTATAAATTTTTGAAGCAATTATTATTTATTTCAATCATATACATATGTAATAACTGTTGAAAGTTCTTTCTTCTATTTGATTTCCCTTTACACATATTTATCTTTATATTTTTATGTTTGAATATGCGCCAAACATTTTAATAAGTTCGTATGATGCATTACATAGATACACAATATACACAAATATATAGAAATTTGAATAAATATAACAAAAATAATTTTTTCCAATTTGCAATTTCTATAACTCATATTAAATAAATGTTGATATAGATAAAAATTTAAAAATATTGCCTTACCTGTGAGTACCATTGTATAACGTCTTGCATTGCAATTATATTCTTGCATAATAGCAACTTCGTTCTTATCTTTTAATCCGTCAAATATATACTGAAGTTCCATTAATAATTCCTTCATCTGTTATTTGTCAGCAACTTTGTGAATATTGTGAATATTGTTTCGTGTATTACATAATAATAAAAACTATTTTAAATTTTACGACAAGAATATTTTTTTTATCTGTTATCAATTTATGAACGATATCGCTTCTTAAAAATTACCAATTGTAAGCTATCAACTTACAACTTCCATGTTGAAATAAAATAAAGTATATTTAATCACAAACATACTGGAGAAACATGTAGAAGATAAAACTTTAGTAATATGGTCCGCAGTACATCTTAATGTAACAAATGTCATAAGCTATAAGAAATAATCTTATTAAAAGCATGAAATTACTCTTTTGCATTAAGACATTATTCTTTTAAAAACGAACAAATTATAAATTCTATATCTCTAGATATTTCTTTATGCATTTGTGTATAACATGATTGAAATAATATACATATGATATCTAATATATTATAAACTTTTATGATAATAGCTTATGCAATAATTTCATTATAGTTTGAATGAAGCTTTTAAGCATGTACACAATATAAAATCTTATTGCGTGACAGTTACATTAAAACATATTACATTAAAACATATTGCATTTACATTAAAATATATCGAAAAAATAAAATACAAACATTAGAAATATTGATATACCTGAAATATAATACTCGTTATCAGAATACTAGAACAGAAAATAAACTGAAATCGAGTTAGATTTGATTGTTGCAAAGGCCATATACCAATAATAAGTAATAATAATCTATTGATTTTAAAGTGTTGTGTTTCAAGGGAGATCATCTCTTTACAAAATCCAGAACACAAGTGACTGCGAAAAAATCGAGGAAGGTATACACTTATCCCCACCTTTTTTATTGATCGGTTATATATATTTTCTTATAGCGTAAATTTTAGCTCTATTATTCCATTATTCCAATTTAGTGTAATGTCGACATTAAATATTATTATGAGATCAGAAACATTACATTTTCGTAGCAATTGTAGAATTGAATGTCTGTTAATAATTGATCGATTGCATATCAAGAAAAATCGAATCGTCTATTTTTTATGTAAATAAGAAAAAATTACTTATGAGAGAGAACTACTGTTGACTGGAGCCGCGCAGGCGCATTTCTTCGCTTTTAGCATCGCTACTTTATTCTATCGCATGCCTTTGCAACATATTTTTTGTCTATGAAAGAAATATCATTCAGCTCTTTAGATTGAAGTTTTTATACATGCATGAGAGGTATGTAGCACTGTATGCATGTGAGCATTGTATTTACAAAATTTTATATAAATATTAAATTGGTAATTTTAGAAAAATAGAACAAGGTCTATTATCAATAATAGCATGAGTTTTTCGGTAAGAAGCTTACATCATTTAAAAAAGACAATCTATGCATGCTATATATTAAACTTCTAATTAATAATTTCCTATAACGTGATTATACATATTGCAAAGAATGCAAATAAAATTTGATATTTTTGACAATAACATAAAATTAAATGAATTTGTATCAATGTTTTAAATTAAAAAACGAAAAAGTTTATTGATGTATAGATAATATATGCATGTATAGATAATATATGCATTACATTGAATTTTAATATACTTGTATCTCTTTTCAGTGGTCTCTCTTGAGTGCCAATTTAAGTAAAAACGATGGGATTAATAATAATTTTTTTAAATACGTTTTACTTCTAAAGGTATATAAGGTATATATAATTATAATATTGAAGTTTAATTAATTAAATTTTTGTAACATTTTGTTATTTCTTTTTTCATCTTATTATTGCGTTGAATATATGACAGTAAAATAAGAGACTGAGGCTTTCCCCAGCTGTAATATTTATTTGTACTATATTGTCTAAAATGTGTATATTTTGATATATTTGAATATATTTATTATTTTTACCGTGGCGAAACATTCCAACGATCCAACAAATAGTCCACCGACGCTTAAAGTAAAATCTTTGGCGCCTCTTTGCAGCAGAAATAGTAGTAATTTCTGTATATGTAACGGAGCTGCATGCCACTTTACATCATACCTATGTAATCATGTATAGGTAGCATACGTATACATATATTTATATGCGACAATATTGATTCTTTAATAAAATAATGTTTGAGTTGCAATACTTAACATAATCTGCCTAAAATGTTTCTTACACAGTAGCAAATATATCATTATTATGATCCATTATAACCTGTGCCACATAATTAGCTAAAAACATGTATAGGACACTGACAGTCACAAATAAAATTGGAAATATAAACTCCTTGACATCATTTCCGGATGAGGCAATCTGAAAAATCTAAATCACAAGCAGTTCTCTTAGTTTTAGACTAATCAATATTGGAAATGAGGCCTCAAGGATGAGGCCATGAGGATTCAAAAATGACCGTCATATACGGAGTAAGGATTAAGGAAAGATATATTCCTGTTCTTTTTTCTTTATTTTCTCGTACTAACAATATGATATAAAGATTAATATAAAATATAATATAAAAGTATATATATGTATATTAAATATTTTTTGAAAATAACGGATATATAAAAACATAATAAACTTACTTGAAAAAGATTAAGACTCAAAGAGACCACTCCGATTATTATTAAACAGAACAACATTGTCTGAATTTTTGATACCAAAAGTCCGGATAATCTTTCAGGATCAAAATGTTATTATTATAGACATATTACATACGTGTGTCGTGGAATAAAGATACTAACTTCATTGCTTGACGATGAATGTTTACAGCACTAATTATTCCTTTCAATATTAAATTCTCCTTTAATTTAGTATTTTCTAACGTATTTACATGAACTGCGCGTCTAATACGATAACTGTAATTAATATATTTTTGGAATTACATTTTTTTACGCCTTCAAAATAAATATTAGGCTTTTCAAAACACAACAATGGAGTTTTAATAATTCGAAACTCCGCAATTATTATCATGTGTGTCTCTTACCTGGAAATTCTAAACATACCACATGTATGTTGAGCATACGCAATAAGTGTTGTTCCTATTCCTACCATTGCAATTGCCCCGATGCACAATGCTACATTAATATGTAGCAAAATCCAATAGTAATATTTCTCTTGATCGATAAAATATTCGAATTTAACCGGCAACCGACGTGATAAAGATACGTTCGGTAAAATAATATAAAGAATTCTCGACCAAAATAGAGCGATGATAGCAGCAAATATAGTGCAAACGCCTAGGACTAAAAGAATTTAAATATAAAATTCTCATTATTAATTTGTCTCCTAGAAATTTTTGAAATTAATTTAATTATATTACATACATATAACACTTATAATTAAATTTAATGTATAAATTTTTGAAGCAATTATTATTTATTTCAATCATATACATATGTAATAACTGTTGAAAGTTCTTTCTTCTATTTGATTTCCCTTTACACATATTTATCTTTATATTTTTATGTTTGAATATGCGCCAAACATTTTAATAAGTTCGTATGATGCATTACATAGATACACAATATACACAAATATATAGAAATTTGAATAAATATAACAAAAATAATTTTTTCCAATTTGCAATTTCTATAACTCATATTAAATAAATGTTGATATAGATAAAAATTTAAAAATATTGCCTTACCTGTGAGTACCATTGTATAACGTCTTGCATTGCAATTATATTCTTGCATAATAGCAACTTCGTTCTTATCTTTTAATCCGTCAAATATATACTGAAGTTCCATTAATAATTCCTTCATCTGTTATTTGTCAGCAACTTTGTGAATATTGTGAATATTGTTTCGTGTATTACATAATAATAAAAACTATTTTAAATTTTACGACAAGAATATTTTTTTTATCTGTTATCAATTTATGAACGATATCGCTTCTTAAAAATTACCAATTGTAAGCTATCAACTTACAACTTCCATGTTGAAATAAAATAAAGTATATTTAATCACAAACATACTGGAGAAACATGTAGAAGATAAAACTTTAGTAATATGGTCCGCAGTACATCTTAATGTAACAAATGTCATAAGCTATAAGAAATAATCTTATTAAAAGCATGAAATTACTCTTTTGCATTAAGACATTATTCTTTTAAAAACGAACAAATTATAAATTCTATATCTCTAGATATTTCTTTATGCATTTATGTATAACATGATTGAAATAATATACATATGATATCTAATATATTATAAACTTTTATGATAATAGCTTATGCAATAATTTCATTATAGTTTGAATGAAGCTTTTAAGCATGTACACAATATAAAATCTTATTGCGTGACAGTTACATTAAAACATATTACATTAAAACATATTGCATTTACATTAAAATATATCGAAAAAATAAAATACAAACATTAGAAATATTGATATACCTGAAATATAATACTCGTTATCAGAATACTAGAACAGAAAATAAACTGAAATCGAGTTAGATTTGATTGTTGCAAAGGCCATATACCAATAATAAGTAATAATAATCTATTGATTTTAAAGTGTTGTGTTTCAAGGGAGATCATCTCTTTACAAAATCCAGAACACAAGTGACTGCGAAAAAATCGAGGAAGGTATACACTTATCCCCACCTTTTTTATTGATCGGTTATATATATTTTCTTATAGCGTAAATTTTAGCTCTATTATTCCATTATTCCAATTTAGTGTAATGTCGACATTAAATATTATTATGAGATCAGAAACATTACATTTTCGTAGCAATTGTAGAATTGAATGTCTGTTAATAATTGATCGATTGCATATCAAGAAAAATCGAATCGTCTATTTTTTATGTAAATAAGAAAAAATTACTTATGAGAGAGAACTACTGTTGACTGGAGCCGCGCAGGCGCATTTCTTCGCTTTTAGCATCGCTACTTTATTCTATCGCATGCCTTTGCAACATATTTTTTGTCTATGAAAGAAATATCATTCAGCTCTTTAGATTGAAGTTTTTATACATGCATGAGAGGTATGTAGCACTGTATGCATGTGAGCATTGTATTTACAAAATTTTATATAAATATTAAATTGGTAATTTTAGAAAAATAGAACAAGGTCTATTATCAATAATAGCATGAGTTTTTCGGTAAGAAGCTTACATCATTTAAAAAAGACAATCTATGCATGCTATATATTAAACTTCTAATTAATAATTTCCTATAACGTGATTATACATATTGCAAAGAATGCAAATAAAATTTGATATTTTTGACAATAACATAAAATTAAATGAATTTGTATCAATGTTTTAAATTAAAAAACGAAAAAGTTTATTGATGTATAGATAATATATGCATGTATAGATAATATATGCATTACATTGAATTTTAATATACTTGTATCTCTTTTCAGTGGTCTCTCTTGAGTGCCAATTTAAGTAAAAACGATGGGATTAATAATAATTTTTTTAAATACGTTTTACTTCTAAAGGTATATAAGGTATATATAATTATAATATTGAAGTTTAATTAATTAAATTTTTGTAACATTTTGTTATTTCTTTTTTCATCTTATTATTGCGTTGAATATATGACAGTAAAATATGAGACAGATGCTTTCACCAGCTGTAATATTTATTTGTATTATATTGTCTAAAATGTGTATATTTTGGTATATTTGAATATATTTATTATTTTTACCATGGCAAAACATTCCAACGATCCAACAAATAGTCCACCGACGCTTAAAGTAAAATCTTTGGCGCCTCTTTGCAGCAGAAACAGTATCAATTTCTGTATATGTAACGGAGCTGCATGCCACTTTACATTATACCTACGCAATATGTATAGATAGCATATACATATATTTATACGCGACAATATTGACTCTTTAATAAAATAATTTTTGAGCTGAAATACTTAACATAATCTGCCTAAAACAACGATTCTTACACAGTAACAAAGATGTCATTATTGTGATCCATTACATCCTGTGCCACATAATTAGCTAAAAACATGTATACGACACTGAGAGTTACAAAGAGAAAGGGAAATATAAACTCCTTGATATTATTTCTGGATGAGGCAATCTGAAAAATCTAAATCACAAGCTGTTTTGCGTTAGTTTTAGACTGATTAATATCGGAAATGATAGGGTAAAAAATGACCGTCATGTAGTGTGGAGTGGAGATTAAGAAAAAATATATTTCCGTTTTCTCTTTTTTTTCTGCTGTATTTTCTCTTTCTTTTCTTATTAATATATTTGATTTTGAAAAATGTATGATTTTTATATTTATATAAACCAATCTCGTAACTATTCGCCAATTAATAAGAATTTCTTTTTTTACAAATAATGTTTAGAGAATATAAAAAGGTAAATGTAACTTCGTTACACTTGCGATCCACAATAAGAATCGCTATATGCTCCGAATATAGTACACAATGCAAATCGAGACAACTATTAGCATCGCGAAAAAGCGGCAACAATACTTGCCAGAAGCGATAACAAACCTTTTTTAAAAGCGGATTTGAGTCATTTCGCTTCATGTACTTACAATAAAAATATTGAAACAAATTATTTTGAAAATTTATTATTCTAGCTTTTATTTAGAAAGTTCAATGAAAATATATAAATTTTTTCAGTATTTTTTTGAATATTTTTATTTTTTGAAAAATGTATCGGACAAGAATAATCATCCTGCATACTTTGTCGATGTCTAAACTAACAATATGATATAAATATTAATATAAAATACAATATAAAAAAAAATATATATATAATATATATATATATATATATATATATATATATATATGTATGTGTATTAAATATTTTTTAAAAATAATGGATATAATATAATATATAATATAAAGAAACATAATAAACTTACTTGAAAAAGATTAAGACTCAAAGAGACCACTCCGATTATTATTAAACAGAACAACATTGTCTGAATTTTTGATACCAAAAGTCCGGATAATCTTTCAGGATCAAAGTATTATTATTATAGACATATTATATACGTGTGTCGTGGAATAAAGATACTAATCTCATTGCTTGACGATGAATGTTTACAGCACTAATTATTCCTTTCAATATTAAATTCTCCTTCATTAATTTAATATTTTTTAACGTATTTATATGCATTGCGCGTGTAATACGATAACTGTAATTAATTAAATTTATTAATTTATATTTTTTTCTTGTCCTTAAAATAAGTATTAGTTTTCGTCAAAACATAACAATACAACTTTAAAATTTGAATCTTTGCAATTATTATCATGTTTGTCTCTTACTTGGAAATTCTAAACATACCACAAGTATGTTGAATATATGCAATAAGCATTGTTCCTATCGCTATCATTGCAGTTGTCCCGATGCATATCGCTATGCTCACATGCAACAGAATCAAATTAAAATACTTTTCTTGATCAATAAAGTATTCCATCATAATCGGCAGACGACGTGATAAAGATAAGTTTATTGGTAATACAATATAGAGAATACTCGACCAAAATAGGGCGATGTTAGCAACAAATATAATGCAAACGCCTAGTACTAAAAGGATTTATATATGAAATCGTCATTATTAATTTGTCTCCCAGAAATTTTTGAAACTGATCTGATTATATTACATAAATATAATTTATATAATTAAATTTAATGTATACATTTTTAAAGCAATTATCATTCGTTTCAATCATATATGCAATAACTGTCGAAACTTCTATCTTCTATTTGATTTCCTTATACACATTTTTATCTTTATATTTTTATATTTGAATATGCGTCAAATATTTTAATAAGTTCGTATGATGCATTACATAGATACACAATATACACAAATACATAGAAATTATTTGAATAAATATAACAAAAATCATTTTTTCCAATTTGCAATTTTTATAATAATATATTAAATAAATGTAGATATAGATAAAAATTTAAAAATATTGCCTTACCTATGAGTGTAATCGTATAACGTCTTGCATTGCAACTATATTTTTGCATAATAGCAATTTCGTTCTTATCTTTTAATTCGTCAAATATATGCTGAAGTTCCATTAATAATTCCTTCATCTGTTATATATCAGCAACTTTGTGAATATTGTTTCGTATGTTACATAACAATAAAAGCTATTTGAAATTTTACGACAAGAATATTTTTCCTATCTCACTGTCAAGTTATTAATTTATGAACGATATTGTTTCTTAAAAATCATTAATTTTATAAGCTATCAACTTACAACTTCCACGTTGAAATAAAATAAGGTATATTTAATCACAAAGGTACTGGAGAAACATGTAGAAGATAAAACTTTAGTAATGTGATCTGGAGTGCATCTTAATGTAACAAATGTCATAAACTATAAGAAATAATCCTATTAAAGCCATGCAGACATTACTCTTTTTGCATTAAGACATTACTCTTTTAAAAACGAACAAATTATAAGTTCTAAATGTCTCTCTAGATGTTACTTCATGCATTTGTGTATAACATGATTGAATTAAAATATGATATGTAATATATTATAAACTTTTATAATAATACCTTACGCAATAGTTTCATTATAATTTAGATTTTTAGCCTTTAAGCGTGTGCACGATAAAAACTTATTACGTAACAGTTATTAAAACATATTACATTAAAAACATATTGCATTTACATTAAAATATATCGAAAAAATAAAATACAAACATAAGAAGTATTGATATACCTGAAATATAATATTCGTTATCAGAATACTAGAACAGAATACTAGATATTCGTAATCGAATATTTTCGTAACATTTGTAGAAATGAGGTCTGTTAATAATCGATCGATTGCATATCAAGAAAAACTAAATTGTCTATCTTTTATGTATATAAAAAAAATTACTTATGAGAGAGAATTTTTGTTGACTGGAACCGCGCAGACGCAATTCTTCATCTTCAGCATCGCTTCTTTATTCTGTCGCGTGCCTTTGCAAGATATTCTTCTTCGAAAGAAATATTATTCAGCTCTTTAGATATGTAATAAATAGATTAAATCTGTTTGTCTCTTCACAAAACGTGTCTGTTAATATGTTACATTAAATATTTATTTTATATTCTAACATACTATTCATTCGTGAATACATTATATTTTAACGACAAATGAGAATTCAACAGACAATTCATTAATATTCACAAAAATTTTTTTTGCAGAAATATTACAAGTTTTTATGTGTGAAACGTATGTATCATTGTTACAAACATATATGTCATACTTGCAAAAACTGAATATTATACTTACAAAATTTTATATAAATATTAAATTGGCAATTCAAGAAAAATTGAACAAGGTCTATATCATTAATTTTTAATGTTTTATTCGTTGATTTAATCGACGAATAACATTAAAATTTTTTGTTTTATAAAATATAAATTCTCAAAACAAAGATTAATACGTAATTGCTACTTCACATAAGAATATCTCTTACGAAGTAGCAAATATATTATATGACTACTAATACTTCCAATCTTATTTGAGATAATTATTATTAAAATATTTATAAAATAACAAATTTTTATAAATAGAAATAAAAATCACGTATCCGTTTCAGACAATGTAATTTAAAAAATATTAAAATTATACACTTTTAATCAATTTTCTATTTAATATTAATAGCTGTTTCTTTAATTGGAACGAAAATGTAAGAAATAATTGATCATATAGAAATAAAAATTTATAAAATTAAAAATAAAAATATATATACAGAGATATTATTGTGAAATGTATACCCACTATATGATTTTATAGCAACATAAATTCAATAAATATTTTTTTTCCGCAAAAATAAAAAAGAACAAAGAAATACTTGAAAAGATTTTTCGTAAATTATACAATTTAAGCGTACCTGTCATTTTTCTCAGTAGAAAAGTACTATACCTCTTATGATGTACACACTTATAATACAAATAATTTTTAATAGATTCATCAATCTTGAATCTTAAATATTATTGAATTGTATTATTGAATATTTGAATTGTTCAATTTTATAATCAAAACTAAAATTCTCCATTGAAAACAATAAAAGACATTTTATTTCTTTCATATTTTTAATTCTTCATTATATTTTTAATTCTTTACCACATATAGTTGAATTATTAAAACAAAAATATTTGTGACGATACAAATATTACTAGAATAGGTACATATATTATTAGAACACATAAAGACAGCTTTTTCTTGAAACTTTATATTTTTGCATATAGACTATTTATTATAGGAGAAATTAAGTTATAAAAAAGATTTATATATATAGTAATACTAACATTGAATATGTATAAATTATTGAAAATAATTATTTAAGAGTAACGTAATTATACATATCGCAAAAAATGCAAATAAAGTTTGACATTTTTGACAATAACATAAAATTAAATGAATTTGTATCAGTGTTTTAAGATGAGAAACGAAGAAATTTCTTGATGTATAGAAAATATATGCATTATGTTAAATTTTAAATATTTTGTATCTTCTTTCGGAGGTTTCTCTTATGTGCCAAGTACAACAACTATAGGATTAATAAATTTTTAAAATACGTTTTAATTTTAAATGTATATAATTATAATATTGAATCTTTTTTAATTAATTAAATTTTTGTAACATTTCAATTTCGTTATTATTTCTCTTCTTATCTTATTATTGTGTTGAATATATGACAGTAAAATAAGAGACTGAAGTTTTCACCAACTGCAATATTTATTTGTAATATATTGTCCAAAATATATCTGTATTTTAATGATATATTTATTTACCGTGGCGAAACATTCCAACGAGCCAACAAATAGTCCACCGACGCTTAAAGTAAAATCTTTGGCGCCCCTTTGCAGCAGAAATAGTATTACTTTCTGTATATGTAACGGAGCTACATGCCACTTTACATCATACCTACGTAACCATGTAGATAGCATATACATATATTTAAACGTGACAAAATTGACTCTTCAATAAAATAAATTTTGAATTGCAATACTTAACATAATCTGTTTAAAACAATGTTTCTTACACAGTAGCAAAAATGTCATTATTATGATCCATTATATCCTGTGCCATATAATTAGCTAAAAACATGTATAAAATGCTGATGGTTACAAATATAAAAGGAAATATAATCTCCTTTACATCATTTCCGGATGAGACAATCTTGAAAATCTAAATCACAAGATTGCAATTGTAACAAAGTTAAATTTCTTACATTCTTTGAACGTTATTTGTAAAAAAAAAAGTTTTTCTTATTAATTGGTAAATAGTTACGAGATTGATTTATGTATAATGGATATAAAATTCATACATTTTTCAAACTCAAACATATCAGCCAGAAAAAGAAGAGAAAATAGAAAGAAAAAAAGAACAGAAATATATTTTTTCCTAATCTTTATTCCATATATGGATATCATTTTTGATCTCATCATTCACAATATTTTATATTAGTCTAAAACGTAATAGAATTGCTGTCCGCATTCCTAAAAGAGTTGTTAAATCGATGTAGTAAAAGACAAAGAAATGGCTGGTTAATATTTTTTTCTGAATGACAAGCGAGCAAAATCTTTTGAAGACAAAAAGCTCTGTATACTATTATAGCTTTATGTAAAAAAGAAATGAAATTTTACTTTTCTCTAAAATTTTAATTTTACAGTATTTCAAACATATTTTGTTTGCTTTGGGTAAAAAGAATATCTTTCTTTCTAGCTGAAAATATGGCATAACATTCTGCACAAAAGAAATATATCATATTTTTCAGTTTTTATATACTTTATTTCTTAAATGTAAACACCGATATATATATATATATGTGTGTGTGTGTGTGTGTGTGTGTGTGTGTGTGTGTGTGTGTGTGTGTGTGTGTGTGTGTTTGAGTGTATTAAATATTTATAAACAATATATAAAAACATAATAAACTTACTTGAAAGAGATTAAGACTCAAAGAGATCACTCCGATTATTATTAAACAGAACAACATTGTCTGAATTTTTGATATTAAAAATCCGGATAATCTTTCAAAATTAAAGTATTATTATTATATGTAGACATATTATATACATATGTCGTGGAATAGAAATACTAACTTCATTGCCTTACGATGAATATTTACAGCACTAATTATTCTTTTCAATATTAAATTCTTCTCCTTTGATTTAATGTTTTCTAATGTATTTACATGCACTGCGTGTCTAATACGATAACTGTAATTAATATATTTATAGAATGAAATTTTTGGCTTTGGGTTTAAAAAAAAATACTTTATCCAAGATAAGAAGAAAATTTTGTTTAAAATTCGAAATTTCATAATTATTTCTTACCTGGAAATTCTAAACATACCACAGGTATGTTGAAGATACGCAATAAGCAGTGTTCCTATTGCTACCATTGTAATTGCTCCGATGCATAATGCCACGCTGATATGTAACAGAATTAAATAAAAATATTTTTCTTGATCGATAAAATATTCTACTTTAATCGGCAAACGACGTAATGGAGATATGTTTATCGATAAAGTAATATAGAGAATTCTCGACCAAAATAGAGCGATGATAATAGCAAATGTACTGCAAACGCCAATTACTAAACGGATTTAAATATGAAATCGTCAAATTAATTTATCTCGTAGAAATTTTTAAAATTAATTTAATTATTATATTACATACATATAACATTTATATAATTAAATTTAATATATAAATTTCTAACGCAATTATTATTCACATTTTAATCATATAAGTAATAATTGTTGTAACTTTAAAACTCCTTTCTTTTATTTTCTTAAACATTACTATAAAATATTACTATAAATTATTACTATAAATTAAATAATAAAACATTACTATAAATATATAAATTTTTATATTTTTATGTTTATGCATATATACTAAATATGATTTAATAAATTCATATGATGCATTACACACATACACAAATATACATAAATATATAGAAATAAATATGTAGAAATAAAATTAAATATATAGAAATTATTATTAAAATAAAAAATAAATAAATAAATAAATATATTAAAAATCATTTTTTTTCTAATTTGCAATTTCTGTAAATTATGTATTAAATAGATGTAGATACATATAAAAATTTAAAAATGTTGCCTTACCTGTCAGTACAATCGTACAACGTTTCGCATTGTCACTATATTTTTTCATAATAGCAATTTCGTTTTTATCTTTTAATCCGTTAAATATATTTTGAAGTTGCATTAATAATTTCTTCATCTGTTATTTGTTAGCAACGTTATGAATATTGTTTCGCATATTATATAATTTTTATTTTATATATATATATATATATATATATATATATATATATATATATAATAAAAACTATTTTAAATTTTACTTGACATGAATATTTTTCCTGTCTCCCTATCAACTTCTAACAGATATTGCTTCTTAAAAATTATCATTTTTAATAAACTATCAACTTACAATTTTCATGTTGAAATAAAATAGGATATATTTAATCACAAAGGTACTGGAAAAACACGTGGAAGACAAAATTTTAATGATGTGATACGGAGTACATCTTAATGTAACAAATGTCATTAGCTATAAGAAATAATCTTATTAAAGGCATGCGGACATTATTCTTTTTGCATTAAGACATTACTCTTTTAAAAACGAACAAATTATAAATTCTTTTAAAAACGAACAAATTATAAATTCTATATCTCTAGATGTTCCTTATGCATTTGTGTATAACATGATTGAATTAAGATATGATATGTAATATATTATAAACTTTTATAATACCTTACACAATAGTTTCATTATAGTTTAAATTTTTAGCTTTTAAGCGTGTGCAGCTTTTAAGCGTGATAAAAACTTATTACGTAACAGTTATTAAAACATATTACATTAAAAACATATTGCATTTATATTAAAATATATCGAAAAAATAAAATACAAACATAAGAAGCATTGATATACCTGAAATATAATACTCGTTATCAGAACAGTAGAACAGAAGATAAACTGAAGTCGTGTCAGATTCGATTGTTGCAAAGGCCATAAGCCAATAATGAGTAATAATAATCTATTGATTTTAAAATGCTGAGTTTCAAGGGAGATCATATTCTTACAAAATCCAGAGCACAAGTGACTGCGAGAAAATTGGCAAGAGTACACATTTATCCCCACCTTTTTTATTGATCGACTATATATATTTTCTTATAGCCCAAATTTTAGCTCTATTATTCTATTATTCCAATTTAATATAATGCAAAGCGACATTAGATATTATTATAAGATCAGAAACATTACATTTTCGTAGCATTTGTTGAAATGAATGTCTGTTAATTGATCGATTGCATATCAAGAAAAAATATATCGTCTATTATTTATGTAAATAAGAAAAAATTATTTATGAGAGAGAATTATTGTTGACTGGAGCCGCGCAATTCTTCATCTTCAGCATCGCTTCCTTATTCTATCGCATGCCTTTGCAAGATATTCTTCTTCGAAAGAAATATCATTTAGTTCTTTAAACATTATAATAGATTAAATAAGAGATTTACTCTTTGTCTCTTCACAAAACGTGTCTATTAATAATATGTTACATTAAATATTTATTTCACATTCTAACATACTATTCATTTGTGAATACGATATATTCTAACGATAAATGAGAATGCAACAGACAGTTTCATTAACATTCACATGTAAAATCCTTTTTGCAACAGAAATATTACAAGTTTTTATACATTTATGAAAGGTATGTAGCACTGAGCATTACATTCACAAAGTTTTATGTAAATATTAAATTGGTAATTTAAGGAAAATAGAACAAGATCTACAATCAATAATTTTTAATGTTTTATTCGCTGATTTATTCAACGAACAACGTTAGATTTTTTTTGTTTTATAATAAAAATTTTTGATATTATTTCCGGATGATGTAATTTGAAAAATCTAAAACATAGTTATAAAATGTTTACATCTGAATTTTTTATGTTTTCTGAATATTATTCGTTATTTTTATTTATTTGGTGAACAATTACGGTCGATAAAGACACAATATAAGACTTACTTGAAAAAAGATTAAGACTTAAACAGATTACTCCGGCCATTATTAAAAAGAACAACATTGTCTGAATTTTGGATATCAAAAATTTGGATAATTTTTTAGAACCAAACTATTATTATTATTATAGACATAGTACACAAGATGTTTCTTAAATGATGTCGAAAAGAATGCAAGCGTATTACTTGAAGTGGACCGATGTTCATAAGAATATTTTTCTTTAAGATCGTCCAAGAAATTACTTTCTGGAATTTCGATATCACTTAGGAAATGCTCTGTATATGTATAACGTAACTTCATAGTCGATGAATATTTACAGCACTAATTATTCCTTTCAATATTAAATTCTCTTTTTTCAGTTTATTTTCTCCTAGTATAATGATGTGCACTGCACGTTTAATGCGATAACTAGTATATATTTATTAAACTCTATTAGTTTTTTTGGTTTTGTAAAATAATCACTGGGTTTATTCAATAACAATATAATTTCGATTAAAACTAGAGACTTTTCTGTTTGTTTCTTACTTGGAAATTCTAAACATATGACAAGTATGTTGAACATATCTAAATATTGTTCCTATCGCTACCATTGTCTCGATTCACATCGCTACGCTGATATGCAACAGAATGAAATTAAAATATTTTTCTTGATCGATAAAGTATTCGATCATAATCGGCAAACGACGTGATAAAGATAAGTTTATTGGTAATACAATTGTTTGATCTCTCCTTCATGCAAGATTCTATGCTTACGTGTTTGATCTCTTCTTCATACAATATTCTATGCCTAGTTGCCGATCAGAAAATCAATCAAAAGAGGCAAGAGACAATGACCGTGCTTCTTATCTTTGGTTTTGAGCGCTCTTGCGCGGTCATTGTGTCCCTTTTGATTGATTTTCTGATCGGCAACTAAGCATAGAATATTGCATGAAGAAAAGATCAAACAATAATATAGAAAATACTCGACCAAAATAGGGCCGATCATTTCTTATATTCATTCTAATGTTCGGTGCACGAATCACTACAAGAAAGTCGGAGGCTATATTTGCTTATCCCTTCTTTTTTTTATTGATTGAACAGATATTTTATTATTTCTCTCTTCTGACATTTAACATAAATTTTATACAATTTTGTTAACGCGGTAAAAGTAGAATAATCACAATTTAACAATATTTTTCGTCCCTAATTATGCGATCGATTTAATAGCGGATAAATTTGAGCCGGTGATTACTATTAGAAAAGAAGAGGAAATTATATTGATCGAATTACTTGCATGAAAATTGCACGTGCGTATTTGTTTTTTTTTTTTGCATATTTGCGCGTTTTATTCTATCGTCCGCATTCACAACGTACACTTGAATTCATCAATTCGATCACGATCACGATCACAATTTACTTTTAAGTGCATCAGATTTTTCTGGTGAAATATACTATTTAAAAGAGTCGATCAAGTCTGTGCACGTTATAAGCATGTTATAAGTATGTTAAACTTATTAGCATGATAATAGTTATTAAAAACTAAATGACATGTTATTATATGTAATTATAAACTTTGTATGTTCACATAAATTTTTATTACTTATTTTACTTTAATGAAAAATATTTTCAAAGATTCATAATTGTTGACAGTGAGAATAAATTACGTATTTGGTAATAATAAATATTTGACGTCTCATTATATAAATCGTTTACGAAACATCAAAATGATTAAAGAAAATGTAACCTTGATCAAATTTATTATTTGATATATAGCAACTATATAATTATAAATTATAACTAATTCTAAATGTCATCTTTAACAATAATCATTTCCTTTAGCTTTACATACCTAAGACTTAAATTATCGAGTTATATCTAAGAAATAATATAATACGATCTAAAAGATATGATTCTTATTGCGGATTGCTTTATATTATAAAAATTGATATTTCTTTTGCGAAAAGGAGATTTATTATGGAAAAATTAAATTGGGACTACGTTTACACGACTTGATTTACGCCCAAGTTCTAACATTGATATTATAACTACTGACATTAGATGCCGTGTAAACGCTCTTTTTACGATGAAGTTATTACATCAATGTAGTAACTCAAAGTCGTTTAGCGAAAAGGCTTAGCGTTATTACATCGATAAAAAGGACGTGTAAACGGCCGCAGTGTAACGATGACAATAATGCCAATCGTTAAAATTAAACATTTTAACTCTCTCTCTTATTTGCAAATTTAATATTATTTCATTGGTATCATTTCTTGGACTCACTTCACTCGAAAGTTATTAAGTTATTTTAGCTTGGTGGGAATAGAATAAGAACGTATAAACACAATTCACTTTAAATAGAAGTTATAACATCAGCGTTATTAAATCGAAATTAGAAGCCGTATAAACGTAGTGTGTGTGAAAGTCTGACAATATTAACATATATTAACAATACATATAAATGATTTATTTAAAAATAATGTGACAATAGTACAGTATTTTAAATAATAAAAATAAAATTCTAGATTATTGATATAAAATAAAGTCAATTTTTATATTACTTTTATTCTACATTTGAAATGAAATGTCGAGTTATTTATGCATTGAAAATTTGTGTAATATCATTAAATAAACTAATTCAAATCTATAGAAATCTCTTGTATTTATTTATATAAAACACAAACTGTGGGATTAATAATAAACTGCTTTTAACTCTTAAATGCAATATTGACGTTTTTTTAATTAAATTAAATTTTTTGCTACATTCTATTCTATTCTATTCTATTCTATTCTATTTGTTATTATTTCTTTTCTTATTTTATTATTGCGTTGAGTACATAAAAGTAAAATAAGAGACCGAAGCTTTCACAAGCTGTAATATGTATTTATATTATGTATCTTATAAATGTATATTTTGATAACATATTAATTATTTTTACCGTAGCAAAACATTCTAATGATCCAACAAATAATCCACCGACATTTATGGTATAATCTTTGGCGCCTCTTTGTAGCAAAAATAGTATCATTTTCTGTATATGTAAAGGAGCTATATGCCATTGGACGTCATACCTATACATGTATAGATAGTGTACACATATTTTTATGCAACAATATTTACATTTAATAAAATTCTCTAACATGCAAAACTTTATAGAATCTAAAACAATGTTTCCTACACGGTAGTAAAGATGTGATTATTGTGATCCGTTAGATCCTGTGCAATATAATTAGCCAAAAACATGTATACGATACTGAAAGTTACAAATTGAAAGGGAAAAATAAATTCCTCAACATCGTCTCCCGATGATGCAATCTGAAAAATCTAAAAAAGCACAGGATTATAATTGTATGATCATAGTCGAAATTATTCGTATTTTTTCTTTAAATATTATTTACAATAAAAATTCTTATTAATTGATAAACAGTAAAGATTGACTTATATAGAGATAAAAATATTTTATAAAATCACAAATATTAGCAAGAAAAAAGAGAGAAAGTAAAGAAGAGAGAGAAAGGAAAAGAAAAAATATACTCCTTCCCTATCCCATAAGGTGACATGCAATATATGGAAATAAGGCACGTGAAATACTCGTATATTAATCCTTTGTACTCCGGCTAATTTTATCACATGGCCTACCAACAACTCCAAAACACTTCTGTGGTATCTTTGGTGAATATCAAAAAATGTTATTATATCAAATAAAAGTCTGTTTTATTATCGTGCTGTTCTCAATATCATAAATAATCCAATGAAAGATAAATATTATAAATAATTTCATTCTAAAATATATGTCTTCGTAAGCGACACCTCTAAAGTTGTGGTACAAACTATGTATGTCGCTGTAGCGACGCCTATGGAGTGCAAAGGGCTATATATTATTTAAAAATAAAGAAAGAGAGAGAGAGAGAGAGAGAGAGAGAGAGAGAGAGAGAGAGAGTGGAAATATATAGACAAATTCGAGACATTTACGAGACTTACTCGAAAGAGATTAAGACTCAAAAAGATCACTCCGACTATTATTAAACAGAACAACATGGTTTGAATTTTTGATACCAAAAATTCGGATAATCTTTCAAAATCAAAGTATTATTATTATAGACGTATTATATTTGTATGTCATGAAATAAAGATACTAACTTTATAGCTTGCCGATGAATATTTACAGCACTAATTATTCCCTTCAATATTAAATTCTCTTTTTTTGATTTATTTACTCCCAACGTAATAATGTGCACTGCACGTTTAATACGATAACTGTAATTAATATATTTATTAAATTGTATATTTCGTAAAGTAAGAACTAGATTTATTCAATGACAGTAGAATTTTGATTAAAACTAGAAACTTTTTAATTATTTCTATGTTTGTGTGTTTCTTACCTGGAAATTTTAAACATAGCACAGATATGTTGATCATATGCAACAAACATTGCTCCTATTGCTATCGCTACAGTCATCGCAATGAACATCGCCACGCTTATATGTAATGGAATTAAATAAAAGTATATTTCTTGATCGATAAAGTATTCCATCATAATAGGCAAATGATGTGATATAGATATGTTTATCGGTAATATAAGATAGAATATACTTGACCAAAATAGAGCAATGATGATAGAAAATGAGCTGTAAAGACCAAGTACTAAAAGGATTTAAATATAGAATATCAAATTAATTTTTTACATAGAAACTTTTAAATTGTTTTAAATGTTATGTTACGTGCATATCATTTGTATAATTAAATATTTAAATTTAATTCATATAATTAATTATATTAATTTTAATGTACTTTTTATATAAATCTCTAACGCAATTACAATCGATCTTAATGTTAAATAATAACCATTATAAATTTACAATTTCTTTTTTTTACTTGATATTCTTGACAAAAAATTTGATATTAATCTTTATATATTTGTATTTATATATTTGGATATATAAAAAAATGTTTTAATAAATTAACATACGATGAATTATATATACATACGTGTGTGCAAAAGGTGTTATAATATATCGAAATCAATTTTCATTCCATTAAAATTTTTATAATTCATGTGTCAAATAGAAATGTAGTTACATATAAAAATTAAAAAATATTATCTTACTTGTGAGTACAGCCGTATAACGTTTTGCAAGACAACTATATTCTTTCATAATAGCGATTTCGTTTTTATCTTTTAATCCATCATGTATCTCTTGAAGTTTTATCAGCAAATCCTTAACCTATATTATTTCAGCAATTTTGAATATATTATTTTCGTGTATATCCATAATATATATTAAAATTTATATTTTTTATAACCTTTATTCGATCAAAATGTTTTTTTCTTGTTTCGCGATCAAATTATCAACTTATCAATTATTATAAATTACCAATTCTACAAGCTACCAACTTACAGCTTCCATTTTGAGACTGAATAAGTTATATTTTATCGCAGAAATACTAAATAAACATGTGGAAGATAAAACTTTAACCACGAGATTAGGAGTACATCTTAATGTAACAAATATCGTAAGCTATAAGAAATAATTTTATTTATTTAACATTTATTTAACAGCTATAAGAATTAATTTTATTTATTTAACAAAAATTTAATTATATGAAACTACTCTTTTAAAACAATGAACAAACTATCAATTTTATATAACTAAATGCTTGTTTATATATTTATACATAAAATGATTGATATAAGATAGATAATTATGATTATATACTACTATAATATATACTAATATCTGGTGTGTGTGTGTGTGTGTGTGTGTGTGTGTGTGTGTGTGTGTGTGTGTAAATAATTTATTATTTTATTAAAATATAATCAAGTCATACTCATGATATAGTAAGAATATAATATATATTATAATATATATTAACATATAATAATTTTTACTATATTATAAGCATGATTATATATACAATATTAAAATGTAGTGAATAAATAAAATATAAACATAATAGTAGCGCCTTACCTGAAATATAATACTCGTCGTCAAAACACTAGACAAGATAATAAACTGAAATCGAGTTAAGTTCGATTGTTTTAAAGGCCACAAGCCAATAGTGAGTAACAGAAATCTGTTGAGTTTAAAATGCTGTGTTTCAAGACACATCATCTTTTTACAAAGTCCGGAGCACAAATAATTGCGAAAAAGTCGGCGAAGATATATGATTATTCTCTCCTTTTTTCATTGAAAAGATATTTTATTACTTTTATCCCTAATACAAATTTTAACATCAATTTCGTATAATTTTATGTAACGGAAACCGATACACGCCAACTATGTACTGTGCGATAACAGTAAAATATTCACAATTCAATGTTTTTCGCAATAAATTCCTTAATTATACGATCGATTTGATGGGAGAGTAATTTCAGCTTTTTATTTATCATAAAAAAGAGAAATTATTCATCGAGCAAATTGCTTGCGAAAGGAACGAAAGTCACGCATGCGTATTTGCTATTTCTTTCGTACAACAAATTTATACGTTTCATTTTATTGTCCGTATTCGTGACGTACACTTGGTCTTCCAGACAAATGTTATACATTATTTAGAACAATGGGATCTTTCCGTAAGAAGCTTACTATTTAAAAAAATCGGTGACATCTATGCATGTATATATTAAACTATCAATTATTAATCACGCAATAAAAATTAAATTTTAAGAGCTAAATGTCGATATGTTTGATGTATGATTTACCAATTATATATTGTTTTATATTTTTACATAAATCATTACTTACTAATATTCACAGTTTCTCGCAATAAAGTTTCTAATTTTGCGATCGATTTAATAGTGGAAAAATTACAGCAAATATTTATCATAAGAGAAGATAAACAAAAATTATTTATCAAACAATTATTGACATGAATATCGCGTATGCGTATTTACTTTATATAATAAATTTTTCACATTTTATTCTATTGTTCGCACACTTGTACATTTATCTTCGAAACAAATATCATTCATTGTTGAAAATACATCAATCTCTTCTGGTAAAGCTCATATTAAATTCTTTAAATGAGTTTAAATCTATACATGGTATATGGTATATATCTTATATATTATTTATTTCATTAAAATCATTAATTTCATTAAAAAGATGCTTAAATTATTAAAACTTTATAGCCGCTAATAAAACTAGACATTTAAAAATAATGTTTGGCAAATAATGTTTAAAAATAATGTTGTGTTATTATGCAAAACACGAATGTTTAAAAATGTAACTTCAATAAAATCTGTTATTTGATATGTAACATATGTTATAAATAATTTTATATTTCATCTTTACGAATAATCATCTCTTTAACTTTACATAAGACATTTAAATTATCAAATTGTGTCTAAATATAATATAATTTTTATTGGAGATTGCTTTATTTTTAATATTTCTTTTGTAAACACATACACACACACACGCACACACACACACGCACACACACACACATACACATCATAAACTATTTATTATAAAAAAATTAAATTATAAAAAAGATTTGATTAACACTAACAATATATAAATTATTTATTTAGAAATAATATAATAATACATACAATATTTTTAATAAAATAAAACTTCAAAATAATATCAAATTAAGTGATTTTAAGTATAAATTTTGTATTTAAAATTAAGTGTCAGATTTTTTAATGTATTGAAAATCTGTGTAATGTCTTTAATAAAATATATTTATATTTTTGGACATATCTTTTGTATCTTTTTAGGTACATACTATAAGATAAATAATAAACTATTTATAACTTTTAAAATAATATAATTATAATTGTAATATATTAAGATCTTATTAAATAAATCTTTTATAATTTATTCATTATTATTTATATCATTATTTTTTTATCTTATTATTGCATTGAATATAAAAAAGTAAAATAGGAGACCGAAGCTTTTACCAACTGTAATATATATTTGCATTATATATCCTTAAATGTATGTTTTAATAATATATTTGTTGTATTTACCGTGGCGAAACACTCCAACGATCCGACAAATATTCCACCGACACTTACAGTAAAATCTACAGCGCCTCTTTGCAACAGAAATAATATTATTTTTTGTATATGTAATGGAGTTACATTCCACTGAATATTGTACCTAAGCAATCAAATATACAAATAGCATATATTGTGTATTTCTACGAAATAATTTCTGCATTTAATAAAACAGTTTTTAAACATATGAGATTTTATATCACAATGTGTCTTACACAGTATTATAGATGTCATTATTGTGATCCGTTAGATCCTGTGCAATATAATTGGATAAAAACATATATATGATACCGGCAGTTATAAATATAAATAGGCAAACAAATTCCATAACATCATCTCCGGATGATACAATCTGAGAAATCTAAAGTACAAGATCGCAATTATAACGAAATTATACGTTTCTCACATTCTTTAACATTATACAAAATAAAGGTATTCTTATTAATTGGCGAATGATTGATCTATATAAAGATAAAAATCATATATTTTGTAAAATTAAAAATATTAACAAAAGAAAGAGAGAAAAAGTGAGAAAGAGATAGGGAAAAAATATTCTCTTTCTTCATATATAATACACACAATGTATCTGAAATATATATGTATATTGAATATTGTTTGAAAATAATGGATATAAAATAACATGATGCGAACTTACTCGAAAGAAACTGAGACTCAAAATGATCACTCCGATTATTATTAAACAGAATATCATTGTCTGAATTTTTGATACCAAAAGTCCGGATAATCTTTCAAGACAAAACAATTATTATTAGTCATATCATATATATATATATATATATATATATATATATATATATATATACCGTGGAATATAGATACTAACTTCATAGCTTGTCGATGCATATCTACAGCACTAATTATTCCTTTTAATATTAAATTCTCTTTCTTCATTTTGATATTTTCTAGCGTATTGATCTGCATTGCGCGTTTAATACGATAACTGTAATTAATATTATTTATTGAATCATATTTTTTGCTTTCTGCCTTTTAAGATAAGCACTAGATTGGTTCAAGATAACAAGAAATTTTTGTTTAAAATTCGAAATTTTGTACTTATTTCTATGTTATTTCTATGTTTGTTTCTTACCTGGAAATTCTAAACATACCACAGGTATGTTGAAGATACGTAATAAGCATTGCTCCTATTGCTAATACTGCAATCATCCCAATGCACATCGTCGCATTGAAGTGTAAGAGAATCAAGAGGAAATACTTTTCTTGATCTATAAAGTATTTTATTCTCATCGGTAAGTGACGTGTTTGAGTTACGTTTATTGGATACGTAATTGGATAGAATACACTCGACCAAGATATAATGATGATAAAAGAAAGGCCGCAAATACTAAATACTAAAAGAATTTAAATTTGAAATCGTCATATTAATTTTCTTTACAATAACTTTTTAAATTGTTTGAAATATTACATCACAAATATATATTATTTATATAATAAATCATATAATTAATTTTACTTTTAATGTATTTTTTATATAAATTTCTAACGCAATTATAATCGATTTTAACTTCATAAAAAATTATTGTAATTTTACAACTACTTCTTCAAACACATATGGTGTTAATCTGTATATACTTGTATATATGAAAAATGTCTTAATAAAGAATGATGAATTACACGTAGACAACATACGTGTACAAAAATTGTTATAATATATCGGAATCAATTTTCTGCCCATTAAAACTCTTATGACTCATATATCAAATAGTACACATAATTAGATGTAAAAATTAAAAAAGTATTGTCTTACTTGTAAGTACAATCGTAAAACGTTTCGCATTGTAACTATATTCTTTTACAATATCAATTTCATTTTTATCTTTTAATCTATCATATATATCTTGAAGTTGCATCAATAAATCCTTTATCTGTCATTTTAACCATTTTATGTGTATTATTTAAATGTGTATACCCATAATATGAAATAATTAAATATTAAAAATTATACTATAATATAAAATTATAGTCTTATATAATTTAATTAATTTATGTTAATATAAAATTATATTCTTTTATTTTTTCTTATATTCTTTAATCTTCATCTTTTTTGACTCGACAAAAATGTTTTTTTCAGTCACGTGATTAAGTGAACTTCAGTTTTTTTTAAGTTATTAATTTTATAACTCTCAACTTACAGCTTCTATGTTGAAATAAAATAAACTATATTTTACCGTCGGCATACTAAATAAAAAGGAAGACAAGACATTAATGATGAGATCCGGAGTACATTTTAATGTAACAAATGACATGAGCTGTAAGAAGCAATCTTATTACAAATTTACATTAAGAAATTACTCTTTCAAAGCAATAAACATATAAATTCTATAGTGCTTCTTTATACATTTGTATATAAAATGATTGAATAAAAATGTGATACATAATTATAAATAATATTATTATATAATATTATAATATTATTAAAGCATTAATTATGTTATAATATTATTATATAATATTATAACATAATTAATGCTCTAATATTATATATCATTATGATATAGTTGATATTAACATTTTTTTATTACTTAATTAAAATATCTTTAAATCAGGTACATGATAAAAAACAATAAAAAATTATTATATAATTAATATTAAAATACAATGTAAAAGTAAAATATACACATAAAAAGTATTACCATACCTGAAATATAATACTTGTCATCAGAATATTAAACAAAACAATAAACTGAAATCGTGTCAAGTTCGATTGTTGTAAAGGCCATAAGCCAATAATGAGTAATAAAAATCTATTGAGCTTAAAATGCTGAGTTTCGAGATCGATCATTTCTTTATGAGGTTTGAAACACAAATAACTGCTATAACATCAGCGAAGATATTCGACTATTCTTCAGATATATTTTATTACTTCTTTTTTACGTAAATTTTCGTACAAATTACATATAATTTCGTGTAAACGGAAGCTGACACAATTATGTGTGTGTATCGTGCGATAAAATATTCACAACTCAATATTTTTTGCAATAAATTTCTCAATTATACGATCGATTTAATGGAGTAGTAATTTCATGCAAATGCTTATCATAAAAAAGAGAAAAAATTATTTATCGAACGACTATACCTAAAGTCACGCATGCGTATTCGCTACTTTTTTTGCACAACAAATTGACACGTTTTATTTTATTGTCCGCACTCGTGACGTACACTTGATCCCGACAAATGTTATTCACAATACAGAGCATTAAGTCTTTGCGGTAAGAAGCTTATACTTTAAAAGAGTCGATGACATTTATGCATCTATATGTCAAACTTTTAATTATCAATAACGCAATAAAACTTAAATTTTACAAAACTGAATATCGATATTTCATTTATCGACCGTTATTTTATATGTTTACATAAATCATTATTACTTATGTCATTTTAATACATACTTAAGACACTTAAATTATCAATACTTGTACCCAAAAATAATATGATTCTTATTGAACTTTATTTCTCAAATATTGATACATCTTTGCACAGTGATCATTTAATAAAAATTTAAAAATAAAAAATGTTCGGTGATACTAATATTAATAATTTAAAATTTATTTATTTAAATGTGATGTGACAATTCGTATATCGTAAATAGTGAAAATAAAACTTAAAAATTATGTAAAAAGTAAATGAGTTTGCATCAGTATTTTATAAATAATTTTTTGAATGATTTGTTTTTCAATGGATTGAAATTCTATGTAACATATTTATATATGTAAAAATATCTAATATCTTATTCAGATAAAAACCATGGGATTAATTATAAATTTATATCAACTTTTAAATATATTATAATTGTAATATAAGGATTTATTTAATTAAATTATTGCTATTATAATTTAATTATTACTATTTGTCTCTTCTTATTTTATAATTGCGCTGAAGATATAACAGTAAAATAAGAGACCGATGCTTTCACTAGCTATATGTTATTTGTAATATAATATAAAAAATATATTTATATATTATATAATTCACTTACGATAATATATTTATAATCTTTACCGTGGCAAAACACTCCAACGACCCGACGAATAGTCCGCCGGCACATACAGTAAAGTCTTTGGTGCCTCTTTGCAGCAAAAATAATATCACTTTCTGTATATGTAATGGAGCTACATTCCACTGAACGTTATACCTACGCAATGGTATAGAGAGATTAATATAAATATGAATATTTGAACGTGACAACATTAATTTCTGAGTTTAATAACTTTTAATATGCAAATCTTCTCAGAACAATTTCTTTAAAACAATGTTTCTTACACAGATACAAAGATGTCATTATTGTGATCCGTTATATCTTGCGCAAGATAATTAGCTAGAAACATGTATATCATAATGACAAGCATAATTATAATGGGAAATATGAATTCCTTAATATTACCTCCGATTGATATAATCTGAAAAATCTAAAACAGACAATTGTAACGAATTTACATCTGCATTTCTCACGTTCTCTGAACATTATTTACAATAAATTTGTTCTTCTTAATTAGTGATTATGATTGATTTATATAAAGATCATATATTTTATTTCAAAATTATATGTTTTGTAAAATTAAATATATCATCAAGAACAAGAGTAAGAAAAAGAGATAAAAAGATAAAATCGATAAATTTATTTGTTTAAAAGTTAGAATTTTTTCGGTGGCACATATGTCCCGGAGATACAAAAGGGATAAATTTATTCTCGATTAATGATTTTAATCTTGATATATATTGTAAAAATCATGTCCTCGAATAACAAAATGGTTGAGCCGTCGCTCATTGTTTATTAAAATGTTTATTAAATATGTTATTAAAATATTATTAAAAAATATAAATAGCTAAATATTCTCTGAAACAAGATCAAATTTCAAAATATTCAAATATTGAAATAAGACTTCAACTTCTACAAATATTAATGATTTTGACATATATTATAGAAGTCACTCTTTCGATTAACATTTAGTAGGTTTTAGCCGCGTCACTTCCTATTTATTAAAAAAGTTATCAATAAAAAAAGTCGCATAAATAGAATATAGATTTCTTTGACATCCATAGGCAGGTAATATGTACAGGGTGTTTCCACATACACATCATTAAGTCGGATTGCCTATTTGCCCACTCAGGGATATATGCTTTACAAGCTCGCAGAATATGATCAAAATGGGAATAAGAAAAAAGGAAACTGTTTTTATCATTCTATTATAATGAACAGTTGTGAAATTTAATAATATAAATAAAATATTTATCTAATAATAAATAAATTTAATAATATAAATAAAATATTTATCTAATAATAGATAAAATAACAAATAAAATTTAATAAACAAATTTGGACAAATATAATGTAAAATATATTTGATTTTTAAATATAATAAATTATAAAAACTCGAAATAATCACTATTTTCTTTTAAACATAGAGCAATCCTACTGAATACCTCTCACTTGTTTTATCAGAAGAGTGATCTCTGCCCATGGATCTTATGCCTATGGACTTTTTTATGTGGGTCATCTTAAAAAATAAAATATATTACACCCTGCCGAAAAATGCAGAAATTCTTAAAAATAAAATTTGTAACGCATGTGCGGAGATCACTTCTCTCATGTTATTAAAGTGCGATGATCTAAAGTCTAAAGTGCTTTTAATTTAATCGACTCGCGTGTGTAGATACATAAAATACTATGCTGTTCTGGCACGAGATGCTATCTGTGTCTCTTGATTTTAAGTATTGTTTGATAATAATGGATATAAGAATATATCCAAGACTTACTTGAAAAAAACTAAGACTCAAAGAGACTACTCCGGTCGTTATTAAGGAAAAGAACATTGGGTTAATTGTAGTTTCTAAAAGTCGACATAATCTGTTAAGGCCAAAAAATATTAATAAATATTATATAGACATTATATACATACATATATATATATATATGTATGTATATATATATATATATATATATATATATATATATCGTAGAGAATGAATTAAAGCATAATTACTTCATAGCTTGCCGATGAATATTGACGGCACAAATTATTCCTTTCAATGTTACATTCTCTTTCTTCGCTTTGATATTTTCTAGCACATCGATGTGCACTGCGCGTTTAATGCGATAACTGTAATTAATAAATAAATTTATCAAGTTTTATACCTTATTTTATCTTCGTCAAATAATCGCTAGATTTGCTCAAGATAATATAATTTGAATGTCTAGATTAAAATTTTAAATTTCGCACTTATATTCATGTTCGTTTTTTACCTGGAAATTCTAAACATACCACAGAAATATTGAGTAAACGTAATAAGCATCGCTCCTATTGCTACTGTGACAGTTATTCCGATGCACAATAACATGATGATATGTAACTGAATCAAATAAAAATACTTATCTTGATCGATAAAGTATTCTATTTTAATCGGTAAGTGATGTGACAGAGATATGTTCACGTTTAAAATAATATAAAGAATTCTCGACCAATGCATGCTTATTGTAACAATGAAAATGCCGCAAATGCCAAGTACTAAAAAGATTTATATACATATAGAAGCGTTGAATTAATTTTTCTTGTAAAAATTTTTTAAATTGATTTAGATGTTATATCATATACATATATAATATATTATATAAATATATATTTCGGACGCAATATTATAATTCATTTCAATCATACAGGTAATAACTTGTAATAATAAAACTTCCTCTTTTGTATTAGATTTTTTGGTTTAATATAATATATTAGTCTTTACATATTTGCATATATGTACAAATGTATTAATAAATCTCTATCCCGATGTATAATACATTCATAAGAATAAATAATATCGTTATAATCTATTGGAATTAATTATTTGTCTGAAATTCTCTTACTCTTATTGAAACTGTTACACTCATATGTCCAATCTAAATAATGTATATGCATTTGAAAATTAAGAAATATTATCTTACTAGCCAGTACAGTCGTGTAACGATTTGCATTACAACTATACTTTTTCATAATAGCAATTTCGTTTTTATCTTCTAATCCATTACATATATTCCGAAGTTGCACCAATAAATCCTTCATCTATTATTTCAACAAAGTTGTATATATGTACACATAATATTAAAAACTATATTTACAAATTTTATATGACAGGAGTATTTTTTCTGTCTTGCGATCAAACTATCAACTTGTGAATCAATTCTTATAATTATATATTATATTATATTATCAAATTTATAAACTATTAACTTACAGCTTCCATATTTAGATAAAATGAGTTGTATTTTGCAGCCCATATACCAGCAATAAAACATATGGAACACAAAACATTAATTAGATCCGTAGTACAATTTAATGTAATAAGTGTCATAAGCTATAAAAAATAATTTTATTACTAATTTACATCAGGAAATTATTCCTTTAAATCGATATACAAATTATAAATTCTATGTAATTAAATATTTTTTATATATTTATATATAAATTGAATGAATCGAATTGTGATACATAATTGTATTATTTTATATAGTACTATAACTAATACTATAATAGTAATATAACTGATATAAATATTATTGAATTAAAATTATTTAATAATGAGAGATTTGGCTCAAATAATCAAAAAATTGAAAAAGAGAATGGCATAAGAATCAATGCGGTAGTTGAAACGCAAAGAAACAACAACACTTCTTTCTTTTATCTTTTTTCAATATTAGTTTATTATAAAATTCATATTACAACAACAGAAAGTGAACGCTTCGGATCATCTTTTGATAAAATTAAAATTATTTAAAATTATTTAATTAAAACATCTTTAAGTAAAGTATACATGATATAGAAAAAATAAAATTATTAAATCATAATGTATTAAAATGTAATGAAAAAATAAATTAAAATATGTATATGAAGAGTATTGCCTTACCTGAAGTATGATAATCGTCATTATTGTACTAGATAAAATAACAAACTGTAATCGTGTTAGATTCGATTGTTGTAAAGGCCATAAGCCAACAATGAGTAATAGATATCTGTTGAGTTTAAAATGCTGAATCTCAAGATCGATCATTTCTTTATGAAGTTTGGAGCACAAATAACTGTGATAAAGTTGATATATTTGCATATCTTTTCTTTTTTCTATTGAAAGACTAAATATTTTATTACTTTTTCTCTTTCGCGTATAAATTTTTGTATAATTTCACATAATTTTGTGTAATATAAGTCGACACTATTATGTGACGCGGAAAAAATAAAATATTTAAAAGTTTTAACAATAATGTTTCTAATTATACGATCAATATAATAGTGGAGCAATTTCGGTGCTTATTTACTATAAGAAAAGAGGAGAAATTATTTATCGAGTGACAATGCCTAAAGTCGCGCATGCGTATTCGTTACTTTTTTTGCACAACAAATTTACACGTTTCATTCTATTGTCCGCACTCGTGACATATACTTGGTTCCGACAGATGTTATTCACAATACAGAGCATGAAGTCTTTCCGGTAAGAAGCTTATACTTTAAAAGAATCGATGACATTTATGCACCTATATGTCAAACTTTTAATTAACGCAATAACGCAATAAAAGCTAAATTTTCCAAAACTGAATATCGATATTTCATTTATCGATCGTTATTTTATATGTTTATATAAATCATTATTACTTATGTCATTTTAATACATACTTAAGACACTTAAATTATCAATACTTATACCGAAAAATAATATGATTCTTATTGAACTTTATTTCTATAAGTTAATCAATATAGGTCCGGAAATAATTAGTTTTTGAGTTATTAAGATTTTGGACAAATGGAGGAAATGTGTCAATATGTCCACCTCCTGTCACAATACAAGCCTCAGCTCGTCGTCTCATTGAGTCCCGAACACGTTCTCAAATTCCGGGCGTGGCGCGTATCGTCTGAAAAGCTGCCACAATTCGGTTGCGGAGAGTTTCTACGTTACCCTATGCAGATGAATACTCCAAAGACTTTGCATAACTCCACAGAAAGACATTGAAAAACGTTGTTGATGCCTGTAAAAGAACTTCTAAGATGTGAAATGAAACAAAATTTTGTATTACAAAAATCTTAATAACTCAAATACTAATCATTTCCGGACCTATGTTGATTAACTTTTTTTTTCTTCTCTAAGCATGAGGAATCCAATTCTGAAATTTTGCCCACTCATGAAACACCCTGTATATATGTATATATGTTCAGATATATATATGTATATATTTGCGACTTAAAGACGCGTATGTAAAGCTACGTTTATTCGAAAAATTCTTTGAAGGAATCTTACGACTATCGAATTCTCTCCAATTTTATACTTTACGTCGCGTTCTCGTCGTAGGTAGATGGATGTAAAATGAAAGGAAAGAATTCCGCAGAAAAATCAAAGAAGAGCGAGTAACCAAAGTTTTTAATTTACGTCAACGATGGCAAAAACGCGCGAAAACGTGGAAATTGAAGAGGGAGAGAAACATTCTCCCGGTTGGATACAGTCCTTCATTTCATTCTCGTATTCAAATATGTGCTTTGAGTACTATTACTAACACGCGCGCACTTCTCGCGCGGCTAAAACTCTCGTAATTACAAGAATCCTTCAGCAACTTTTCGCCGTGCGTTTTTCCACCACATCCAATCCTTTTCCAGTTTAGTTTCACTTCCGCCGTTTTTCATTGCTCGACCGATTAGCAAACATGCGCGAGAATATTATAAAAATATATTAAATTATAAAAAAAAGGACAATAATAAATAAACAATGTACATATTATTTATTTCAAAAAATGTGAGGATTCATATATAGTAAATAATAAAGTTAAAATTTGTGTATTTAATAAAATTGAATTTTTTGTAACAGTATTTTATATTTGATTTTAAATTTTTTGTTTCCTGATGCCTCGAAATTTTATGTAACATATTTAATTATTATATATTATATGTTTGGATGTCTAGTTAGGTGTAAACTGTGATACTAACTTAATAATGAATTATTTTTAACTCTAAAATGTATGATAATTATAATATTCAAATTTAATTAACTAAATTTTTGCTTAATTATAATTTTTTCATTACGATTTCTCTTCTTACCTTATTATTGCGTTGAATACATCACAGTAAAATAAGAAAATGAAGTTTTCAACAGCTGCAATGTTTATTTGAAATATATTGTCTTGAATGTGTGTAGATTTTAAGAAAATATTTATTATTTTTACCGTGGCAAAACATTCCAAAGATGCGACAAATAACCCACCGATACACAAAGTAAAATCTTTGGAACCTCTTTGCAGCAGAAATAGTAGCAGTTTTTGTATATGTAACGGAGCTGCATACCATTGAACGTCACATCTAAATCATCATCAATCATATATATACGATATATGCGGTGTATTTATACGCGACAATGACTTCTGCATTTAATAAAACAAGTTTTAATATGCAAGATGTACAGTCTGTATAAAACAATATTTCTTACACAGTAGCAAAGATGTCATTATTATGATCCGTGACATCCTGCGCAAAATAATTGCCTAGAAACATGTATAGAGTAATCGCAACTACATATACAGAGGGAATTATAAATTCCTTGAATTCATCTCCGGTTGAGATAACCTGAAAAATCTAAAATATTTTATCATAATTTAACGAATTACATCTGTATTTCTTATGTTTTCTGAAAATTATTCATTACAAATCTATTTTTATTAATTTGTGAACGATAGCGATTTATGTAGCGATAAAAACTGAAAATTTTATAAAATCAAAAATATAAAGAAAAAGAGAATTGCATGCTTTTTGCTCTCATGACTAAACTGGCATAGACTGCTTTTCGTGGCGCTCAGCTGCTAGCCATGCACTTGCAGTGGGGAAAACGGCACCAAGATCCGGACTCTGCTTATAACTAACATACAACTTACTCGAAAGAGATTAATGCTTAATGTGACCACTCCAAGTATTATTAAACAAAACATCATTGTCTCCATTGTGGATAGCAAAAGTCTGGATAATCTATCAAGACCAAAAAATATTTTATTAAACAGACATATACGCACACACACTTACACACGTATAAAATATAATGATAAAGATCGAAACGCTCGTGAAAGTGTACATCATAGTAAACTGAACAAATAAATCCTTTACCATTTTGCAATTTTTGCATTAATTATTGATATATGAATTAAAAAGAATTAGCTAACGGATATGCGATTTTCATGTCTGGATCATAGGTTGTATGCATTAGACATGGCGAGTGTTCTACGGTAACGAAAAGATGAGAGTCGGAGTGCGTGCAGCCAAACTTTCTATTGCTATTCTGTGCAAACACACCTAGAGCATACATCTCATAATTTAACGCAAAATGCGCACTGTATTCTGACTCTTATCTTTCCATTGTCATGTGACACTTGCCACTGCCATGTTTAGAGCACAAATTCTATGATCCTATAATTTAGCTATGCGAAACGCGTCCGCGTGCGCGGAAAAGAGAAATCTCTGAATCACTCTCAAAATACGCCAGATAAAAATATGTTGGATACAAAAATTTTAAGATTTTAAGCAACGCATTACATAGTAATACCAGCATGAACTTGAACAGCGTTAAGTTTACGTGATAATCACCCAGAATATTTTAAATAAAACCCTCCATTTTTATTATATAATCTTATAGCTTACCTGAGAGCTTTCTAAAAGTTTTTATAATAAAGTATGTTTCGAATTCTGAGACTTGAGAAATAATTTCTTAATTTTATATAAACTATATAAAATATTCCGTAAAATATTTATTTTTCCGTAATACATTTATACACAAAATAATGAAAGAAATCAAAAACAAATAAATATTTTTAAGTAAAAAATATATAATTTGTAATGAAAACCTTACAATTTTTTTAGCATTTTTTTGTATATCTATTTTTAGAGTTACTCAGGGCTTCTGACCTTTTTTCCGTATTCCACTCATATATATATATATATATATATATATATATATATATATATATATATATATATACACACATATGAGTATCGAATATACTAACTTCATAGCTTGACGATGCATATCTACCGCACTAATTATTCCTTCCAATATTAAATTCCCTTTCGTCGCTTCAATATTTTGTAACATATTAATGTGCACTGCGCGTTTAATGCGAAAACTATAATCAATATATTCATCAACTATACATCTGTTTTTTTTGTTTCCATCAAATTAGCATTTAATTTATTCAAAATAACAATAGAATTTTGTTAAAATTTAAAATTTTCTATTATATTTGTTTCTTACCTGGAAATTCTAAACATACCACAAATATATTGTAGACACGCAACATATATTGTTCCAATCGCTACCATCGCAATTGTTGTAATGCATATTGACATACTCATATGTAATGGAATCAAATAATCGTACTTTTCCTGATCGATAAAATATTCCATTCTAATCGGCTGACGATTTAATAGAGATACATTCATAGGTAAAATAACATAGACAATTTTCGGTGATAGAATGATGACACTAGTAAATAAAACACAAACGGCAAGTACTAAAAAAATTTATAAAATTAATTTTTTTCGCGGAAGTTTTTTAAATTGATTTTGTTGTTATATTAACATACGCAATCGCATTTATAATATTGACTTAAATTTCTAATCGCATTTATGATGATTTTTGTTTTTCCATTTAAATCACACAAGTAGCAAAAGTTGTAATTTTGGAAATTCTTTTCTGTTTGACATTTTTTTTAGACATATTTGCATGTCTGTCAAGTGGTTTAGAGTCTGATAACATGTGATGCATTATTCACACATAAATATGCGACGAAATTATTATAATCCATCGAAATTAATATTGTTTCTATTGAGACCTATATAATTTATGTTTCAAAAAATAAAAAATGTATCCGCAAAAAATTAAAAAATATTGTCTTACTTGTCAATATAAGCGTATAACGTTTTGCATTGCAAATATAATTATTCATAATAGCGATTTCGTGTTTATCCTTTAATCCGATATATACATTCTGAAGTTGAACCAATAAATCCTTCATCTATCATGTACCAAAATTGAATATTGTTTCGATATGCATATGTTTTATATGAACGTGAAATGAATATATGTGTGTACATAATATTGAAGTATAATTATAATTTTATTAAATTATAAGAGTATAATTTTTAATTTGGTAAAAATAATATTATTGTGCGAACACACAAGCTATCAACTTGTAAACTGTCATTTTTTATAAATTATTAATTATAAATTATCAATTTTAAAAGCGGTCAACTTACAACTTCCACATTGAGAAAAAATAGATTGTATTTTATCCCGCAAAAACTAAACATAAGTACCAAAGACAAAACAGTAACGACGACGTCCGGAGTACATTTTGTTGTAAAAAATGTCATAAGCTGTAAGATACAATCATATTACAAATCTACATTATAAAAATTTAGTCTTTTTAAGCGATGAACGGATTATAAATACTGCATACATAGTTGCTTGTTTTATACATTTGTATGTAAAATGATTGAATAAAGATGTGATACATATATATATATATATATATATATATATATATTATATACTATTATAATATAGCATAGCTAATGTAAATATTTTGTAATTAAAATTATTTAATTAAAATATTTTCAAGGAGCGTGCATGATATAGTATAATATTATTACGTGGATAATATATTAAAGTAATGGAAAAATAATATAAAATTTAATCTAAACATAACAAGTATCACTACATACCTGACATATAATAGATGTTATCTGAATAATAGACAAGAAAATAAACTGAAATCGAGTTAGGTTCGATTGTTGTAAAGGCCACACGCCAATAAGAAGTAACAGAATTCTATTAAGTTTCCAATGCTGACTGTCGATCATCTCTTTACGAGGTTTGGAACACAAATAACAGCAGACTGATTCGTTTATGTTCCACTTTTTCCATTGATCAATTAGATATTTTGTTACTTTTTTCTGACGGTGTAATTTTTTGTAGCAATTTTATATAATTTCGTCCAAGTTAATACAAGCCTATACAACGCGGTAAACATAAAATATTCACGAATTATCGCAATAATGTTCCTAATTATGCAATCGAATTGATAGCGGGAAAATTGCGACGGGTGTTTAGAGAATATATAAGAGAAAATAAAGAGAAAAATTTTTATAACAAATTATTGGGTGCAAATCGCTCATGCGTATTAGACATTTCTTTTGTGCAGCAAATTTACACGTCTCATTCTATTGTCCGCACTCGTGATATACACTTGGTCTCCAGAATGTTATTCACTATCCAAAACAGGAGCTTTTCAGTAAGAAGCTTATATTATTTAAAAGAGTCGATCAATGCTATGTAATAAACTTCTAATTAGGAAGTGATGCAATGGCAGTTACCATTTAAAAATCTAAATATTGACATTGCTATTCTTAAGAGTTGCTATTATTAACAGTTGTCATATATGTTTATATAAATTTTTATGATCTACATCACTTTTACGGAATGCTTGAACTTTACGGACGCTAACAGTAAGAATAAATAGGATATTTGAAAAGGTTTGACATGTCTCAATATACAAATCGTGTATATAAAAATCTAAATGCTTGTAGACAACGTAACGTTAAATCTATTATTTGATATATAGCATTTGATATGTGTGTGTGTGTGTGTGTGTGTGTGTGTGTGTGTGTGTGTACAAGGTGTTTCATAAGTGGTGGGCAAAAATTCAGAAAATGCCTTATACTTAGTGAAGAAAAAGAAATTAATCAATATAGGTCCGGAAATGATTAGTTTTTGAGTTACTAAGATTTTGGACAATTAGAGGAAATGTCCAATATGTCCATCTCCTGTCGCAATACAAACCACAGCTCGTCGTCTCATTGAGTCCCGAACACGCTGCCAAAATCCTGGCGTGGCGCATAACGTCTGAAAAGCTGCCACAATTCGGTTGTGAAGAGTTTCCACGTTATCTTATGCAGATGAATACTCCAAAGACTTTCCATAACCCCACAAAAAGACATTGAAAAACATTGTTGATGCCTGTAAAAGAACTTCTAAGACGTGAAATGAAACAAAATTTTGTATTACAAAAATCTTAATAACTGAAATACTAATCATTTCCGGACCTATGTTTAACTTTTCTTTTCTTCTCTAAGCATGAGGAATCCAATTCTGAAATTTTGCCCACTCATGAAACATCCTGTATATATGTATGTATATATGTATATATGTATATATTTGCGACTTAAAGACGCGTATGTAAAGCTACGTTTATTCGAAAAATTCTTTGAAGGAATCTTACGCGACTGTCGAATTCTCTCCAATTATATACCTTACGTCGCGTTCTCGTCGTAGGTAGGTGGATGTAAAATGTAAGAGAAAGAATTCCGCAGAAAAATCAAAGAAGAGCGAGTACCAAAGTTTTTAATTTACGTTGACGATGGCAAGAACGCGCGAAACCGTGAAATTTGAAGGGGAAGAGAAACATTCTCCTGGTCGGATACAGTCCCTCATTTCACTCTAGTTTTCAAATATGTGTTTCGAGTACTATTACTAACACGCGCGCACTTCTCGCGCCGCTAAAACTTGTAATTAGTAGAATCCTTCAGCAACTTTCCGCCGTGCGTCTTTCCACCATCTCTGATTCTTTTTCAGTCTGGGATACTGCCGCCGTTTTTTATTGCTCGACCGATTAGCAAACTCCCGCGAAAATGTTGTAAAAATATATTAAATTATAAAAAAAGGTCAATAATAAATTAACAATGTACATATAATTTATTTTAAAATATGTGACGATTCATATATAGTAAATAATATAGTTAAAATTTGTGTATTTAATAAAATTGAATTTTTTTTATCAGTATTTTATATTTGATTTTGAATTTTTTGCTTCTTGATGCCACGAAATTTTATGTAACACATTTAATTGTTACATATTAATATGTTTGAATATTTAGTTAGGTGTAAACTGTGATACAAACTTAACAATGAATTATTTCTAACTCTAAAATGTATTATAATTATAATATTAAAATTTAGTTAACTAAATTTTTGCTTAATTATAATTTTTTCATTACGATTTCTCTTCTTACCTTATTATTGCGTTGAATACATAACAGTAAAATAAGAAAATGAAGTTTTCAATAGCTGCAACGTTTATTTGAAATATATTGTCTTGAATGTGTGTAGATTTTAAGAAAATATTTATTATTTTTACCGTGGCAAAACATTTCATAGATGCGACAAATAACCCACCGATACATAAAGTAAAATCTTTGGAATTTCTTTGCAGCAGAAATAGTAGCAGTTTTTGTATATATAACGGAGCTGCATACCATTGAACGTCACACCTAAACAATCATGTATATAATATATGTATACTGTATTTTTCTATGCGACAATGACTTCTGCATTTAATAAAACAAGTTCTAATATACAAAATATACAGTAAAACAAGTTCTAATATACAAAATATACATAAAACAATATTTTTTACACGGTAGCAAAGATGTCATTATTATGATCCGTCACATCCTGCGCAAAATAATTGCCTAGAAAAAAGTATAGAGTAATCGCAACTACATATGCAGAGGGAATTATAAATTCCTTGAATTCATCTCCGGTTGAAATAACCTGAAAAATCTAAAATATATAATCATAATTTAACAAATTACATCTGTATTTCTTATGTTTTCTGAAAATTATTCATTACAAATCTATTTTTATTAATTTGTGAACGATAGTGATTTATATACTGATAAAAACTGAAAATTCTATAAAATCAAAAATATAAAGAAAAAGATAATTGCATGCCCTTTTTGCTATCATGACTAAACTGACATAGACGATACTGCTCTTCGTGGCGCTCAGCCGCTAGCATGCTCTCGCAGTGGGGAAAACGGCCCCAAAATCCGGACTCTGCTTATGATTAACATACAACTTACTCGAAAGAGATTAATGCTTAATGTCATCACTCCAAGCATTATTAAACAAAACATCATTGTCTCCTCTATGGATAGCAAAAGTTTGGTTAATCTATCAAGACCAAAGAATATTTTATTAAACAGACATATAGGAACGCACACTTACACACGTAAAAAATATAATGATAAAGATCGAAACGCTCGTGAAAGGGTACATCATAGTAAACTGAACAAATAAATCCTTTACCATTTTGCAATTTTTGCATTAATTATTGATATATTAATTAAAAAGAATTAGCTAACGAGTATGCGATTTTCATGTATGGATCATAGGTTGTATGCTTTAACCATGGCGAGTGTCCTACGGTAACGAAAAGATGAGGATCGGAATGCGTACAGCCAAACTTTCTATTGCTATTCTGTGCAAACACACCTAGAGCACACATCTCATGATTTAACGCAAAATGCGCACTGTATTCTGACTCTTATCTTTCCATTGTCGTGTGACACTTGCCACTGCCATGTTTAGAGCACAAATTCCATGATCCTATAATTTAGCTATGCGAAACGCGTGTACGTTTTTGCGTGCATGTGTGTGCACGCGTCCGCGTGCGCGGAAAAAAGAAATCTCTGTATAACTTCCAAAATACACCAGATAAAAATATGTTGGATACAAAAATTTTAAGATTTTAAGCAATTACCTAGTAATTGCGCATTACCTAGTAATACCAGCATGAACTTGAACAGCAAATTTACGTGATGATCACTGAATTTTTTTAAATAAAACCCTCCATTTTTTATTACATACTCTTATAGCTTACCTGAGAGCTTTCTAAAACTTTTTATAATAAAGTATGTTTCGAATTCTGAGACTTGAGAAATAATTTCTTAATTTTATATAAACTATATAAAATATTCCGTAAAATATTTATTTTTCCGTAATACATTTATACACAAAATAATGAAAGAAATCAAAAACAAATAAATATTTTTAATTAAAAAAACATATAATTTGTAATTAAAACCTTACAATTTTTTTTAGCATTTTTTTGTATCTTATATATTTTCGGAGTTATTCAGGACTTCTGACCTTTTTTCCGTATTCCATTCATATATATATATATATATATATATATATATATATATATATATATCGAATATACTAACTTCATAGCTTGACGATGCATATCTACCGCACTAATTATTCCTTCCAATATTAAATTCCCTTTCGTCGCTTTAATATTTTGTAGCATATTAATGTGCACTGCGCGTTTAATACGAAAACTACAATCAATATATTCATCAACTATATACCTGCTTTTTTGTTTCCATCAAATTAGCATTTAATTTATTCAAAATAACAATAGAATTTTGTTAAAATTTAAAAGTTTATATTATGTTTGTTTCTTACCTGGAAATTCTAAACATACCACAAATATATTGTAGGCACACAACAATTATTGTTCCTATCGCTGCCATCGCAATTGTTCCAATGCATATTGACATACTTATATGTAATGAAATCAAATAATCGTACATTTCCTGATCGATAAAATATTCCATTCTAATCGGCTGACGATTTAATAAAGATACATTCATAGGTAAAATAATATAGAGAATTTTCGGTGATAGAATAATGACACTAGTAAATGAAAGACAAACGGCAAGTACTAAAAAAAATTTATAAAATTAATTTTTTTCGCAAAAATTTTTTAAATTGATTTTGTTTTTATATTAACATACATATGTAACATTAATATAATTAAATTTAACGTATAAATTTCTAATGCATTTATGATATTATTTTTTTATTTGAGTAACACAAGTAACAAAAGTTGTAATTTTAGAAATTCATTTCTGTTTGACATTTTTTTAGACATATTTGCATGTCTGACAAGTGTTTTAAATTCTGATAACATGTGATGCATTATTCACACATAAATATGCGACGAAATTATTATAATCCATCGAAATTAATATTGTTTCTATTGAGACCTATATAATTTATGTTTCAAATAAAAAATGTATTCGCAAAAAATTAAAAAATATTGTCTTACTTGTAAATATAAGCGTATAACGTTTTGCATTGCAAATATAATTATTCATAATAGCGATTTCGTGTTTATCCTTTAATCCGATATATACATTCTGAAGTTGAACCAATAAATCCTTCATCTATCATGTACCAAAATTGAATATTGTTTCGATATGCATATGTTTTATATGAACGTGAAATGAATATATGTGTGTACATAATATTAAAGTATAATTATAATTTTATTAAATTATAAGAGTATAATTTTTAATTTGGTAAAAATAATATTATTGCGCGATCACACAAGCTATCAACTTGTAAACTGTCATTTTTTATAAATTATCAATTCTATAAGCGATTAACTTACAAGTTCTATTTTGAGAAAAAATAGATTGTATGTTACCCCGCAAAAACTAAACATAAGTACCAAAGACAAAACAGTAACGACGCCGTCCGGAGTACATTTTGTTGTAAAAAGTGTCATAAGCTGTAAGATACAATCTTATTAAAAATCTACATTTTAAAAATTTACTCTTTTAAAGCGATGAACGGATTATAAATATTGCATACATAGTTGCTTGTTTTATACATTTGTATGTAAAATGATTGAATCAAGATGTGATACACACATATATATATATATATATATATATATATATATATATTATATAATATTATAATATAGCATAGCTAATGTAAATATTTTGTAATTAAAATTATTTAATTAAAATATTTTCAAGGAGCGTGCATGATATAGTAAAATATTATTACGTGGATAATATATTAAAATAATGGAAAAATAATATAAAATTTAATCTAAACATAACAAGTATCACTACATACCTGACATATAATAGATGTTATCTGAATAATAGACAAGAAAATAAACTGAAATCGAGTTAGGTTCGATTGTTGTAAAGGCCACACGCCAATAAGAAGTAACAGAATTCTATTAAGTTTCCAATGCTGACTGTCGATCATCTCTTTACGAGGTTTGGAACAATAACAGCAGACTGATTCGTTTATGTTCCGCTTTTTTCCATTGATCAATTAGATATTTCGTTACATTTTTCTTACGGTATAATTTTTTGTAGCAATTTTATATAATTTCGTCCAAGTTAATATAAGTCAATACAACTATACAATGCGGTAAACATAAAATATTCACAATTTATCGCAATAATGTCCCTAATTATGCGATCGAATTGATAGCGGGAAAATTGTGACGGGTGTTTATAATAATAAAAGAAAATAAAGAGAAAAAATTTTTATAACAAATTACTGGTTGCAAGTCGCTCATGCGTATTAGACATTTCTTTTGTGCAGCAAATTTACACGTCTCATTCTATTGTCCGCACTCGTGATATACACTTGGTCTCCAGAATGTTATTCACTATTCAAAACAGAAGCTGTTCAGTAAGAAGTTTACTCGTATATCATTTAAAAAAGTCGATTTATGCATGCTATGTATTAAACTTCTAATTAGCAAGTGATGTAATGACAGTTACCATTTAAAAATCTAAATATTGACATTGCTATTCTCAACAGTTGCTATTATCGATAATTGTTATATATGTTTATATACATTTTTATAACCTACATCACTTTTATGAATTCTTAAACTTTACGGACGCTAACAGTAAGAATAAATAGGATATTTCAAAATGTTTGACATGTCTCATTATGCAAATTGTGTATATGAAAAATCTAAATGATAGACAACGTAACGTTAATGAAATCTATTATTTGATATATAGTATGTATAATAGATAATATTTATATATATATATATATATATATATATATATATATATGCGATTTTTTTAAGATTCTTTTACACTTTTACATACATAGGACACTTAAAAATTACTATTATATTTAAAGATATTAACATTCTCATTGAAGGAAATATTTTTGAAATCTTATTTTTTTTTGCTTTCATTCATTCATTCATTTCTTTCATTTTGTACTATAATTTTTGGAGTTTTTGTTATAAAAATATATGAAATTATAATAAATGATCAGTAATAAACTAATAACTAATAATGTATATAGTATTTATTTTAAGAAATGTGACAATTCATATATAGTAAATAATAAAGTTAAAATTTGTGTATTTAATAGAATTGAATTTTTTGTATCAATATTTTATATTCAATTTTGAATTTTTTGTTTCTTCATGCCTTGAAATTTTATGTAACATATTTAATTGTTACATATTTATATTTGGATGTCTATTTAAGTATAAACTGTGATACTAACTTAATAATGAATTATTTTTAACTCTGAAATATATCATAATTATAATATTGAAGTTTAGTTAGTTAACTAAATTTTTGCTAAATTGTAATTTCTTCATTATGATTTCTCTTCTTACCTTATTATTGCATTGAATACATAACAGTAAAATAAGAAAATGAAGTTTTCAACAGCTGCAATGTTTATTTGCAATATATTGTCTTGAATGTGTGTATATTTTAAGAATATATTTATTATTTTTACCGTGGCAAAAGATTCCAAAGATGCGACAAATAATCCGCCGATACATAAAGTAAAATCTTTGGAACCTCTTTGCAGCAGAAATAGTATCAGTTTCTGTATATATAACGGAGCTGCATGCCATTGAACGTCACACCTAAACAATCATGTATATAATATATGTGTACAATCATGTATATAATATATGTGTACTGTATTTTTCTAAGCGACAATGACTCCTGCATTTAATAAAATAAGTTTTAGTATGCAAGATATACAGTCTCTATAAAACAATATTTCTTACACAGTAACAAAGATGTCATTATTATGATCCGTGACATCCTGCGCAAAATAATTGGCTAGAAACATGTATAGAGTAATCGCAACTACATATACAGAGGGAAGTACAAATTCCTTGAATTCATCTCCGGTTGACATAACCTGAAAAATCTAAAATATATGATCATAATTGTAACGAAATTACATCTGTATTTCTTATGTTTTCTGAAAATTATTCATTACAAATCTATTTTCATTAATTTGTGAACGATAGCGATTTATGTAGTGATAAAAACTAAAAATTTTATAAAATCAAAAATATAAGAAAAAGAGAATTGCATGCCCTCTTTGCTATCATGACTAAACTGGCATAGACGATACTGCTTTTCGCGGCGCTCTTGCATGCACTTGTAGTAGGGAAAACGGCACCAAAATCCGAACTCTGCTTATGACTAACATACAACTTACTCGAAAGAGATTAAGGCTTAATGTCATCACTCAAGCATTATTAAACAAAACATCATTGTCTCCATTGTGGATAGCAAACGTCTGGATAATCTATCAAGACCAAAGAATATTTTATTAAATAGACATATACACACACACACTTACACACGTATAAAATATAATGATAAAGAAACGCTCGTGAAAGGGTACATCATAGTAAACTGAACAAATAAATCCTTTAGCATTTTGCAATTTTTGCATTAATTATTGATATATTAATTAAAAAGAACGAGTACGCAATTAGCTAACGAGTACGCAATTTTCACGACTAGATTATAGATTGTATGCCTTAGACATGGCGAGTGTCCTACGGTAACGAAAAGATGAGAGTCGGAACAGCCAAACTTTCTTGCCATTCAGTGCAAGCACACCTAGAGCACGCATCTCATGATTTAGCTTTAACGCAAAACGCGCACTGTATTCTAATTCTTATCTTTCCATTCATGTAACACTTGCCACTGCTATGTTTAGAACACACATTCCATTAGTTTGGATATACAAAACGCGTGCGCGCGTGTGTGTGTGTGAGAGTACCGAATATACTAACACATATATATGAGTCTCGAATATACTAACTTCATAGCTTGACGATGTATATCTACAGCACTAATTATTCCTTCCAATATTAAATTCCCTTTCTTCGCTTTAATATTTTGTAGCATATTGATGTGCATTGCGCGTTTAATGCGAAAACTATAATCAATATATTCATCATGTACATATCATCTGTTTTCTTGTTTCTATCAAATTAGCATTTAATTTATTCAAAAAACATTAGAATTTTGTTAAAATTCAAAATTTTATTTTTTATATTTGTATCTTACCTAGAAATTCTAAACATACCACAGACATATTGCAAAAACGTAACATACATTGTTCCTATCGCTGCCGATGTCATTGTTCCAATGCATATTGCTATACTCATATGTAATGAAATAAAATAAGAATACTTTTCTTGATCGATAAAATATTCCATTTTAATCGGCAGGCGATTTGATAGAGACACATTTATAGGTAAAATAATACAGATAATTCCTGGAGATAGAATAATGATACTAGTAGTAAATACACAACAAACGGCAAGAGCTAAAAAGATTTATATAAAATTAATTTTTCTCGCGAAAATTTTTTAAATTAATTTTGTTGTTATATCAACATACACATGTAACATTAATATAATTAAATTTAACGTATAAATTTCTAATGTATTCATGATATTATTTTTTCATTTGAGTCACACAAGTAACAAAAATTGTAATTTTGAAAATTTATTTCTATTTGACTTTTTTTAGACATATTATATATAATATTAATATTCATATGTTTGCATGTCTGACAAGTTCTAAAAAACTGATAACTCTGATAACTCTGATGCATTACACTCACACATAAATGTGCAACGAAATTATTGTAATGTATCGAAAATTAATAATGTTTTTATTCAGACTTATATGTATAATATATGTATCAAATAAAAATGTATGTGTAGAAAATTAAAAAATATTGTCTTACTTGTGAATATGAGCGTATAACGTTTTGCATTGCAAATATAATTATTCATAATAGCGATTTCGTTTTTATCCTTTAATCCGATATATATATTCTGAAGTTGAATCAATAAATCCTTCATCTATCATGTATCAAAATTGTGGATATTGTTTGCATCACATGCATATGTTTCATATGCACGTGAAATAAACATATGTACATAATATTAAAATATAATTATACATAATATTAAAGTATAATTTTATTACAATATAAAAGTATAATTTTCAATTTCGAAAAAAGAACTCGCGATCAATTTATCAATCTGTGATTTATTTTTTATAAACTATCAATTTTACAAGCAGTCAACTTACAGCTTCCATATTGAGGGGAAATAAATTGTATTTTATCCCGCAAATACTAAACATTAATACGGAAGACAAAACAGTAACGACGCGGTCCGGAGTACATTTTGTTGTAACAAATGTCATAAGCTGTAAGATACAATCTTATTACAAATTTACATTATAAAAATTTACTTTTTTAAAGCGGTGAACGGATTATAAATATTGCATACATAGTTGCTCGTTTTTATACATTTGCATATAAATTGATTGAATCAAGATATGATACATAATTATATTATATACTATTATCATATAGCATAACTGATGTAAATATTTTGTGATTAAAATTATTTAATTAAAATATTTTTAAATAATGTGCCTAATATAGTGAAATATTATTATCTAGTACTATATTAAAATATATTAGAAAAATAAAATAAAATTTAATCTAAACATAAAAAGTATTACCATATACCTGACATATAATAGATGTTATATGAATAATAGACAAGAAAATAAACTGAACTCGAGTTAAGTTCGATTGTTGTAAAGGCCACAAACCAATAAGGAGTAACAGAATTCTGTTAAGTTTCAAATGCTGATTGTCGATCATCTCGTTGCGAGGTTTGGAACACAAATAACAGTGGACTGATTCTCTTCTTCCCCTTTTACCATTGATCAATCAAGTATTTTGTTAAATTTTTCTTCCAGTGTAATTTTTCGTAGCAATTTAATATTATTTCATGTAAGTTAATAGAAGCCAATACAACTATACAACGCGGTAAGTATAAAATATTCACAATTTTTCGAAATAATGCCTCAAATTATGCGATCGAATTGATAGCGGGAAAATTGCAGCAGGTACTTATAATAAGAGAAAAAGAAGAAAAAAAATATTTATATAGCACATTACTGAACGCAAGTCGCACATGCGTATTAGACATTTCTTTTGTGCAGCAAATTTACACGTCTCATTCTATTGTCCGCACTCGTGATGTACACTTGTTCTCCAGAACGTTATTCACTATCTAAAGCAGAAGCTTTTCAAGTAAGAAGCTTATATCATTTAAAAGACTCGATCTATACATGCTATGTATTAAACTTCCAATTAGCAAGTGATGTGATGACAGTTACCATTTAAAAAGCTAAAAGTAACATTTTTTTATTGAGGATAATATTATTTCCGAAATCTTGATATTTTTTGAACTTTTATTACAAAAATTAAACTATAAAAAATGTAGGCGACACTAAAATTAACAATGTAAAATTAGCAATAATCATTTAAAATTATTTATTTAAAAATAGAGTGACAAATGTATATTGTAAGCAGTAAAAATAAAACTTGAGAATTATGTAAAATTATATGAATTTGTATCAGTGTTTTATATTTGATATTTCGAATATCCTATTTTTTGTTGCTTTCAAAATCTACGTAATATATTTAATTTTAAATATATTTGTTTCCCTTTGGCGATGTGTGTAGTGTATGTGTATCATGACTAATAGGTATCTCTAAGATATAATCTATAATTTAATTTAATAATAAATTGTTTTTAACTTTAAAATGTATTATAACAATGGAATATTGGAGTTTATTTACTTAACTAAATTTTTACTAGATTATAATTTATTTGTTATTATTTCTCTGCTTACCTTACATTATTGCGTTGAATATATAACAGTAAAATAAGAGACTGAAGTTTTCACCAACTGTAATTTATATTATGTTGTTTATTTATATTATGTTGTTTTGAACACAGATTTTGATATAGTCATTATGCATACCGTGGCGAAACACTCCAACGATCCGACAAATAGTCCTCCAACGCTTATAGTAAAATCTTTGGCGCCTCTTTGCAGCAAAAATAGTATCACTTTCTGTATGTGTAACGGAGCTACATTCCATTGAACATTATACCTACACAATCATGTATGGATAATATATATAAATAATATATATATATATATATATATATGTATGTATTTCTAGGGGACACATTGTCCTCTGTCAATAAAAATAGTTTTTATTATGTGAAAATTCATATTGTATAAAATATTTGCATAAAACAATGTGTCTTACACAGTAGCAAAGATATCATTATTGTGATCCGTTAAATCCTGCGCAATATAATTAGCTAGAAACATATATAGGATACTGGTAATTGTAGTAAAAAGGGGAAACATATACTCCTTAATATCATTTTCGGATGACGTAATCTGAAAAATCTAAAACACAAGATCGCAATTGTAATGAAATTACGCATCTGCACTTCTCTCATATTCTCTAAATTATTTACAATAAATTTGTTCATATTAATTGGCAAATGGTTATGATTAATATGATTATATTTATATACAGATAAAAAATTATATTTTGTAATGTGAAAAATATCTGTAACGAAAAGAAAGAAAAAAGGAAAACGAAAGAATACATTCTTTCTTAATATACTATAGATTATATATATATATATATATATATATATATATATATAATTTAATTAATATATTTAATAATTTATTTAATTTACTTAAATTTTTTTCAGATTTTTTACATTTCATTTAAAAATGAAATATTTAAATTAAAAATAGAAAAAGATAAAAACGAGTGCCAAATATACATGTGAAGAATGTATATTATTATAAAATACTGTTACAAAATAATCTAGAAAATACTCTCATGAAAGTGTTATTTCAATTATAAAAAATTCTCATATTGAAAACAATTTATTGTGCAAAAAATTTTTTTTAAATTTCTTATAAAGAATTAATATATATCAAAATAATTTGTGTAATATATGTTTTACGAAGTAATTTGAAAAACATCAAGAACTGTATGTAGGATTTATGGAATATATTATTTATTTAAAAGCTAGTTTATTTAGTCTACACTTTTCTATTCTGTCTATAGTCTTTGCTGCTAAATCATTAAAATCAAATTTATTAAATATTATCCCATAAATAATTTCTATTTCTGCATTCTAGTCTACTAGTGTCAAATAATATTCCATAAATGTGTTCTATTTATAATAAATAAATACGGCTTAGATATGATGTGTGAAACATAATGTAAAATAATTAGCTGATTAAATTATAGAGAAATCATATTCACGGAAGTAAAATGTAGTGTGTACATTTCTTGAATATTTTATTTTTTTTTATTAATGAAATTTTTTATAACATAAACTTATGATTTAAAAATATTTATTAATTATCCTTAGAACTATCCATATTTAATAAAAAAATTCTTACTTTATCACCATATACATCATTTATTTATGCACGAATGTAGATCCCGAAAAATGTCGATTTTGTTTTAAAATTGTTTTACAATCAAATATTGCGTAATGAAATTTCGCAATAATTAAAATCGAGAGAAATCTAATTCCTTTCCAATTAAACATTCAATTTTAAGCATTCCTATTCATCCACTAAACAGGTCGTTCAAATTGAACACGAGTATTATTGCAAATAATGTCCTCAGAAATTATACAATATATACTTTAACTTTTTCAAAAATTTTAACTTTTATTTACTTACTTGTCGAGAGCATTAACCGAATAAAATTATCATTTTTATTATATGTTTTTTGTACGTTCATATACGCGCCGCATATTATGAGATGACAGTGTGTCTCTTAAAGGAAAATTTTCACATATTGAGATTTTACATAATATATTTGCTTATAAAACATAGAAAATAAAGATTTTATTATAATTCAGACCCGCGTTATCAATTAAGAATTTAATTCAGCTGTTATTGAAGTCCGATAAGTTTAAGTACTCTCAATTAGTCGACTCCCGTATATAAATATCCGAGATATCTCGTTATTCCATCATGAGATATTGTGACTCTTAATATTTTATATTATTTAAAAATTAATCGATATAAGAAAATAATACGGGAGACTTACTCGAAAAAGATTAAGACTCAAAGAGATCACACCCAGCATTATTAAACAATATAACATTGTCTCAATTTTCGATGCCAAAAGCCTGGATAATCTATGAAAATAAAGGAATAATGTGTGTATGTACCATAAACTTCTATATAATAATTAGACTGCGTGGCTCTTATATATTAGCTTTATATACGTATCCCAAAAGTACATATCAAAATTAAGATACAATGCATGCGCGAAATAGAGGATGATGGAATAAACCTATAATCGTTGAAGTTGCAGACGACAATAATAGATAATCCTTTATTTCGCGCATGCGCTCTAACTTATGTACAAGATATATAAACAAAGGGTACGTCTGATAAGCCATAATATTCAATCTAATATACTATATATAAGTCTGATATGTACATATGTGTATAAATATTATAGAGAATAAATTACTAACCTCATAGCTTGCCGATGTATATCTACGGCACTAATTATTCCTTTTAATATTAAATTCTCTTTCTTCCATTTAATATTTCCTAGCGTATTGGTATACATTGCGCGTTTAATACGATAACTATAATTAACATATTTAACAAGATGTATATTTTTCCCTATATAAAATAAGTATTAAATTTGTCTAAGATAACAATGAGATTTTGTTTTTAAAACTTGAAGGAAGTTCGCCCATTTTGTTTTTTTGTTCCCTCTCCGCCTCAGTCATTATTTATATATAATTTTATAGATAATAATTTATTATAGATAGTAATTAATTATAGATAGTATATATTAAGGAAAAATAGTTTTAGATAATATTAAGAAAAAAATAATTTTAGATCTTCAAACCGCCGCCGAAAGAAGTTCTGACTTCCTCATCATCAGAATTGTCCAAAATAACACATATGTCACTGTTATGTTCAGGAAGCATCTGCATCAAGAAAATTTTTAATATATATTTATATATTGCCTCGTACTAGTAGCTGGAATTCCTTAACTGTACATTCATCGTTTGGATATTCTCTCGCCCCAGGACGAACTTCAGAGACACCGTTGTCTTCATTAATTCCGATTCTTTTTGCTATGATGACATAATGAATTATTACACCAAAAACTTATTGTTAGTCAAACAAATGAATCAACAAATATATCGAAAAGATATTCAACATTTATTTGAAATATCTGACGAGAGATAAAAAATCTAACACACATAAGAATTTAGAAACTTATATTCAACATAAAATAAAAAATTACTAGTTAATTGAAAAACATCATGAAGTATAAATAATAAAATGAACATCAACAACTGTAAATAATAAACGTAAATAACAAAATGAAAACAACTTATGCAATAACATTGATAAAGTCCTAATATTGACTAGCGGAGGTTTAAGTCATTGACACCTATACATTTTCAATTCTTTCATGATATTTTATAATTTGATATAGATTTCGTCACTAATGGGCCGGATAGGCCTAAAACCTAAATATAATAATGAATGAACTTCTTTCATATTTATTTCTATGTTTATTTCTTACCTAGAAATTCTAAACATACCACAAGTATGTTGAAAATATGCAATAAGCATTGTTCCTATTGCTATCATAGCAATTGCTCCGATCAATATCGCCATGATGATATGTAACAAAATTAAATAATAATATTTTTCTTGATCGATAAAGTATTCTATCGTAATCGGCAGGCGACGTGATCGAGTTACATTCATGGGTAATATCATATAGAAAATACTCGATCCAATAAAACCGACGATAAGAATAAATACGCTACAAACTGTAAGTACTAAAACAATTCAAATATAGAATCGTCATATTGACTTTCCTCGCAAAATATTTTCAAATTAATTTAAGTAATATTTCACATATACGCAAGACATTTATATAATCCAACTTAATGTATATGTTTCGAATGCAATTATATTAAATTATACATTCAGGGTGTTCCAGTTACCTCGGAACAAAGTAAAACCATAAGCAGATCTCGTTAAAATAAACTAAATAGTCTTTTATTATTTTGCAAAAACCTCGTAAAATTTCGAGATATTAATTTTAAAAAATCGGCCAATGCGGATGGCTAGAAGCGCGCGGCAGCGAAAGCGGCCACACTGTACCTTGATGGCGACATTAATTAATATCTCAAAATTTTACGTTGTTTTTGAAAAATAATAAAAGACTTTTTAATTCAGTTTAACGAGATCCACTTATGGCTTGACTTTGTTCCGAGATATCAGAAACACCTTGTATATATATAGTTTTATATATATATATATATATATATATATATATATATATAAAACTATATATACAAGGTGTTTCGTCAACATACAGCTCAATACGACGAGTTGCCTGCTCATAAGAGCGCAAGACCAGTAATGCAGGAATAGGTAGTACAGATCACTCGCGTACATTTTCGACGAAGTATACTAGCTATCAACGCGTAATAAGCTGTTAGAAGAAAAAATTAAATAGCACAGAATAGTGATCTTGTGACATGAATATTTGAAAGTATATATCTAAAAGAATGTTATAATATTATAATATTATTATTATTATTATATAACTTTTAACATTATCTATCAATAATCCTCATCTACATATGATTGCAATAATATTATAATATTATTATTGTAATATTATAATATTATTGCAATCATATATATATGAGGATTATTGATATATAATGTTAAGAGTTATATTAAGTTTAAGTTTCTTTTTATTATTTTTCTTGCGCTCCTGAGCAGGCAATCCGTCGTATTGAGCTGTATGTTGATGAAACATCCTGTGTATATTATATATATATATATATATATATATATATATATATATATATATATAAAATAATGACAATGGTAACTTAAAAAATGTTCTTTTTCCCTATTGCATTTTTGCACATATTAAATTTTTGACATTAATCTTTATACGTTTACATGTGTCACACATATTTTAATAAACTCATGTATGCATAAATATGTTAAGAAATTGTTCAATTCAATCGCTTATATTGAGACTTCTATAATGAATTTCTATAACTTATATGTCAAATAAAAATTTGCGTGCAGTTGAAAATTACAAATTAAAAAATATTATCTTACTTGTCAGTACAATCGTGTAACGTTCCGCATTGCAACTATATTTTTTCATAATAGTAATTTCATTTTCATCTTTTAAACCGTTACATATATTCTGAAGTTGCATTAATAAATCCTTCATCTGCCATTTCAACAAAGGTGTGTATATTGTTTTGTGTATGTGTATGTACGCGCGCTTGTATATATTTATAATGTAAAAAATTAATAAAAAAATATTTTTTGTAAACTTTATTCAACAAGAATGCTTTTCTTGTCACGCAATTAAACTAGGAACTTGTGAACTATATATTAATTCTTATAAATTATCAATTCGATAAACCATCAACTTACAGCTCCTATGTTAAAATGAAATAAGTTGTATTTTATTGCGTATGTGCTAGAGAAACATGTGGAAGACAAAACATTAGCGATGAGGTCCGGTGTACATCTTAATGTAACAAATGCCATAAGCTATAAAAAATAATCATATTACAAATTTATATTAAAATATTATTCTTTTAAAGTTATGAATAAATTATAAATACTATGTCTCTCTCTAGATGCTTTTTTATATGTTTGAATATAAAATGATTATGATGTCATAATTATATTATACACTATTATAATGCAGTTTGTGCGATAATTTCATTACAGTTTAAACTAAAGACAGTTTTAAATCGTGTGCTGTTTATAAAAGATTATTTTATGATGGTTTATCATATAAAAATATATTTGTGAAATAATGCTTTACCTGAAACGTAATATTCGTTGTCAAAATAGTAGACAAGAAAATAAATTGAAGTCTCGTTAAATTCGATTGTTGTAAAGGCCACAACCCAATAATGAGTAACAGAATTCTATTCAGTTTAAAATGTTGAGTCTCGAGATTAATCATCGCTTTACGATATTCGAAATACAAATAACTGCGAGACATCGATTGATTTGCTTGCTCCCCACCTTTTTTTCATTGACTTACCAGTAATCTTATTATTATTTTTTTTATGTAAATTTTAGTATATATTTCATATAATTTTGTGTAATACAAGCCGACACCACAATTATACGACTCGGAAAAAGAAGAATATTCATAGTTTATCGTAATAAAGTCCATCATTATGTAATCGATTTAATAGCAGAAAAATTACAGCGGGTGCTTGCCATGAAAGAAGATGTGAATATATTTATCTAGCAAATTACTTGCGCACAAGTTGCACATGCGTATTAGACATTTTTTTTGTACAGCAATTTTACACGTCTCATTCTGTTATCCGCACTCGTGATGTACACTTGGTCTTCCAGTTATTCACTATCCAAAGCATGAGCTCTTTGGTAAGAAGCTTATATCATTTAAAAGAGTCGATCTATGCATATTATGTATTAAACTTCTGATTAGTAATTCATGTGATGACAATTACTATTTGAAAAGCTAAATATTGACATTGATATTCTCAAGTTGTTATTATCAACAGTTGTTATATATGTTTATATAAATCTTTATGACTTACATCACTTTCACCAAATGAATGCTTAAATTTTACGGACGCTAACAGTAAGAATAAGAATAAATATTTGAAAATGTTTGATATATTTCATTATACAAATGGTGTATATGAAAATCTAAATGCATATAGACAACGTAACGTTAATCAAATCTATTATTTGATATATAGCATGTATAATAGATAATATTTTTATATACATATGCCATTTTTTTAAAGATTCTTTTATAGTTTTACATACATAGGACACTTAAAAAAATTACTATTTAAAGATAAAATTATATTTAAAGATATTAAAAAATTCTCATTGAAGGAAACATTTCTGAAATCTTAATATTCTTTTTTGCTTTCATTCATTTATTAATTTATTCCTTTCTTTCATTTTATACTATCATTTTTAAAGCTTTTGTTATAAAAATTTATTAAACTATATAAAAAAGCAAGTGATAAATTAACAATGTACATATTATTTGTTCAAAAAGAATATGGCAATTTATATATTGTAAATAATAAAATTAAAATTTGAGAATTTAATAAAATTGAATTTTTTGTATCAGTATTTTATATTTGATTTTGAATTTTTTGTTTTCTGACGCCTTGAATTTTTATGTAACATATTTAATTGTTACATATGTTTGGATGTGTTTATATGTTTGGATGTCTATTTAGGTATAAACTGTGATATCAACTTAATAATGAATTATTTTTAATTCTGAAATGTATTATAATATTGAGGTTTAGTTAACTAAATTTTTGCTAAATTGTAATTTTTTTATTATGATTTCTCTTCTTACCTTATTATTGCGTTGAATACATAACAGTAAAATAAGAAAATGAAGTTTTCAATAGCTGCAATATTTATTTGCAATATATTGTCTTGAATGTGTGAATATCTTAAGAATATATTTATTATTTTTACCGTGGCAAAACATTCCAAAGATGCAACAAATAATCCACCGATACATAAAGTAAAATCTTTGGAACTTCTTTGCAGCAGAAATAATATCAGTTTTTGTATATGTAACGGAACTGCATACCATTGAACGTCACATCTAAACAATCAATCATATATATACAATATATGCGGTGTATTTATACGCGACAATGACTTCTGCATTTAATAAAACAAGTTTTAATATGCAAGATATACAGTCTGTATAAAACAATATTTCTTACACAGTAGCAAAGATGTCATTATTATGATCCGTGACATCCTGCGCAAAATAATTGGCTAGAAACATGTATAGAGTAATCGCAACTACATATACAGAGGAATTATAAATTCCTTGAATTCATCTCCGGTTGAGATAACCTGAAAAATCTAAAACATATGATCATAATTGTATCGAAATTACATCTGTATTTCTTATGTTTCTTTAATTATTCATTACAACTTTATTTTTATTAATTTGCGAACATTAGCAATTGATTTATATAGTGATAAAAATTGTATATTTTATAAAATCAAAGATATCATAAAGAAAAAGAGAATTATAGTGTTTTGAAAATCTCTCGAGATAAGCCACAAGAATAATGCAATAAAAAAATAAGGAGTTTCGTTTAAAAAATTTCAAATAATTTTGCCCTGAGAGACGCTATCAAACTAATTAAAATCAGTAAATAAATTGTTTTAAACCCTGCAATTTTTGTCTGAAACATTTTTCCACTAGCACCATTATTTTCGGAAATAATTGACCGTTTCTGGAGTTTTAAACCATCCTGTATACGAGTATATATATGTATATTCTTTTTTTTATTAAAAGTAAGATAAACACTTTTTATTTCAATTATTATAAACTGTGTTAAATGTACAATTAATATACATTTAAAATATCAAATATATAAAGAAATAATATTCAATATAAATACATTTTACAGTAAACAGATATGTGTAAATTTGAAATTATTTTAATGAACAGATATATGGTTTATAAAATTATTGAGTAAATATAAATATTGCAGGAAGTTTGCATGTTTACAAAAGAATGAATCTGTACATTTTTTTAATATATTATTTTTAAATAATTAGATCAAATAATCATTTAATTATTATTTCTTATTTTAATATATAATATATTTATGATCAATAAATCATCTGTGCATATAGTCTTACGTAAGATGCAAAATATCTTTCGTGTATTTTTACGTGTGCAAGATAATTCGCGTAATAACATCAACATTTCCATACTTTCAAATTTTTATTTTTATTAATTTATAATCTCGGAAAGTTGTCAACACTCAAAACTGAGAATCAAAGAATTATTTATGTCTTCTATTGATTCATTAAAACGCAATATATATCTGCTAGAACACGTAGCGAAAATAGACACGTTTCCTTATGATCGAGATCCAAGTTGTCAATCAATAATTCGATCGATTCAATTGTTAATTGAGGTCCGATAATTTGAAATATTCTCTTCTTAACTAGCTGATTCGCGCGCGCGCATATATAAATACACGAGATGCTTCGCTATTCCGGCACGAAACACCGAATTTCTTGATATTATATATTGTTTGAAAATACTAAAAACTTATTACGACTAACACACAACTTACTCGAAAGAGATTAAGACTTAAAGTGATAACTCCAAGCAATATTAAACAAAACATTATTGTCTCCATTGTGGATAGCAAAAGTCTGCATAATCTATCAAGACCAAAGAATATTTTATTAAACAGACACATACGCACACACATATAAAATATAATGATAAAGATCGAATCAACGCTCGTGAAAGGGTACATCGTAGCAAACTGAACAAAGAAGTATTTTACTATTTTGCAGTTTTTGCATTAATTATTGATATATTAATTAAAAAGAATTAGCTATAATGAGTACGCATTTTTCACGGCTAGATCATAGAATAATATCCCACGACAACAAAAAGATGAGAATCGGAATGCGTACAACTAAACTTTCTATTGCCATTCAGTGCAAGCACACCTAGAGCACGTATCTCATGATTTAGCTTTAGTGCAAAACGCGCACTATATTCTAACTCTTATCTTTCCATTGTCATGTGACACTTGCCACTGCTATGTTTAGAACACACATTCCATTAGTTTAGCTATACGTGTATGTATGTGTATGAGTATCGAATATATTAACACATATATATGAGTCTCGAATATACTAACTTCATAGCTTGACGATGCATATCTACAGCACTAATTATTCCTTCCAATATTAAATTCCCTTTCGTCGCTTTAATATTTTGTAGCATATCGATGTGCACTGCGCGTTTAATGCGAAAACTATAATCAATATATTCATCATCTATATACCTGTTTTTTTGTTTCCAAATTAGCATTTAATTTATTCAAAATAATAATAGAATTTTGTTAAAATTCAAAATTTTATATTCTATGTTTGTTTCTTACCTGGAAATTCTAAACATACCACAAATATATTGTAGACACGCAACACATATTGTTCCTATCGCTATCAACGCAATTGTTCCAATGCACATTGCCATACTTATATGTAATGAAATCAAATAAGAGTATTTTTCTTGATCGATGAAATATTCCATTCTAATCGGCAGGCGATATGATAGAGACACATTCATAGGTAAAATAATATGGAAAATTCTCGGAGAAAGAATAATAACACTAGTAAATGCGACACAAACGCCAAGTACTAAAAAGATTTATATAAAATTAATTTTTCTCGTATAAATTTTTTAAATTGATTTAGTTTTTATATCAGCATACATATGTAATATTAATATAATTAAATTTAACGTCTAAATTTCTAATGCATTTATGATATTATTTTTCTATTTGAGTCACACAAGTAACAAAAGTTGCAATTTTGAAAATTTATTTCTGTTGACTTTTTTTAGACAGATTACATTTGATATTAATCTTTATATATTTGCATGTCTGACAAGTTTTTTAAATTCTGATAACGTCTGAGGCATTATTCACACATAAATAGGCGACAAAATTATTACAATGCATCGAAATTAATATTGTTTTTATTGAGACATATATAACTTATGTTTCAAATAGAATATATATGCGCAGAAAATTAAAAAATATTACTTACTTGTCAATATTAATGTATAACGTTTTGCATTGCAACTATATTTTTTCATAATAGCGATTTCGTGTTTATCCTTTAATCCGTTATATATATTCTGAAGTTGAATCAATAAATCCTTCATCTATCATGTACCAAATTACGGATATTGTTTTGATATGCATATGTTTCATATGCGCGCGTGTATGTGAATGTATGTACATAATATTAAATTATAATTATAATTTTATTAAAGTACAAGAGTATAATTTTTAATTAAAAAAAAAAAGAATTATCACACAATCACACAAACTATCAACTTGTGAACTATCATTTTTTATAAATTATCAATTCTATAAGCGATCAACTTACAGTTTCCATATTGAGGAAAAATAAATTGTATTTTATCGCGCAAATACTAAACATAAATACGGAAGACAAAACATTAACGACGCGGTCCGGAGTACATTTTGTTGTAACAAATGTCATAAGCTGTAAGATAATCTTATTATAAATTTACATTATAAAAATTTACTTTTTTAAAGCGGTGAATGGATTATAAATACTACATACATAGCTGCTTGTTTTTATACATTTGCATATAAATTGATTGAATCAAGATATGATATATAATTATATTATATACTATTATAATATAGCCTAGCTAATGTAAATATTTTGTAATTAAAATTATTTAATTAAAATATTTTCAAAGAATGTGCATAATATAGTGAAATATTATTATGTAATACTATATTAAAATATATTGGAAAAATAAAATAAAATTTAATCTAAGCATAAAAAGTATTACCAAATACCTGACATATAATAGATGTTATATGAACAATAGACAAGAAAATAAACTGAAATCGAGTTAGGTTCGATTGTTGTAAAGGCCACACGCCAATAAGGAGTAACAGAATTCTATTAAGTTTCCAATGCTGACTGTCGATCATCTCTTTACGAGGTTTGGAACACAAATAACAGCAGACTGATTCGTTTATGTTCCGCTTTTTTCCATTGATCAATTAGATATTTCGTTACTTTTTTCTTACGGTGTAATTTTTTGTAGCAATTTTATATAATTTTATCAATTCAAGTTAATACAAGCCAATACAGCTATACAACGCGGTAAATATAAAATATTCATAGTTTCTTGTAATAATGCTTCAAATTATGCGATCGAATTGATAGCGGGAAAATTGCAGCAGATACTTATAATAAGAAAAAATGAAGAGAAAAAATATTTATATACCAAATTACTGGACGCAAGTCGCACATGCGTATTAGTCATTTTTTTTGTACAGCAATTTTACACGTCTCATTCTATTGTCCGCACTCGTGATGTACACTTGGTTTTCCAGTTACTCACTATCCAAAGCTATTCAGTAAGAGCTATTCAGTAAGAAGCTTATATCATTTAAAAGAGTCGACCTATGCATGCTTTATTAAACTTCTAATTAACAAGTGATAATAGTTACCATTTAAGAAGCTAAAAGTAACATGTTCTTATTGAGGAAAATATTATTTCCGAAATATTGATAATTTTTAAACTTTTATTACAAAACTTAAACTATAAAAATGTAGACGAAACTAAAATTAACAATGTAAAATTAACATTACTTATTTAAAATTAACATTATTAATTTAAAAATAATGACAATGTATAATATATAATAAATAGTAAAATAAAACTTGAGAATTATATAAAATTATATGAATCAGTATTTTATATTTAATATTTATATACCCTATTTTTTGTTGCCTTCAAAATCTGTACAATATATTTAATTTTATATATATTTGTTTCTCTTTGGAGATATGTATGTATGTGTGTCATATCTAATAGCTATCATTAAGATATAATCTATGGTTTAATTTAATAATAATTATAAATTGTTTTTAACTTTGAAATGTATTATAACAATATTGGAATTTACTTACTTAGCTAAATTTTTACTAGATTATATTTTATTTGTTATTATTTCTCTGCTTGCCTTACATTATTGCGTTGAATATATAACAGTAAAATAAGAAACTGAAGTTTTCACCAACTATAATGTTTATGTATATTATGTTGTTTTGAATATAGATTTTGATATAGTCATTATGCATACCGAGGCGAAACACTCCAACGATCCGACAAATAGTCCTCCAACGCTTATAGTAAAATCTTTGATGCTTCTTTGCAGCAAAAATAATATCACTTTCTGTATGTGTAACGGGGCTACATTCCATTGAACGTTATACCTACACAATCGGACATAGATAATATATATAAATAATATATATATTATATATTTCTATGAGACACATTGTCCTTCGTCAATAAAAATAGTTTTTATCATGTGAAAATTCATACTGTATAAAACATTTGTATAAAACAATGTGTCTTACACAGTAGCAAAGACGTCACTATTGTGATCCGTTAGATCCTGCGCAATATAATTAGCTAGAAACATATATAGGATACTGGTAGTTGTAGTAAGAAAGGGAAACATATAATCCTCAATATCATTTTCGGATGACGTAATCTGAAAAAGCTATAACACAAGATCGCAACTGTAATGAAATTACACATCTGCTTCTCTCACATTCCCTAAATATTACTTACAATAAATTTGTTCTTATTAATCGGCGAATGTTTATGATTAATTTATAAATAAATAAAAAATTATATTTTGTAATATTAAAAATATCTGTAAGATAAAAGATTAAAAAAGAAGGAAAAGGGGGAAAACAAAAGCACACATTCGTTCTTAATATACAGTACATGATATATATATATATATATATATATATATATATATATATATACACGTATATGAAATTTAATTAATATATCAAATAATTTATTTAATTTACTTAAATATTTTTTAGATTTTTTACTAATTTAAAAATTAAATTTTTAAATTAAAAGTAGAAAAAGATAAAAACGAGTGCTAAATATACACGTTAGATGTGAAAAGTATATTATTATAAAAATTAAAAATAAAAACTTATGTTAATTAGTTTTTTTTAATAAAATATTTTAATCAAAAAATTATAATACGTAGAAAAATAGCAATATTAAAACTTAAATATTCATCAAAAAATTTAATTTTGGAAATTAAACAAAATAAAAAATAAAAATTTCAAGAAGAACTGGACGTTGACTTAACTAAAATTAACGCAAATTTTTTTTCAAATAAACGTATATATATCTTTCTTATTAAATATAAGATAAATAGCATACGTCTTGCTTCAATCATTATAAATTGCATTAAATATGCAATTAATAGATTATATATTTATAATATCAAATATATAAAGAAATATTTAATATAAATACATTTTACACACGCAATAAGCAGATATATGTGCGTAAATTTTAAATTATGTTATTATATATATGTAAAATTTAAAATTATTAAGTTTTAATATAAATATCACAAAAACTCTCTGCGTTTAAAAAATGAAAAATTGAAGGTATACACTTTTCTTAGTATTGTATTTTTAAATAGTTAAATCACAGTTAAATAAACAGTTATCATTATTTTTTTCTCAATATACTTAGTATCAATAAATCTTGATAAACTGTATGTAGGATTTATGAAATATATTATAGGACATTCTCTCATGGAATTTATTATTTATTTAAAAGCTAGTTTATTTAGTCCACAACTTCTCTATTCTTATAGTCTTTGCTGCTAAATCATTAAATTTATTCATTGTTATCCCATAAATAATTTCTATTTCTACATTCTTGCTGGTTTACTAGTGTCAAACAATATTCCATAAATGTGTTCTATTTATAATAAATAAATACGGCTTAGATATGATGTGTGAAACATAATGTAAAATAATTAGCTGATTAAATTATAGAGAAATCATATTCACAGAAATAAAATGTAGTGTACATTTCTTGAATATTTTATTTTTTTTATTAATGAGATTTTTTATAACATAAACTTATGATTTAAAAATATTTATTAGTTATTCTTAGAGCTATCCACATTTAATAAAAAAATTCTTACTGTTTCACCATATACATTGTTTATTTGCATGAATTAAGATTCTGAAAAATGTCGATTTTATGATAAAATAATCAAATACTGCGTATTAAAATTTCACAATAATTAAACTCGAGAGAAATCAAATTCCTCTCCATTTAAACATTCAATTTTAAACATTGTTATTCATTCAAATTGAACAAAAATATTATTGCAAATATCTTCGGAAATTATATATACTTCAACTTTTTCACACTTTCAAAAATTTTAACCTTTATTTACTTATTTGTCTATCGAGAGCATTAACCGAATAAGATTACCATTTCTACTATATGTTTTCTGTACGTTCATATATGCGTCACATGTGTTATGAAATGATAGTGTGTCCCTTAAAGGAAAATTTTCATATTGAGATTTTACATCATAATAATAAATACATTTGCTTATAAAACGTAGAAAATAAAGATTTTATCATAATTGAGACCCGCGGTGTCAATTAAGAATTTAATTCAGCTGTTATTAAAGTCCGATAAGCTTAAGTACTCTCCACAAGTCGACTCGCTTATAAAAATACACGAAATATCTCGTTATTCCAGCGCGAGATCGTGTCTCTTGATATTATATATTGTTTAAAAATTAATGGATATAAAAACATAATACGAAACTTACTCGAAAAAGATTAAGACTCAAAGAGATTACTCCCAGCATTATTAAACAATATAACATTGCCTCAATTTCTGATGCCAAAAGCCTGGATAATCTATAAAAACTAAAGAATAATATGTGTGTGCACATATAGATGCACATATATGTATGAATATCATAAAGAATAAATTACTAACTTCATAGCTTGCCGATGTATATCTATGGCACTAATTATTCCTTTTAATATTAAATTCTCCTTCTTCCATTTAATATTTTCTAGAGTATTGATATGCATTGCGCGTTTAATACGATAACTGTAATTAATATATTTAATAAGATGTATATTTTTCTTACATAAAATAAGCATTAGATTTGTCCAAGAAAACAATAGGATTTTTTTTTAATTTGAAGGAAGATCGCCTATTTTGTATTTTTGTTCCCCCTCCGCCTCAGTCATTATTTATATAGATTTTATAGATAATATTAATAATTTATTAATTAATTATAGATAGTATATATTAAAGAAAAATAGTTTTAGATAATATTAAAAAAAAATAATTTTAGATTCTTCAAATCGCTGCCGAAAGAAATTCTGATTTCTTAAAAATATCAGTTTATTCGTTTGATGACTCATCGTCAGAGTTGTCCAAAATGACAAATATGTCACTCCTATGTTTAGAATATATCTGCACATCAGCGAAAAGTTTTAATTTATTTAGATGCCCCGTACTAGTGGCTGGAACTCTCCAACTGTACATCTATCCCTTGGATGTTCCCCCCTCCCCGCCGGATGAACTTCAAAAACATCGTTGTCATCACTAATTCTAATTTTTTTTACCATGATAACGTAATAAATTATAACACCAAGAACTTAGTGAAGCAAATGAATCAATAAATAAATCGAAAAAATATTCAACATTTATTTGAAATATCTGACGAGAGATAAAATCAAACACACATAAGAATTTAGGAAATTATATTCAATCATAAAATAAAAAATTACTCGTTAATTGAAAGTATAAAAACATCAAGAAATGTAAATAACAAAATACACATCGACAAGTGTAAATAATAAACGCAAATAACAATAATGAAAACACCTTATACAACAACACTGATAAAATCCGTATTGACCAGCGGAGATTTAAGTCATTGACACCTATAAATTTTCAATTCTTTCATGATATCTTATAATTTGACAGAGATTTCATTCTAATAGGCCCGATAGGCCTAAAACTTAAATATAATAATAAAAGAACTTTTTTCATATTTATTTCTATGTTTGTTTCTTACCTAGAAATTCTAAACATACCACAGGTATGTTGGAAATATGCAATAAGCATTGTTCCTATTGCTAGCGTAGCAATTGCCCCGATACATATCGCCATGATGATATGTAACAGAATTAAATAAAAATATTTTTCTTGATCGATAAAGTATTCTATCGTAATCGGCAGGCGACGTGATCGAGTTACATTCATGGGTAATATCATGCAGAAAATACTCGATCCAATAAAACTGACAATAATAATAAATATGCTACAAACTGTAAGTACTAAAACAATTCAAACATAGAATCGTCATATTGACTTTCCTCCAAAAATATTTTCAAATTAATTTAAGTATTATTTCACATATACACAAGACATTTATATAATCCATTTTAATGTATATGTATACGTTTTTAATGCAATTATATTAACAAGTTATATATACATATATACGTTTATATGTTTGTGCAACAAATAATTTAATAAATTCAACTATGCTTAAATATATTGAGAAATTGTTATAATCATTCGCTTATTTCGAGACTTCTATAACTTATATTTCAAACAAAAAATGGATGTGCAGTAGAAAATTACAAATTAAAAAATATTACTTGTCTTACAATCTTAAAAAATCTTACTTGTCAGGACAATAGTGTAACGTTCCGCATGGCAACTATATTTTTTCATAATAGTGATTTCGTTTTCATCTTTTAATCCATTACATATATTCTGAAGTTGCATGAATAAATCCTTCATCTATCATTTCAGCAAAGGTGTGTATATTGTTTTCGTATGTGTATGTGCGTGCGGGTATGTATATATTCATAATGTAAAAAATCAATAGAAAAATATTTTTTATAAACTTTGTTCGACACGAATGTTTTTCTTGTCACGCAATTAAAACTAGAAACTTGTGAACTATATATTAGTTCCTATAAATTATCAATTCGATAAACCATCAACTTACAGCTCCTATGTTTAAATGAAATAAATTGTATTTTATTGCGAATGAACTAGAAAAACATGTGGAAGACAAAACATTAGCGATGAGGTCCGGTGTACATCTTAATGTAACAAATGCCATAAGCTGTAAAAAATAATCACATTACAAATTTATATTAAAATATTCTTCTTTTAAAATTATGAATAAATTATAAATACTATGTCTATAGATGCTTTTTTATATGTTTGAATATAAAATGATTAAAATAAGATGTCATAATTATATTATACACTATTATAATGCAGTTGGTGCGATAATTTCATTATAGTTTAAATTAAAGACAGTTTTAAATCATGTGCTGCTTATAAAAGATTATTTTATGATGGTTTATCATATAAAAATATATTTGTGAAATAATGCTTTACCTGAAACGTAATATTCGTTGTCAAAATAGTAGACAAGAAAATAAATTGAAGTCTCGTTAAATTCGATTGTTGTAAAGGCCACAAGCCAATAATGAGTAACAGAATTCTATTCAATTTAAAATGTTGAGTCTCGAGATTGATCATCGCTATACGATTTTCGGAATACAAATAACTGCGAGACATCGGCTGATTTGCTTGCTTCCCTTCTTTTTTCATCGATTGACCAGTATCTTATTATTTTTTCTTTTGATGTAAATTTTAGTATATATTTCATATAATTTTGTGTAATACAAACCGACACCACAATTATACGACCCGGAAAAGAAAGAATATTCATAGTTTATCGTAATAAAGTCCATCATTATGTGATCGATTTAATAACATAAAAATTGCAGCGGGTGCCATGAAAGAAGATGTGAATATATTTATCTAGCGAATTACTTGCGCACAAGTTGCACATGCGTATTAGACATTTCTTTTGTACAGCAATTTTACACGTCTCATTCAATTGTTCGCACTCGTGACGTACACTTGGTCTTCCAGAATATTATTCACTATCCAAAGCATGAGCTTTTGATGTAAGAAACTTATATCATTTAAAAGAGTCGGATCTATCCAAACTATGTATTAAACTTCTGATTAGGAATTGATGACATGACAGTTATCATTTGAAAAAAGTATTGACATTTTGCTGTTATCAACAATTGTTTTATATGTTTATATGAATTTTTATGACTTACATTACTTTCATCAAATAAATGCATAAACTTTACGGACGCTAACAGTAAGAATAAAGGAAAGAAAGAATAAAAGTAAGTAAGAAACAGGATATGTGAAAATATTTGACATGTTTCATTATACATGTTATATATACGAAAAACTAAATGCTTATAGACAACATAATGTTAATAAACCTGTTATTGGATATATAGCACATATAATTGATAATATTTTTATGTGTCATTTAAAATTCTTTTTTAACTTTACATAGGATATTTAAATTATCATTATATTAAAAAATAGCTTTACATAGAATATTTTAAATTATCGTTATTTTAAAAGATAATTTTCTTATTAAAGACAATATTATTTCCGAAATCTTGATATTTTTTTTCACTTTTATTATCAAAACTAAACTAGAAAAAATGAAGGCGATACTAAAATTAACAATATAAAATTAATATTACTTATTTGAAAGTAATATTACAATGTATATTATAAACAGTAAAAATAAAAGTTGAGAATTATGTAAAATTATGTAAATTTGTATCAGTATTTTATATTTGATATTTCAAATATATCCTATTTTTTGTTGGTTTGAAAATCTATGTAATATATTAAATTTTAAATATATTTGATTCCCTTCGGAGATGTGTGTATATATGTGTGTATATATGTCTAATAGGTATCTCTAATATATAATCTGGGTTTAATTTAATAATGAATTGTTTCCAACTTTGAAATGTATTATAATATTGCAATATTGGAGTTTATTTACTAAATTTTTACTAGATTATAATTTATTTATTATTATTTCTCTGCTTACCTTACATTATTGCGTTGAATATATAACAGTAAAATAAGAGACTGAAGCTTTCACCAACTGTAATGTTTATTTATGTTGTCTTGAATATTTATTATGTTGTCTAGAATTAGTAGATTTTGATATATTCATTATATATACCGTGGCGAAACACTCCAACGATCCGACAAATAATCCTCCAACGCTTATACTAAAACCTTTGGTGCCTTTTTGCAGCAAAAATAGTATCACTTTCTGTATGTGTAACGGGGCTACATTCCATTGAACGTTATACCTACACAATCGGACATAGATAATATATATAAATAATATATATATTATATATTTCTATGAGACACACATTGTCCTTCGTCAATAAAAATAGTTTTTATCATGTGAAAATTCATACTGTATAAAACATTTGTATAAAACAATGTGTCTTACACAGTAGCAAAGACGTCACTATTGTGATCCGTTAGATCCTGCGCAATATAATTAGCTACAAACATATATAGGATAACGGTAATTGTAGATAGAAAGGGAAACATATACTCCTTGACATCATTTTTGGAGGACATAATCTGCAAAATCTAAAACACCAGATCGCAATTATAACGAAATGTCATCTGCACTTCTCTCACATTCTCTAAATATTATTTACAATTAATTTGTTCTTATTAATTGGCGAATGGTTATGATTAATTTATGTACGGATAAAAAAAAATTATATTTTAAATTATAAAAACTATCTGTAAGAAAAGAGATAAGAAAGAAACAAAAAGAGGGAAAACGAAAAAATATATTCTTTCTTAATAGACAGTACATGTTATGTGTATATATATTTATATAACATTCAATTTTAAGCATTGCTATTCACCTACTAAACAGGTCATTCAACTTGAACACAAATATTATTGCAAAAATACCCTCAGAAATTATATATACTTTAACTTTTTCAAGAAAATTTTAACCTTTATTTATTTACTTGTCTACCGAGAAATTTAACCGAATAAGATATTCTATTATATGATTTTCTATACATTCATATACGTCCCGCATGAGATGACAGTGCGTCTCTTAAAGGGAAATTTTCACATATTGAGATTTTACATAATATATTTGCTTATAAAGTATAGAAAATAAACATTTTATTATAATTGAGATCCGCGATATCAATTAAGAATTCAATTCAGCTGTTACTGAAGTCCGACAAACTTAAGTACTCTCAATTAGTCGACTCGCGTATATATATAAATACTCGAGGTATCTCGTTATTCCACCGCGAGATATTGTGACTCGTAATATTTTATATTGTTTAAAAATTAATCGATATAAGAAAATAATACGAGACTTACTCGAAAAAGATTAAGACTTAAAGAGACCACTCCCAACATTATTAAACAAAATAACATTGTCTCAATTTTCGATGCCAAAAGCCTGGATAATCTATGAAAACCACAGAATAATGTGTGTATGTACAGGGTGTTTCATTAACATACAGCTCAATACGACGGGTTGCCTGCTCATAGGAGCGCAAGAAAAATAAAAAAATCTTAAACTTAATATAACTCTTATCATTATATCAATAATCCTCCTATATATATATGACCTATATATATAGGATTGCAATAATATTATAATATTATAATATTATTGCAATCATATGTAGATGAGGATTATTGATATATATAATATTAAAAGTTATATTATAATAATAATAATATTATAATATTATAACATTCTTCTAGATATATACTTTCAAATATTCATGTCACAAGTTCACTATTCTGTACAATTTAATTTTTTCTTTTAATAGCTTATTATTATGCGTTGATAGCGTACCAGCTAGTATACTTCGTCGAAAATGTACGCGAGTGATATTATCTATTCTTGCATTACCGGTCTTACGCTTCTCTGAGCAGGCAACCCGTCGTATTAAGCTGTATGTTGACGAAACACCTCATATATGTACATATAGATGTACATATGTATGTTATAAATATCATAAGGAATAAATTACTAACTGCATAGCTTGCCGATGTATATCTATGGCACTAATTATTCCTTTTAATATTAAATTCTCCTTCTTCCATTTAATATTTCCTAGCATATTGATATGCAATGCGCGTTTAATACGATAACTGTAATTAATATATTTAACAAGATACATATCTTTTCTTTCATGAAATAAGCATTTAATTTATCCAAGATAACAATAGGATTTTGTTTAAAATTTGAAGGAAGTTCGCCCATTTTGCATTTTTCCGCCTGAGTCATCATTTATATTTAATCTTAATATAATTTAAATAACAAAGTATTATTTAATTATAGATAATATTAAGGAAAACTAGTTTTAGATCTTCAAACCGCCGCCGGAAGAAGTTCTGACTTCCTAAAGATATCAGTTTACTCATTCGATGACTCATCATCAGAGCTGTTCAAAATGACAACTATGTCACCGCTATGTTCAGAAAGTATCTGCACATCATCAGAAATTTTTTAATATATTTAATTGACCCGTAGTGGCTGGAACTTCACAACTGTACATTCGTCACTTGGATGTTCCTCCTCTTTTCCCCCCGGACGAACTTCAAAGACATCATTGTCATCACTAATTCTATTTCTTTTTACCATCATAACGTAATGAATTATTACACCAAGAACTTAGTGAAGCAAATGAATCAACAAATATATCGAAAAGATTTTCAGTTTGTTTCACATGTTATTTACATTTGTTTGAAATATCTTAGGAGAGATAAAAACAAAAACACATAAGAATTTAGGAAATCATGTTCAACTATCAAATAAAAAATTACTAGTTAATTGAAAGTATAAAAACATTAACAAGTATAAATAATAAACGTAAATAAAATGAAAACATTGCAACAACATTGATAACGTCTTAATATTGCTTAAGCCATTAACACCTATAAATTTTCAATTCTTTCATGATATATTATAATTTGTAGATTTCGTCACTGATGGGCCCGATGGGCCTAAAACCTTAATATAATGAATGAACTTCTATCATATTTATTTCTATGTTTGCTTCTTACCTAGAAATTCTAAACATGCCACAGGTATGTTG